ATTCATCCATCACCCAGTGACCAGTGACCAATGACCGGTATACTGTGCATTGTACAGTTGTATAATTCTCTCGCTCCCCAAATGTCACTGTAGTCTGGAGAAGAACATGGTCTAGGTTAGAGATGTCTTCCCACCGCCCAACTCCGACATCCGCCCGAGTCCTGAGTATCCTTTTGGAAAAACGTAGGGCGATTTGCTTTTCTGTCGCCCGCGTCAAAGTTTCCTCCAACTAGTCCCGAAACATGATTCATTTTTGACTTTCCAGCAGCCGACACATGGCAACCACGGTGGAATGATCGCCGCTAGCACGCCTGGTTATGGAGGTTCTGGACATGCAGCAGCGTCAAGTAGTTCAGCCACACGGGCGCCAAGATCCCCAACGCCCTGCAACCTATTCATGTAAGTAATTATTTGATCATGTAGGTAGGAATTCCGTAGGTAGGTATCCTTTCCCCTCCCTCATCAGTATATGTACTGTACCGTGGTGAGGTCAGACAGCATAAGTGTAACCAGCCAACAGGCTGATTGTCTAAATTAACCACAGTGGACTGACTGATCAGTGATGTCCACCGAGCAAACATCGTACCTCCGTCTCATTTGGGATAATGCAAAGTACTTCCCTCGCCAGACAGTGCAATTGATTATACCTTGGAATGCATACTTCATACTATCTGGGTCCTTACTCATATTGCCGGCACTAACTACAGTCCTGGTACCGCAGGCCCTTACCTGCCAAGTACTCGTTGGTCGATCTCCCTATCGAGCGAGCGGCACTCGTTGTGGCTCGAGACCTGAGTCTCAGCTAGTTTCATCCCTTGGCTTGTTGAATGAATGTGATGTATGTCAGTGTATCGTGGGTGGCGGCTGCCTCAGTTGTTGATGCCTCACCGACTCGGGGCTGTCTCCCCTTACACTGGAGGCATTAGTTACAGCACCTGCTCTCTTCCATTTTGCTCTTAGCGCCTGAGTCAGTCGATGCAACCTTGAAACTCCTGTTTTGGATCAGGTGTTGCTCAAATATCGGCAGGACCAGTGCTGCTATCTCAAACGCCATGTGATGGACAACGATCCAATGCCATCAGCGAGGCGAAATCGAGGGAACGGCAATCTACCCTCGTTCATCAGCCGGCAGCCTGTTTTCCTTGACCATGGCGATCGACTGATTGCCATGTTTTCTTTTTCCACGTTGAGGGGGAACCACCGGCCTGCAGATCGTGCAAGAATGCCCCCGCTTGTCTAGCGTGGCATCTATCAGCCAATCGTGGCGACAATCAGAAGCCTAGGTCGTACTGGTTATATGTGTGTTCAATTTGCTAGTAACTAGCACTGTGACACGAAAATCATCCACCTGAGGGGGGTGAATTCATCCACACATCGCAAAGGAAAAAAGACAAGAAGACCACGCCGGTCCAACAACAGGCACCCATCAATCAATTTCTTCAACGGAATCGGGGGCGGGGTCAGGATCGGACTACGATCGGATGGAAGCATTCACCCGTTGGTCCGTTTTTATCTTTTTCTATTTTTATTTTATTTTATCCTTCTTGCTCGAATGTGCGAGCGAGGGAGCTGTCACTCCGTGGATCACTGTATAACTACAGCGATTCCTTATTTACTGCTTATCGTTGCAGTGGATGGGGATTTTCTTTTCTACTGTTACAATCAGTAGATGGTTGGTCTTTGGTGTGGCAACAAAAGCAGGGCATAGAAAGTGCCAGGGCGATTTCGGACTTGGCTAACTAACCTGGCCCGGAGGTTAGACAGCGCTTTTGCGAGCCTCCAATCACAAGACTCGACCTTAAGTCCAACGGTCCAACCTATCGAATTTTACCCGCTCCAGCTGATGCTGCCAGCACTTTGGAGGAGGGCGAGGCAACAGCCTACTTCCTACACAGTAGAGCCTATAAGGCATGGGTGTTTGTTTGTATGGAGAGACACGGAAGCCCGTCTCTCTTCAGAGCGTCAACGATCAGATTCGATTTCACCATTATTTTTCAAGGTACGAATACAGAGTAACAGAGTAAGACGAGCCACGAGATGAATACCTATTGAGTACTTACTTATTGATGTCTGCGCTAGATACAGGGCCGGGGGTCGGACTACGGACCTTAGCGCGCCAGGGTTCCTCGTGCATTATTGGGCCATGTGCCTTCAATCTACGTGACACCCTCCGGCCGCGTTAAGGACCTGCCCGATCTGGCTTACTGAGACGGGGCACTACAGGCAGCCCCGGCCTGAGGCCATCAATCACTTTCAATTTCCCCTAACTACTCCCTACCGTCTCAGCCCAGCAGTCCCTGGTGGCAATTGATGCAGAGGCAAGCTCCATCTCGAAGGATGAGAAAGAGGGCTATGCAGCTTCGGAAGGATTTTTGCGACGGGTATTCCGTGCTCAGGGCTTGCTTGCTTGGATTGTTTCCATCCACAAATGCTCCTGCGCCGCGCGGAAGGGCCAGATTCCGGGTCTTGCCCTACGCTCGCATGATTACGCCAATATGTCTGGTCGAACGGGACCCAGGATGGTCACATTGATTCTGTCAGTGACCGCGTCAGCATTCAGTGTCTAGATTTTGCATGCAGGGCTCCTTTGAGCGGACGCGGCGACTTTTCAGCCGGCAGGCTACAGCGTCCGTGGAGTACCACAGGAGGTTTTCTGCGGCAAGACCCTAGGCTTTAACCTTCCCCGCCCAGCAACGACGATTATTGTCTGCCAGGCTGGACTAGTCCAGATGATGAGGCAGATCGAACAAGCAGGTCACAGTCGTCCGGCAGCTGCCCTGCGCATAGTACCGAAGCTCGGACTCACCTTCGTCGGAGAGATAACCATCTGGACCCCACGCCTCTAATCAAAGTGTGCATGCTGACCTTGCTTCTCATCCCTGCACATAGCCATGGGAATGACCATGGGTAAACAATATGCCAGACCTGGGTAACATGCAGCGGTCGAACAGCCCATGCCATCTGCAGCTCATTAGACATGGCGCCTGCCCCCAGCGCCAACGAAGCCACCAAATCAGGCTATATTCATCTACATACTTTGCTAGGGTCTGGAGTCCGGTTGGAGGACTCATCTAGGTGCTGACTTTCATCTCTGAGTAATGCCCACGAGACACCGATCGAAGCGCCAGTTGAACTCAGAGACTCGTTATCTGAATAAAGAACACACAACGAACGAACATACGCGAGCCTGCAATTAGCAAGAGATCCTCTACTCTTAGAGACTACCTCACTAACTGACGACTAAACAAGGGCATCCTCAAAAGATCATCCTCGAACACTGGTTATCGGCAACTCAATCACACGCAGTCCCTAGAAGTGACTAAGCTGTAATCTATAAGAGCCCAAGAGGTAATGTTGACACGTGAAGTACTAATTCCAGGTTTGGTCGTGCTTTTCCCTCTCATAAGCACTTCTGAGTAAAGCTTACTCCGTAGGTAGGTCTCCTCTCTCATTTAGTCATTCGGCCCCGTCTCCCTTCCCCCCCTCACTATCTCATTTCATCGGCCCTAACTAGTGCTTACTCGTGGAGCAACTAAGCCAAGCCCACACCCTCTCCACCAAGAAATCCTTCATCCTTCCTCCCCGACGGAACCTCGGTCCCTGTGTCCTTGACAAGTAGGGGGTCGGTGGAGCCCCCTTCGTGCGTCAGGCGAGGCGAGAGAGCCAGTCTGTTCCTGTAGCTCAATGGCTGAGGGTCTGCGATCGTTTCTTCAGCTGCAACTTTAGTTATAGTCTCGTGCCAGGAGTTCAGGTAGATACCTCGTAGTGTAGTTTGATCAACTCACACAGAGGAACTACTTAGTAAGAGAAACAGTACATCCTGCAGCCGCCAGCAAACTCCTCCGTACCCTCTCGGACAATCCCCGATCGACTCCTAATGACTTTCTTATAGACTACAATCACGAAGCAAGCGCCCAGACCCCACTGCGTAAACAGACAAGCAAGTAAACCCGGCAAACGGAAAACAGCGAAAAGCCGTCCTTCAGGACGCGAGGCTATTGCAGTTGCGTCCCCATGCAAACCATTCAAAAACGAAGAATAATGAAAGATGAGAGAGAGAGAGAGAGTAGCAGACAAAGAGGGGGGGAAGATGATACGTACCATTGTACAGTACTTATTCAAACTACAACTAAAAGAGCATTACTGTGGAGCTTTCTCTATCTACTTACACTGTATACAAAGTTTTTTATGCATACTATACCGCCGACCCCTCTTTTTACCACCACGTCTCCTCAACATACACTGTACGCAGTACACAAATTGGGGAGGGGGGTAAATGTGCCATAACAACTGCAACTGCAACTGCAAGCTTAGTTAGTGTGTCCATGCTTCCCCGTCCACCCGTCACCAAACTACTCCATAACTACTCAGGTACTCCATGGTAGTTACCGCTTTCTCCGCGCATCTCCTAGTACTAGGAGTCTGCTATCTGACAGCCTCCAGCCTCTCAGTCTCTCAGTCTCCCTCCGTGAACAATCGGAGAAAAAAAGCAATCGCCAACGACCAATAGCGAAAAGATCGCAGCCCCTACCTTACCTCCTAAAAACAAAATCAAATCAAAACAAGCCAAATGCAGAGACAAAGCTCAGACCAACGGCGGTAATTAGACAATCACCGTACTCCGTACCGTTAAGAATCCTACGGAGATTTGGGAAAAAAAAAAAAAAAAGGAATCACCCCCAGATGACACTACTACTAGACATTTCGGACTTTTCGTCGTCTCGGACTAGTTGGCGTGGATGAAAAGCAATGCGCTCAAGCTCCGAAAGTCCGAGTGTTGGGGCTGGAAGGAAAATGCGGGATTTGGGGAATACCGTAGGTTTAGTTACAGTATGTATTTCCGAGGTGGGTGGTGGGCCACGTGGTTAAGGCTGGCAGGCACTAATTAACTTTACTGTAGTAACGTACGAAGCGGAAATGTACCTATCTTTGAGTAGGTAGTTTTTTTTTTTTTTTTTCTTCTTCTTCTTGGGTTCTGGATGTCATAGGGCGGAGGGATGGGTGGGTGGGTGGGTTTTTTCTTGTGGCTGGATGGGAGGAGGATGGTTTCTTTGTTTTGAATTCCCTCCTGCTATTGCGGTTGAGTTCGTTGGGGTCTGTGAGGTGAACTGTTCTAATTTACCTGATCCCTTATGGTGATTACTGTAGGTGCTGACCGGAACGCCATCAGAGATCGTTTCAAGTTACTGTGTGTATAGCTACTCAGTGCTATCTTGACGAGGTAAATAGTCACATTTGATGCAAGACCTCGCGGAGACTAGACTATATTCAAGGTTGTTCCGTGCGCCCACCACGAAAGCAGCACGCTCTATCCACAAGACATGGAAATAAGCCCTATCATCAAAAAGAATAAAAACAAGGAACATATTCAGTCCGGTTGATTGAGTCTGCGATCAAGTCGAAAGAATTCAGCCTTGCCAGTGGACGCGGACCATCCATGAAGTCGGAATCAGCCTCTCCCTACGAAGTACATTATGATCGATGGGAAAGTTCATTTAGGTATAGCGAACAAGCTTTGCCTGCCATAAGATGTACAGCAACAGGAGGGCGTACAGTACAAGCACCCTCAAACTCATCAAGTCAATCACCTAGTCAAGAGATTCGATTGGTTCGTTAGTGGGATGGGTCAAACACCAGCCTCACTTGCCCATCTTGCTGCATTGTATTGCCCTGCGCGTCAATATGACGACGGAGTATAGATGTGCTACATGTGGAGGCATCCGCAGGCTGTGTTCAGCTGTGAAAAATCAAAGATTGACAATCTGACTTGGAAAAGAAAAAAAAAAAAAACAACTTACCTATAGAAGAGCATAGACCCCAATTAATTATGCTGTTGCCTATTCTGCTCTGGTAGGTAATGAGGCTGACTTACTCCAAACCGTCTAGTCTAGTCTCTGCGTGGGATCGAGGTGTGGGGGTGGATGAGCTGGGGGCTGGGTCACTGGATCTGGGCCACTGGATCTGGATTCGATTGATCCTTCAGGAACTCGGGGGCTGTGTTGGATTTGGCACTTCGTGACGAATTCCAGGAATGGCGGTTGTACATGTACAGTAAGTACTGGAGTACTCGAGGTAACTAGTAAGTAATTACTAGTACCTCCCGAGTCACTCGCCTCGACAGCTGGAAGCAGAGCTGTGGTTGTTTAGTCGGCTGTCTAAATTCATTGCCAGTGTGACACTGCGGATGGCAAGATGCTCCAGATTTGTTCATGTAGGGTAAACAAGATCTATTTTTTAGTATCCTGGTCTCAATATGGCTTCCAAGGCATTGGTATATACAGGCTCATTTTTGGATTCAAAGTGTTCATTCATCATCTCCCTCCTCTTCGTCCTCCTCCATGTCTTCAAAATCAGCTGCGTCGTCATCATCATCACCATCATCCTCGTCCTCCTCATCGTCATTGTCGTCGAACTCAACACCCAAGTCACCAGTGATGTCCCAGCGGTCACCCTTGGCCGCGGCACTGACGTACTTGACAAACTTGAGCGTGCCGCTGTCGCGAAGGACAATGCTGAGGCGGTTCCATCCGGCCGCTGTGCTGAAGAGAATGCCGTCGTCCTCGTCGGCGGCGGCGGACCGATAGATCGCCGCGTCGCCCTCGTCCTCGTCGTCTCCGGCCATGTAGATCTCGTATCCACCCACCGCGGGCTCATCGCCCGTGGACTCGGGTTTGGGCTTGGACGAGGACTTCTCCTCGGACTCGCCGTCGGCCTCCTCGTCTTCATCCTCCGCGCCTTCGGGCTCCCACCCGGGCGTGGGCGTCAGGCACAGAGTGAACTCCAGGCGGGGCTCCTCCCCATCGTAGCCGCTGGCGAGGGTGTAATCCTGGCCCCGGCGGAAACGGCGCGCAAGGTAGTCGAAGCTCGAGATGCGAGCCGCACCGGTGATCAGCGCCAGCCACTTGCGGAAAGCCCGGGACGGAAAGAGGTCGTTGAGTAGCTCTTGGAGTGGGGTCTTCTGATCCTCCGTCGCGGTTCCGTGCTGCTGAAACATATAGCGTTGCTTGTGGGGGGGCCGGGCAACGGTCCACCCGGTCTGGGCAAGGATCTCGTCCGAGTTGTTGGGCAGGGACCGCTTCTCCTGCTCTTCAATGTACGTGCGCACGCGAGCGGCGAATTTCTCCGACAGGAATCGGTCAAGGCTAAGGGAGGATTCATTGCCAAAAGTCTCCGACATCTCCTCGGCGATGTCAGGAGTCAGATATGAGGGGGCGATGTATTGAATCAGGAAGTTCAGGTCGGACTCCGTGAACTCGGTGCTGGGTTCTTCTTCCACCTTCGCCTTGCCCTTGCCCTTGCCCTCATCCGCCGGTCCGTCGACCTCCTCGCAGACGACCGGCTTGGGCTGGGGGAGATCGTAGATATCGCCTCGTCCCTGGAGTTGGGCAAGACTGCTACGCTCGGCGAGCTTCTCCTCCAAGCCAGCCTCGTATCCGTCTTCGCCTTCCTGGGGAATGTGGAACCATCCGCTGATCGCCATGCGCACCCGCTTCTTGGACTTGTCCTCGTTCTCCTTAGGGTGGTAGACCTCCTCAACATCGTGGAAACTCTCGCCAGGTTGAACGGTGAAAAAGCTCAGCTGGTTGAACGCGGGAGGAATGCTAAGGCTGAAGTCCGGGCTGGGGATCTTGACATCCTCGCCATTGACATCCTTCTTCGTGGTTGTAGGGTAGAGGCGCAGCGCACCACCCCATTCTTCTTGCCATGGGGTATCGGGATCGGTGAGGTACAGAATGTAGGATACACGTCTGCTGCCAATGACATCGTCATGACACAAGAGGTGGCAGCCTTCGTTGTAGACATTGATGGCCATGTCGGTCTTGCGACCGCTGAGCTTGCCGGATCCGGTCACGGCGGAGAGGTATTCGCGAAAGCGCGCAGAGTACATAGCATCGCGTAGCTTCAGGATCGAAGGGAGCTTGGCCAAGGAGGCATCGTCAAGACCGTCCAGATTTGCCAGATCACCAGACTGGAAGATCTTGTAAATATCCGTCTCCTTCTCGGTAAAGTCGACTTGTGCCTGGATTTCATCGCGGACTGCGCGGAGGAGAGAGGGCTCGATCAAGGGGGAAATGACTCCATGCTTGTAGCTTAAAGAGTAGTCAGCCTGTTGTTCAATTGCATTTCTGCAGGATATGATTTGGCGATCGGGGGATTGACGTACGGAGCAGATTGAGCGTACTGCTCGGTATACTTCTGTTGCTCCGAGGGCTCGAACAGACCGTCACGGAAACGGGCGGCGGCTTCCTCGCTGGACAAGGCGCGCTTCTTCGTCTCCGGCTGACCTTTGGCACTCGAGCTGCTCTGTGTCTTACGCTTCATTTTGAGTGATGTAAAGAGATGATGAGAGGAGGAGATGCCTGGGAGGAAAGTCGAATGCGACAGCGGAGGGACGGTCCCTCTTTTTTTGCTAAATTTTAGTTTGGCGGTGAGGATTTTGCAGCCAAAGATCCAGTCAGCCCACCTCCCATCAGGCCATGTGCTGCTGGAGACACTGTGCGAACTGCACTTTTGTTGTGTTTATGTGGGGTCATTGGGTCAATAAGAATACAGAAACTCATAGAATTATTATTCAATTGATTGGTACAGTACACCCTACGAAATTATCTCATTCAATGTGCCAGAAATGACATGGCGGCTCGGGTTCCTGGCGTTTGCGATGGAAGCTTGGATTGCTCCGCACTGCCCCCCCGATAATCCCCTGGCGATAAGCCGCGTATCTCCTCCATTCATCTGCCTCATCACTCCCACACTCTCGTCTTGGTCACCAACAAGGCAGTTGCTAAAAGCTATCGAGACCCTGTACTTGGACTGATAGCGCAGATTCTCTTTCAGTCCTCTGTTGTGTTTAACCGAATCAAAATCATCCTCTCACTCTCGACGGTCTTCTCAGGACGCACAGCGCAGACGTCATTGAGCGCCGATCGCGGCATCAGTCCATCGATAGAGCGATCGATCCGTCCTCTGTTCGCGCCTTCAGTTATCCCTTCAAGTCGAACCACCCACACGAGAACATTGAACGATGCAGGCACTACAAGACCCTCAAGAAAATTCGCCTGAACGGCCAGGAACTCCTCCGCGCCCTCCATATTCCCCGGTGACACCGACCTTTGCGCATCTCGCACCTGTCATCCCTCCTGCGGCAAACGGACTTTCGCACCCCATCATTCCTCCCCCAGCATCGCCGTCTCCCACCACCAAAACGCCGCCATACGGTGGCTTGACACCAAACTTTGCTCCTCGCCCACCGCCTCAGAGTGCCCCAATCTTTGCCACGGAACCGGCGCCCGTGCCTATTTCCGAGAGCGACAACCCAGATGCCATCGCGCTACGGTCGGCCATCTCGATCCTCCAGCTCCAGAAGCAGCAGAGTCTGCGAGACATTCGGACCTTGGATCATATGAAACGGGCTGCAGCGGCGGACCCGGAAGGCTTCGCGCGCGAATTGGCTGCGGGGAACCTCACGGCGAAAGATAAGGGCGGCTTTATCGAGTTCAATCATGAGACAGCGAGTCTCGGCGACAATGAGGATGACGATGGAGCGATGGAGATGGATCCGGAGACGACCAAAGGATCTGCATTCGGAACAATCCCACCTCCACAGAACGTGATCCGGATGCCTCCTATCAACTGGGCCAAGTATCAAATCGTGGGCGAATCCTTAGATAAAATGCATGAGGAACAACAGCGTCGGCCATCTGCGGGAGAGCCGCGCAGGGATGACAGCGCTCAGCGGGCTCCAGAGTATCTTCTGGCATCGCCCTACCGACCGTTAACGGACAAGCTGGACAGCCCTAGCAAGGCCAAGGGGACTGGCAGCAAAAGCAAGAAGTCTTGATCCCAGCCATGGCTTACGACCAGTATGCTGATTCATGATTGGACAAGCCAGTGGCAGCATTAGCATTCCTATCATACACTAAGAAACAAAAACATGCAACACGACCGACGGGAGCACATTACACGTGCAGGATCTCTGCATGTACATGACAGACGGGATTTTAATGATCATAAGCAGTCAACTGCACTTGAGATCTTCCATCGCAGCAAGTGTCTCTTGAAGTCTCTCATGGGCCTTTTCAACTCGTTTGACCTGCGCCACCATCTCGGCCTCAGTGGTAACTGCGGGGGTGGTCTTAAGTTGCACAGGGGGCAGGATATCCATCACTTCGCGCACCTCCTCTTTGGACGCCTCCGAGGCTTTCAAAGCGATCATTGTCCGGTACCGCAGATTTTCCACCGTTCGCTTCCTTCTGTACTCCCGTTCAACAATCCCCACGTTCTGCTCTTCCTTACCGCGCGTCTCCGATCCGCGTGCATTTGCGCTCAGCCAGGCCTTTGCCTTGGGACAATCGGCTCGCGTCTGCATGACGATCTCCGCGACGGCCCTGCGCGACAGAGGAGGGTTGAAGTCGCTACCATCGTACCGCGGTATCTGCTGACCAGACACCTTTTTGGTCTACTTGGGTTGTATTTTCGGTTAATGTTAGCAGGTTTGACAGTCATTCAAGCATGTATTCCTCCATTTATCACTTGCCCCAATATGTATCGCTAAACCCACTTCGTCCACCTTGACCTGAACTGTTTCATCCTTGGCGTCAATTGTGGCGAACGGCGAGGCGAGCTTCGCGGCTTTTTCAGCCCAGAACCTGGCCCACGCTAGCTGAGATTTCTGAAAGACCTGGAAGGTATCGTGTTCGCGGCGCTTTGATCGATCCTGGGTGGGCTCCGCGGTAAAAGTCCCAGGCCCGTTCGCGTTCTGGTGAGGCTGACGTGCAGACCCGGGGGCTGGCAATTCGGCGGACTTGCGTTTCTTTCTGGCCATGTTGAATGTTTGAGGCGAGGTCTGATGTTAGTCTGGTTTGTATGGTGTCCCAATGAGAGAGTAGGTCATTTCTGGGGTGAGTGGACGTGAGGAACAGAAGTGAAATGAAGCTCAACAAGTGGAGGGAAGGAAATGAAGGACGAACGACCCCAGGTGACCTTTCTCAACGACATCATTCCGCCTCGCTTGACGACGTCGGTGGGTCCTGGTGCTGGTGAAGGTGAAGTTGCGCATATTTCGCTATGTTGGCGTGTACTCTAGCCTTTGTTTGGTGAATATTTGTAAAGAAATGGATTTGCTACAGGGTGGTATAGAAGATAATATCATGCCATGTAACACGGAAAGAGTCCTTAATCCTAAGATAGCTACAGTGTATATCTCAGGTTATGAAGTTTTGGATATAGACTTGAACTTCTGTAGAACTTGAGCTTATATCACTAGGATCTTGATTTATATCTACTATCTACCAAAGTCTATGATATCAATATTTTCTAGTTCTAAGCCAGTCAATCCTTAGAAGTACAAAGAATAGTTTCACTAGCTCTAGGTACTGACTATAGAATAAGTGAAGTGTTCTATGCGATAACCTAGAGTTCGGATATCTTTTCTGCTCTAACATACATGCTCTCACATCTCATTCACATTTCACATCTGCATGGTCCTGGTTCCCAAACTGCCGCTCTGGATCTGATCCTATAATCCTACACTGCAACCCCCAAGCCAAGCATACAGTAACACCTTCCCACATACTCCCATGTCTCCCCGACAGAACCAAGCTCATCAAAAGAAGGAATTCCACTCACAATTTCACCCCCCCAACCCTCCCACTTCCACTTCCACTCCCCACCCCCTCCCACCGCTCCACCCTCCCCCTCCCCTCCGCCACTTCCCTCTTCTTCCTCCCCTCCACGCGACCCCTCCACGCGACATTCTCCGCATGCCCGTCCAAAATCCCCAACGAGTGCCGCCACATCTCCTCCTTCATCATCCCATAGATCCCCGTGGCGGCTTTCGTCTGCAGGTTGCGGACCCGCACGAACCGCACCGCCGCCTCCACCGAGTCCGCCAACCCATCCACCAGCCCCGCCTCCAGCGCGGCCGTCGGCCCGCCAAACCGCCTCGCCTCGAGCACGAGGTCCCGAAACGCGACGGCCGACAGCTTCTCCCGGAAGATGCTCATCATCGGCGCCTCCAGCGGGACGCCGAACTCGAGCTCATTGATGCAGAGAAACCCCTTTGCCGGGTTCTGAAGCCGGTAGTCGTGGTACATGGCTAGCATGAGGCCGCCGGCGAAGGCGTGGCCGTTGAGGAGGGCGAGGGTGGGCATTGGGTAGCTTTTCAGCGTTGTCAGTTGAGGGTTGGTTGGTTATGGGGGGGAGGAATCTAAGGAAACGGGACGGGGAAAAGGGGCAGAGATGCATGCATGCATACGTGAGTAGACGACGGAATAACTTCCATAACCATTTATCGAGGAATCCGTCGGTGGATTGCGCGAGCTTCAGGTCTAGTCCGTTGCTGTAGAATTTCGGGATCCCGCTCGTGGTGATGAGCACGCCGCGCGGGTAGCGGTGTTCGAGGATGTCGAGGGCCAGGAGAAAGGCATCGATGAACGTGGGCGTGAGACGGTTGTCTTTGGGGGAGGTGAAGGTTAGGATGTAGATGGTTTTGTCCTCGGCGGAGGGGGAGGGATTGGTGCAGGTGAAGGTGCCGCCGGTGGAGGAGATGGGGAGGGTGAAGAGGGGGGTTGCCATGTTCGTTGTGTGGTGGTTACTTGGGAGTTTATTATGATGTTGTTTATATCAGACTATAGAGTATATGTATGTCGAGAGTATTTAGTACTGGTTAGTTTATGCAGGAATCGAGGATATGCTGATCAAGTGATCAGATCAAAGCACATGTAAAGTTAGTGTCTGCGGGCATCACATGCCAGCATTCGGACCGAACTACAACTACGTATCGCCCCCCCATCCATTCACTTACTGCCTCTACTACTTATGCATTCAACTCAATACATCCTCCTTTTAACTCAATCGCAACCCGCCTCTTCATACTGTCCCGCAGCAACCAGGCAAATAAATCTCCATCGAAGAGCCCAATCCATCGAAGCCCTGACAAAACACGATCGATCTCCTCTTGCTCATTCTCCGCAAGTAGCGTCTCTCGGAAGACCGTCTGCGTCTCGGGAATGATGTAAGACTCACTTAGGCCAGCCGAGTGCCGGTTGGGAAAACCGACGAGATTGAACCCCGGGATGATGTGCTACGGCGTGGCCGCCGCCATCAGATCGTTGCCGTCCACCGTCGCGATCTGGCCGTCGCGGTACCACTGCGCCGGGTTGAGGAGCACCCAGGAGACCCCCGCGCGAGCTTCACGAGAACCTGTGGCCCAGCGGATTGTCGGAGTTCTCAGGCGCGGGCAGCGCGCCGCACCAGCTGGTGAACGCGGTGATCTTGCCCCCGGCCTGATGGACCTCGTCGATGGTCTTCACCGCGTAGAGGTGGTCGATGCCCGGCTCAAGGCCAATCTCGTAGAGGACGGTCACGCCGGCGGACTGGGCGGCGGCGTCGAGCGCTCTGAGGGCTGGGGAGGTGAAGCTGGCGGTGACGACGGGCTTGCGGTGGGTGATGGCGGCTTGCACGACCGTGGCGTGGTAGGTGTAGGGGATGAGGAAGATGATGAAGTCGGCGTGGGAGATGGCCGTCTCGAGCTTTGTTTGGCTCGGAAAACGTCGAGGGCGATGGCGGTTGTGTTATGGTAGTTGCCGGCTAGGGACTGCGCGGCGTTGAGGGTGCGGCAGGCTACGGTGACATGCACGCCTGCCTCGGAAGGAATAGGAAGATCTTAGCAGGAGGAGCACAAGCATTGATAAGTGCCGGCGGAGGATGCTTTGCACCTATTGTACTAGCAGTAAGCTGCCTTACTGCGGCTGCGATATGAGTGCCGTCTGTGCTAAGCATAGGTATCTATTGCGGTATGTGATGAATGACTCACGCCGGCGAGGTCAACGCAGGGTGGCAACTGTAGCACAGGTCGAGTGCCCTTGCATCATATCATATGGCAGTGTAGACTATATCTATGCCTCAACTTCTAGCCCAATGAGAGTTGTAGAAGCCCTTTCCGGCTCAATTGCCTTATTGATAATCGAATGCGCGGTCTGTCTGTATACGTGTCTTCTATCTATCTTGCGAGAACACGCGGCTGATATAGCCAGACCACAGCATAGCATCATCCACAATGGCAATCATGTACAATGCGCAGGAAATATATTGGTGATTCGAGACATTGATCACTGAATTCTTTCCACAGACCCAACAATCATCCGCATCTGAAGCAGATCAGCACACGCCGATCTCATCACATATACGTTTATTGATGCCACTTATCGCATACCGACACACCCTCGCATACACCATCCCAATATCAGAAAGCCTGATAACATCTCATAAAATCGAAGCTAACTCTTCGCCTCGATCAACAACTACAAAGCCCCACCCTTCCACCACAGCCTTTTACTACACAACACAACGGAACCCCCATCCCAATAAGCAAATCTACCCTCTTGAACCAATGTCCTAGTTCGGCCAGCTTTCAAATCCCTCACAAAATTCAATCAGAATTGAACAACAGAGATGTGAACTAGGAGACTGTCATCTTGTATACTACACAAACAGCCAACGGCACCATCAGCCTTTCTCAATATTCAAGCACCGAGATACTATCAACGTTTCTTATGGAGCTAGCTTGGACTTCTTTGCAAAACTCACTAGCGTACAGTATGCACCTATAAGTCCCAGCCGATTGATAGATGACAGGTTTCCGTAGTTCCATGGTGCACAGAGATCTAGGCTGATTCTTGATTTCCCGGCATCATATTGGTGTCACCGGGCTGAAAAAAACCAACGCCAACTGGCAGAGACACGAGTAGTTCAGCATTCGAAGAGCGCTCGGGGAATTGGGTAGAGCCTGGCAGTGCCAATGTTGTTGCTTGGGGGAAGGATAGCAGCTCTAACGGACCATGATGTTACGCGACGGTGATATATTTCAACTCGTGTTTCCGGAATGTACCTTCAAGGACTCGGAGCTGGATGTAGGTGGTTTGACTCAATGCAGTATAACTATCTCACGTAATAAGGCCAATTGAGGATTAGAACTAGGATATAGATACTTTATAGTAGTATAAATCTGAAGATGAAAGAGTGCAAGATGCTTTTTGTGTCTTGATGTCGTGGTGATAAGAAGCGACTTAACTACTAGACTAAACCTTACCCTTAAACCACCGAACTACTGGCGTACTACAAACAAGGATAACTGTGAATAAGTAGACGTCTATCACTAGACAACAAAGGCATAGATAGATAGCAACGATCAACCCACGAAAGTCTGGTATTCCTCTCCACTACTCCGCAGAGTGAGTCGACATCATCACTGACGTCATCTCATCCCATCCCATCGCACCCCCCTCATAAACCACCTCCCAGTTCACTTGCAACGCACCATAGATCCCTACATCCTAACAGTTTAGCAAGCGCCTAAGACATCAGTATCTGCCACAATCTTATTATACCACCTATTCGACGATAGACCCACCACGACCACCACCACCATGCAATCAACCCACCAGCCCAGCCAACCCGCTCAACCTCCCAAAGAAGCAGGCTACAACCAAGCCTCCAATCCAGTCACACAGACACCATACGAGCAGCGCGTGCCCCAGGAATCCACCCAGCCCCGACAGCGCGGGGACGCCATGTCCTCCATCACGCGGTCCGCGGATTCCCGCCCGGCCAATGATGAGGCCCTGCGGCAGCTGAACGCAGACCGAGAGCAGGAGCGCGAGGCTATGCACAAGGCGTCGGATGTGGATCTGGAGTACGGCGTCGAGCAGCAGCCGGCCGAGGGGGAAATCGCCCATGCAGTCAAGAGTACGTCGGAACGGGCGCGTGCCCGCGCGCAGGCCGGGGCCCACGCTGGACCCGTGGGGAGCGCCAATGGACCCGGGGGCCCGGGGTATGAGAAGGGACTGGCGGCCGATTTGGATCGAAAGGCCGAAGAACATGAGCGCATCCTCGGGGACCGCGTGGGACAGTCCCCGGCGGAACCGGACGGGGATGGGGTGCTGGCTGAGAGGGAGGCGTTGAGGGAGCGGAAACTGAAGCAGGATAGTGAGTTGGATGTAAAGGGGGCGGTCTCGAAGGGCACGGGAGATCCTGTTGTGGGTTGAGATCGTGTTACTGTCCTTTTTTTCATTTATAGAGCTCATGCGGGAATTGAGGTAATGAACATCTAATTAAGATTCCATTCATCCTATCCGAGATATCACAGTAATCAATGTGAGAATACTGGTTTGCGGCTGTCTGACCAGGCGATGCCGCGAGGGTATCACAGTATACATCATAATCAATCATCAGCGTCATCGCCCTCTCCAATGGATACCTTCTTCAATGCTAGATCCCGCTTCAGGTCATTAATACGTTTCGCCAGCTTGTTTTTGAGAATGGCGTTGGGCATGTTCTCCCACTTGACCGTCTCGGCACGAATCAGAGCCTCCAGCTCAACAATCTCCTCACGCTGCTGCTGTAGCTGGCGTTGTTGCTCGAGTTGTTCTTCATCCATCTCGTCGTCGCCCGGTTCGTCATTATCGTCACCATCTGACCCGTCGCTCTCATCGCCTGAGGTGTCGGCTGCTGGTGTGGAGGGTTTGGTTGCCATGGGCGTACCGGCCTGGTATACTCCGGTGTCTGATTGCGGACCACTCGCAGCGTCTGCGGCAGCAGCATCGCCTTCGTCTCCGGCGGCCAAGGCAGCCTCCATTTCAGCTGCGAGAGCATCCTCGAAATCTTCTTCGAAGAAAGCACCGGCATTCATACCCTCATCAACCTCGCCCTCCGCATCTTGTTCCTCGTCGTAGTACTCGTCACCGTAGTCGCCATACTCTCCGCTCTGCACTACGCCCTCATTGCGATTCAACGACGCAGCATCTACCAGCTCGTAGCGAGGCGGGGCTACCGAAGCTTCGTCCTGCTTGATCATATCGTCTACAGCTTTCTCGACCTGTTCAATTGTCCGCGTGCTGACACGCTCACGGAACCGACGTCTCCTCACCCACCGAAGAGGCGGCGCCAGACCATGCGGATATTGTAAGTTTAGGTCATCAGTCAGGGCCACCTCGTCTGGTACTGGGTAATCCATAGCCTCCTGTTCGTTGGCCACCGGGCCCAGGACTAACAGCATCTGGCAGATATCCGCAGACTTGTACCACCCTCTTCGATCCCAGCTCTTCATTCCCTCGATAATGCACGGCAAATCCACTAAGGCTGCGGCATATTGGCGATCCCGGACCTTGAAAATGGCACGGCGACCTTCGCGAGTCAGCGGCTTGAAGGAGAATTCGGATCGGTCGAAGCGGCGCTCGGCGATCGCACGTCGAAGGTATTCGCAATCGTCCCCAGGCAACATGCGTAGGATGAACTGTTCTTCGATGGCGGGATCGATCTCCGTGTCGGAGGCTTCCGAATCGTAGCCCACGCCTGTCGGGCGATTGGGGACCAGCCCCTTGTTCTTAATTCGGATGGATTGCACGCCTGGTTTCTTGGCTGGGTTGATCAACTTGAGGCGTTTGGGGCCGGCAGCTGGCGCGGTCGCGGCGGCGGCGGACGGTTCTGGTACGGCGGGCCCCTCTGCTGGGCGCTTTTTCGATGGCTTCTTCTTCTTGGGTTTGTCATCTCCTCCAGCCCCTTCAGCGATAGAAGGTTTCCGTGGGATCTTTAATGTAATTTTGCGCTGAGGAGTTTCTGTCGGCTTGGGAGTCGGAGGCGCAGGCTGGGAAGGAGTCGACGGCGCCGATGCCTTTGCCTTGTTCTTGTTAAAGGTGAGCTTCAGAGACGGCCGGGGGGTGTCCGACATGGTGCAAGTGGTCCACCGATATGGCGGGGAGAATCAGTGAAAAGTATCTCGTATGAAATTAAGAAGATAAGCCTGGTTACGAGCAGAGAAGAAAGAGGAGTGAGAAGAGATGGGGTGTAATGAGCAAGAGGTTGCGAACGGCGCGGGCGGAGGAGGAGGAGGAGGAGGAGGAGGAAAGGCGGAAGAGCGACAGGCCGGGGCTGGAATCCGTTTGTTCCTGTACTTTCCATCCTTCTTGTCATTCACCAAGTCGATACACAAGTCCCATCTACTTAATATTTACTGTCATCTTCCCAGTCGCCTGATAGTGAAGGCGTTTTACTCTCACTCTCACCTTCAAAACACTCAACATATTATACACATTCGAGACATGTCCGGCTCACATCTACACAACGCTCTCCTCCGTCCTCCAATCATTCAGATCCTGCGCGCTGCAGGCTTTCACTCGACGCGTCCTTCCGTTCTAGACACTCTCGCCGACCTCACTGCTCGATACATCATGCTCCTTGCCTCCTCCACGAGCGCACACGCGGCCAACGCCCACCCCGAGGACCCTGTTCCGGTTCTTGAAGACATTTACCAAGCCTTACAAGACGCAGGCGCGTTGCGGCCGCAGCTGCGGGAGTGGGAAGAGGAATGGCAAGGGGAGGAGGACATGCGAGGGCTGGACGGTTTTCTATCGTGGTTCACCGGCCCAGCCAACCGCGAAATCAGACGGATTGCCGGTTTCGTTCCCAGCGAAGGTGACATGGTGGATGCGGACTCCCTCGAGAAGGAAGACTTCTTGACAGCCCTAAAAAAGAAGCACAGCAAGACGGGAGAGGAGTCGCGTTACGCAGGAACCGTTCTTGGAAAAAGCGGCGAGGAGCATCCGATCGTGATCGAGGGTGGTGCGCCGACCCTGCAGGATTGGGGTTCTCAGATGCGCTCCCGGGCGCCCTACTTGGGCGATAGTGACTCGTCGGTGAGCAGCGCACCGAGTAACTTGTCTGATGGAGAGGGTATGGATGTGTGATGGGCCGCGCGGGAGTGGAACTCCTTCCTAACCTACGACACACTTCTGGGGGCTCATCGACCATTGTGGTGCTGCAAGCCCGGTCAACCCAAGCGCGGACTCTCTACACGTGTGGTATTAAATCAACCATTTGAACCAATTCGACGCAGCTGGCTGGCCCAGCTTGACGGCATCACCGGGAGCAATCGCCCACTACATTCGCCATTCGGCTGGCGCACACGCTCTCGACCCCATTCCTAACCACAGGGGCTGCAACGTCCAGAAGGGCAGCACCAGAGTTCCAGCCGAGTCCAGCGCAGAGTTGGAGCAACAGGACGATGCCACGACGAGAATGCATGCGAGGAACGGCAGCGCCATGGAGGGTCTCATGTATCTACCATACCAGGGGCGCAATCAAGACAAAGTCTCCGTAATTGAGAAGAGCCCAATGTCTGAAAAGTCTCAATTCCCACTGCGGTAAACTCGTATGTTCGTGCCCTACACAGTGAACAAGCCTAGGCAATTCTTGGCCCGCCAACGGATAGCTTAAACTTCTTCCCCTCACCTCCGCGTGTTCCAATTCACTTTCCACCGCAACACGACAACACACTCTCTCCGCCAAACACAGCCCACTCACCATGGTCTACGCCTTCACGCTCCCCACCACCTCCCATCTCTCCTTCCAGAATTTCATCTCATCTAGCACACATCCATCCCTCCCGCAAGCCGCCACCACCGCCCGCCATGCCCTGCGTCAGGCCCTCAAAGCCCACAAGCGTCTACCCCGCGGCCCGCAACAAGACGCGCACCTCTCCATCGTCTTAACCGCCCTGACCACCTATCTCCCCTACCTCGAAGCCATCTCCAGCGGCCTAAGCAGTACACCCACCGATGCGACCAGCGAAGAAGTCGAAATCACCTTACACAGCGAGATTGTCACCTTCTGGCGCCCGACGCTCACCCCCGCACCCAGCACCACCCTCTCTTTCAAACACCTCCCCACCTCCCCATCCAGCGGGCGCAACAACACCGGCAACAGCAACAGCAGCAGTAGCAACAGCAGTAACCGACATCGCATCCGCGGCGAAGGCATCGACTTCGAAACCGCCCATGTTCTTACAACGCTAGGCTACGTGCTCAGCCTGCTCGCGCACACGGGGTTGATGCGGACACTGTACGCCTCGACAACGCCAACCAATGAGCAACGCACCGCCGCCGTCCAAACCGCCACCAAACACCTTCTGCACGCCAGCGCTATCCACAACCTCCTGGCCTCGTCCCCGGCTTTCGCGACAGCCGCCCGCGCCATCGCCACCGCCGCATCGACCTCCTCCCTCACCCCGCAACCCACAAACCCCGCCCCCGCTCCCTCCCTCCCAGACCTCGACCCCGGCACCCAAACCGCCCTCTCCGCGCTCGCCCTCGCCGAAGCCACCCTCCTCGCCGTTCTGAAGGACGACTCCTACGTCTTCGCGTGCATCCAGGCGCGCAACCCCAAGGATAAAGATTGGATGGTCCGGGCGCCGGAGATCCCAAAGGTGCGGGCGCACCTATTCGCGCGGCTGTGCATCCGCGCCGCCGAGTACGCGGAGCAAGCGGCCGCGGGGCTGGGATCGGTTGTCGGCGCCGGGAAGTCGGGCAGGAAGGCCGGGGCCATCGAGGAGGAGCTGCTGGGGTACACGCGGGTGCTGGCGCGGGTGGCTCGCGCGCGGGCGTGTCGGTTCTTTGGGGTTGATGCGGAGCTGGCGGGGAGGATTGGAGAGGCGATTGCGTGGCTGCAGGCGGCGAAGGGGGCGTTGGGGGTGAGGCCTGGAAGGGGGGAGGAGCGGGACGCGGCGGGGGCCGGGGCGGGGTCGAAGAGCAGCGGGGGGAGTAAGTTCTCCAGGTTCAAGCAGGGGTTCCGGGAGAAGTTGGAGGAGAAGAAGATGGAGAAGGACGCGGGGGCGTACGGTGGGGGTAGTGGTGATAAGATGGAGCTGGGGCCGGGGGATAACGCGGGGAGAGATGAAGAGGGACGCGTGATCGAGATGCTGGAGACGAAGTGGGTGCGGATGAACAATACGGTGCGTTGCCTTCTGCTCCGTTGTGATTTGATGATTCTTCTTCGGGTTGCAGTTCTGCTTCAGCGCTATGCTAATTGACCGATAGATAAACACCCAGTTGATCCCGCCGTCGGCGGATCTTTTGGCCAACTTACCGTCTGGTCGAGATATCCATTCTCCGCCCGGGGCGTACCGGATTCCCGCGCTGGACGAGGAGCAGCTGGTGCGTATGCGGGCGCCGCCAGCAGAGGACGAGTTCGGACCGGGCAGCGATGAGGAGAGCGAGGACGAGCCTGCTGTGGCCGGGGTAGGGGTATCGAGGGTCTATACGCCGGGCAGCGTGCCGGGACGGACGGATAGTGCATATTATTGATGTTGAGCATAGTTGTGCTGGAGTGTGCAGGGCTGAGCACTCCGCTCCGTATCTACCATGCGCTCCGCATTCAGTCACCTTAGAGCAAACTTAGTATCAAAGTAGAACTCAGCCATCGAATATTTCAACCCATCCCATTGACATACACAGCATAGGTAGTATAGCTAAATCAACACGAAAACCGAAAATAAACACATGTAGTACAATCATGAAGAAAAAAAAAGGATGATATAATATAAACACCTTTCCCGCAACCCTCACCATCACCAACAAACCCCATCTTGCATCTTGCCGCCGTCTATCCTCTGCCGAAACATGCAGTGCGTGACCAACAAAACCCAATTTTAGGCTGACTTCTCCTGTGAGAAGTGGTTCTTCTCCTGGAAGAGGTAACCCTTGATCTTGCGCTCGCCGAGAAGCTCGAAGTATTTTTCTACAACAATGAACTGGTTAGTGTATGTTTTGGGAGCAATGAGTCCAGTCCGGGTCTCCCTTCCAGAAAAGACTTGCAAACATTCCCTTTGCATGAAGCCAATTCATCATCATCATCATCATTCACACATCCATCTCCCCAGTTTCAATTCTCGGAAACCAGGCCCCCAATCTGCACCCCCACCTAACCCCCTCCTCACCTCTCCTCCACCATATCCAAATTCATATTTAAGACCACAAATAAAAACACAAAGGCGAAAAAAAGGAGACCTACCCCTCAAAACCCCACACTTCTCCAAATGATTCACTCCCTCGCGCGCATAGCACTTGCCCAGCTCCTCGCCGACCAGACGCGACATCATGCTGCGCACCCACTGCTCGCGGATGATGGCGTCGCGGGCGTTGTGCACGGCGACGTTGTCCTCGTAGTCGATGCCGTCGTAGGTCGGGGCCACGGTGGGCTTCTTGGCCAGGAAGGCGGCGGATTCGGGGGTGGGCATGTTGCGGGAGTTGTTATGTTTTCAATCTGGAATTGAGGAGGTGGGTGAGGTGGATGTGGGTTCGGACACGATTGCGTGCGTGGTTCGGAGGAGGACCAGTTGATTTTGTGGGTTGCTGGAGGGTGCTAGGTCGAGTTGGAGGGATTGAGTTCAGGTTGAAGATGCTCGGATGCAGCGAGTGTAAGTGAAATACAATTGGGGCGTTGTGATTGGGTGAGAGGGGAAGGCGGTCAGCTTGTGGACTTGAGGTGAGGGATGCTTGTGGCTGATTAGTCATATCAGCTTATACTTGAGTTATGCTGGAGTTATGCTAGGTATTTACTAGGCACAGTAGTCATTGCATAGTCATTTGATGATATTTCTGCTGAGTTGCACAGATGATGAAGTAGATTTGAGAAGACTCTTTCATTGGAGGACAGATTTGAACCAAGCACCCCTCAGCACCATGACGCCTTGCCAATAATCAACAAATCCTTAATAAAACAATCCCAACGCCTCAATGCCCCCCCGCCAAGCATACTAGCTCATGTACTGCAATCACTCCGTCTCCTCAACCCGAGGAAAGAGCTTGTCACGCAGGCCATTCAGGCGCTCCTTCAACCGCTCCCACGAAGTCCGGTTCAACCACTTGCTGTACTCGCGATACCGATACATTTCACCCCAGCAGTCCCGGCCGAAATTACAGCCGGCCATGTTCACCAGAAAATCGCCTTCGTCTTCCTGGTAATGAATCTTTGGGTCATCCCCATCGCCGCAAGCGCCAGGGGGAAAGGAGTTGATGTGACGCTGGGGGAGGAAGGCCACACCGCTGCGAATCCACGGCTGCGTGGTGTAGAGATACTCCAAGGCATCCTGCTCCTTGTGCTCCCATTCCATATGCTTCTGTTCGTACATCACAGGATCCCACCAGGCGTCCAGCAATCGATCAGCCCACAGAGATCGTCGGATGAAGAAGGAGCCGAGGTTGAATCCACCGCAGTCTTGCGAGAGGAGAAAGTTGATCGAGGAGGTATCGTTGTCCCCAGTAGGAGACAATGAGATCTGGTCCAAGTAGGGGTCAGTCAGGGGATGGTGGATGCCGAGCGGGTTGTAGACATTAATGTCCCGATAAGCAATCTCGCCAAGCCGGTTGAGGACATGGTCCTGCAGCGAGTACGAGTACTCCATAATCCAGGTGTTCAGGTCCAACCACCAGAACCTGCGCCCAATTAGCCCCTACTGTTATCCCTTGGATCCCAGACAGTATAGCTTACCACTCCGCATCGGGATACTTGCGCATGGTCTCCCGGATGATGTCGACCTTCTCCCAGTTTTCGCGCCACTCATGTGAATAGCGCTTCTTGGCCAGCATATTGACAACCTCGAGCTCGTAACCCCAGCGCTTGGCGTAGTGATCTTTGTTCCAGATGCTGTTGCGCTCGATCGCCCATTCCCGCGCGCCCTTCCACTCCATCACTCCTCCCTCGATATTTGACTCCAAGATGATCACGAACTTGCGCCCTCCGCCCAATGGTGACCGCCGGTAGGCCTCGATGATTCCTGTCACCATCAGTCAGTACCTCGTGCTGCGCGTGCATACCACATCCGAGCTTCACGTACGTGTCCAAAGAAACGTGTATCCGAGCAGCATGACAACCAGGACGAGCAACAGCCGCGATCGTCGGGGTCGAAAGACCGTCCTGCTAAACCCCCAGGCGCGCCCGCCATCAGTCGAAGCAAACGCATGTCCCCGCCGGAATTCATCCTTATCGACATAGCCATTGGGGGATCCGGACCCCAGGCGAAAGCGCGGGAGCGTCGCAGACAACTGGCGCCTCGACCGCGAGAAGAAGCCATTGTTCTTGGTCGCGAAGGACGGATAGCCGCGAACCTCGTCGCTTTTGGCTTTAGCGGCTGCCCACGAGATGCCACTCGGCCCTAGGGTTGTCGGGGAGAGTAAGCCACTGTGAGGCGTCGAAGTGCCACTCCCGTGTGTAAAGCCGGGGCTGGACCATCCACCTACCCCCGTCGGGTGGGGAGATGGTGACCGGGAATATGACATGGACTGCGGAGTCGAACCCAAACCAGGACAAGAAAACTGGGCAATTTCCAGCGAGCGCGACAGCCACGCAGGAAGAATCACTGGATAGGTGGTCGGCGCAACTCTCGGGAAGGACGAGCGCGTGGGGAGAGAGATCTCAACTCATGGACAGCAGAGCAGGATCGGGGTAGGAAGAACAGAAGGAGAAAGGAACCAGAAGCGCCATGAAGGGTGAGAGATATGGGTTGACATGGAGGCTACAAGATAACAACACCACCCAATCCATTTGACCAGAAAATCAAATGTAAAATTATTTGGCTGACGGAAGAGGAATGGTGAAATGTGCAATCGACAGGAACAGGCACAAAATCCCATCCGCGAACGGGTCTGTCCGTTTCCGTCGAACTGGGAAGAAGTGTGGCAGCAACGGTTCATTTCAAGGGCACACACGCTAGGGGTGAGTGGCCCCAGATGAACCACGTATAAGGATTCAACCTACGGCCTTGAGGTCGACAGCCACCGGGAATGTAGGTACTAGGTAGTGAGTTAGTCGCAGTCAGTGACCGGATTCTATAATCCCTTTCCGCGCGTGCGCAGACTTCCGTGGGACATGACCATCATCCGTCAAACAAGGACGAAGATCTGTGTGAAACGAAGACAATGAGGAGATGATGCTCGGAGAAGATTAAGGATTGCGCATTTGCAATCGGTGGTTGGTGGGGTTCAGAGGAAAAGGAGATGAAGACTGTTTACCAAAGGAAATTAAAGCAATCAACAGTTGGGGAAATGCCCCGCCCCCTCGCTTGCACGCGGAGGACTTTCACTTTCACTCTCATCTTTGGCTGGCATTCTTTCGGATGCGGCAGTGATAATGGAACCCATCAATCTGCTGGGCCACTGCCATATCTCAGGATGATCATCAAGTGTCCCTCAAGACTGCCTATCGCGAATTCGTGTGGGTTGAAACATGATTGAGGACAGAGACACATAAATTGATGCTTGATAGTGGGAATGAGGCTAAAGCAGACTAATTCAACCAGGGATCCACTGCACTGAATCCACCCTCTAAACCCGTTGTGTCGGGGGTTCGTCTCAGGGTCACCTCGGCCCGAAATCATGAATCGAACACCTAACAGTCTCGGACTTTGCGGTCAAATGTACAACTCGATAGGTATCCTAAGTAGTAACATCACAGAGGGCGTGTATCATCTTGCTTTTCATCCCGAGCGTTCAATCGTAGCTCCGTCGTTGCATGAACAGCCAGTAACCGTCCCACCTTCCTGAATCCAGCACAAACTCCAATTCAAAAAAAGGACATCATTCCAAGAAATCATATATAGCTTCCATCTTCGCATAGTACAAGCCTCGGATGTTCTATTGACATATCCAACTCGGCCAAGCAAGGTCCCTTCTACTTCCTCGCATAGTCTTTGCGCACCGGCATTTGATTAGCCGCCTTCTCCTTGGGCATCAGCACCTTGCGAACTGTGAATCCCTTCTCAGCTTCTGGTCGCCGCCGCGCGCTATCTCCATGATAGAACTCGCACTCGAATCTCAAAAATTTGTTTCGATGTTGGTAGACAGTAATCACATCACCCGTGTAAAGCTTGCCGAAGTGAAACCCTTCCCGGTTGTTGTTGTCCTGCTCAGGCCCCCGGCGTAGCTCAGTGCCATTGACCCAGATACATTTGCGTGTCTTAGTCGAAAGAATGGCCATAACTCCCGGCAAACTCAGCCAGTCTTGACCCTCGGCGATTTTGGCCTCGATCGCGGGCGCCCAGAACGTCACCTCCAGGGCATATGCAGGAATCCGTGTATCCATCGGTTCGGGGTAACAGATGGTTGCCTGCGGTCCGCGACCCCATGAAGTCATTCGATTCTCCAATCGAAGAGTGAGGTCAAAGATGGAGCCTGGTAGCGTGCTCAATTTGCCCAGAAGCCGAGGCTCTTTGCGTTGCGGCATAGGTTGCGGAACTCGAAGGGGCACACCATCTGGTTCAGGATCAGGCTCCGTAGGTGGTTCCGGAGGTTCTGGCCTCTTGTTTATATCCAGTAGTTGCTTTCCTGTTCTGGCATCAATCGTGTTCGCCAGTTCAATGTTAAAGATTTCCTCTCCGCTTTCAGCCTTGGGTTCTTTGGTCTTTTCCTTTGCAAGAGACCCTGGACTGGAACGGTCACTAGCAGTATCAGGCATGGGCAGTTCTATCCGGCGACTGAAAATGGCCGAAGGCTTAGGAGTCTCTTCCACAACATCGGTGCGCTGTTTCGTGCTCGAAGCTTGCTTGACCGGGTCGCCTATGTTCGTTTTAGTTGGCGGTTCCTGTGCCTCGACGCCCTGAAGATTGGGACTCGAGGTGCCAGGATCCAGTGAGTTCACGTTCAGCTGCCCAATAAGTTTCTCAGCTCCCATTAAGCTAGGTGCGGATCCGGCAATGGGGTTTTCCGGGAGGGAGAGGATAGAAAATAGGCTGTTGCCGTCGCTTATCATCGACTCACCAGTTGAAGACATAAAGTCATTGATGCTGAAATCATCATCGCCCTCGAATGCGTCCACATTTTCCCCCAACGCATGGGAACTGTGGAGAACCGATGGTGTGATCTCACCAAAAAGGCGTTTGGGTGTAGATTGTGCCACTGGCTGAAAGGACGCAAAGCTTTCGAGCTCTGGGAGTGACGGGTAACGAATGCTGGCTGAAGGGAAATCGAGTTTGATTTTCTTGGATTGAGCCAGGTCGCTTCCTTCTTCATGGATTTCTACCGCTTTCTCGTTGAGGGAGAGCTGCGATGCATCTAACTCCCCTTCAGCATCTTCCCCAATATCTGGCAGCCCCTCGACCATGTCAGATTTATCTTCGTTGTCATCATACTGATCAAAGTCGGGAACGTTGGCTATCCAAGGATGCTGAAAGCATTGTCTCTCATTCGGTCGAGAATGAGGGTCACGAGTCAAGAGCCGAGCAACAAAGTCAATGCCCTCTTCTGAAACTCCGACGCTACGGAGCTGGTCGTATTCGGCGTCCTCAGTCATGATAATTCTGAGCATTTGAGCTCCCCTATCATCGCCACGTGGAGCGAACGGGGGGACACCTGCGAGTAAATGAAAAAGGACGGCGCCCAGCGACCACATATCGACAGACTGACCATAAGGAGATGTTTGCGGAGGCCTGACCATTAGGACAATTTCGAAAAAAAACAAGTGGTATGGACTTACGGATCACCCAACCGACGCCGCTTCTTGATCTCCCCACGTCGATACGTCTCGTATTCCGGATAGACTTCCGGTGCACAATACAGGAGTGTGCCGCAGAAGGTCCTTAAGAAAGTCTCTTCCTGGACAACCTTAGAGAGACCAAAATCCGACAGCTTAACCGTTAGAGGGTCGAAAGACGAGATTAGGATGTTGTCCGGTTTGATGTCACGGTGCGTAACCTTGCGGGCATGAAGGTACTGCAACGCATGTAGGATCTGGCGGGCCATAGGCTTTACCATGTCCTCCTCAATCTTTCCATGCAACTGCAGGTAGGTAGATAACTCGCCGCAAGGGACATACTCCATGATTATATAGATCCAACGGTCGTGTTCGTGGTGATCGATATACTGCACAATGTTGGGCTAACCAAACGCAAGCCATTAGTTCTGATGACCCGGAAGAGTAGCAAAGGACGGCGGGAAATTTTACATGTTTCAAGTCTCTCATGATTTGCATCTCATTGTCAACCTTCTTGTCGAGTATGCCATTTTTCATGAATCGTCGCTTATCGAGTTCCTTGGCAGCATACACGGTACCGTGCTGTTTGGTAGCGAGCTTATACACTGTAGCAAATGCACCTTTTCCAATCTGACCGGTGACATTATATGTTGACCCTCCAGACCAGTGCATTCCATAGGTATTGGAGCCAGACATTTGCAAGGCCGGTGCGGGTGTCGCGCGATGATTGCGAGCCATCTTACCAGCCTGCTGAGGCTGGAGCTTCGAGATTCGCTCGAAGTAGCGTACGATGTTTTCGGTATATTGCATCATGTACCCATCCCGCGAGGGTATCCGGACAATAAAGCGGACCTCATCCGACGCATTCTCACCATTCATGACTTGAATCACTGAACCGTTGACGAGCATACGGCTCCTTTCTTTCTGAGTCTTCCGAAGACGGGAGTTGTCCACTATCGTACCGTTTGTTGAGATGTCCTCGAGCATGATGATCCCGTCTTCTGTAAGGAATATGCGGTAATGTGTATTGGAGATCTTTCCCATGTCGCCCTGCGCCGTGAGCAAGAGGTCGCTGCGACTTGGATTTCGTCCAAAGTAGAAGCCTGCGCAAGGGTCGCGGACCTGGGAAGATAGGCGAAGAGCAAAGTCCAATGCGGCAGTATCGGAACACTCGTAGTCTAGTGCATGTCTCTGCAATATATGCTGAGGACTCTGGCGGGCGGTTGCTGCCACCGCTTCATGAGCCGCAGGCGAGTTGGGGTGCAAGATACAGATAATATCCGTCATATCATCTTCGAATAGTCCGGAATTGTTGTAGCCGGCACGGCGAGGATCCGTGCACGGCTGGGTTGATTCCTGAGTGGCCTCCATTTGTGATGACAAGAGTTTGCAATAAGCGACGCAGAAAAGTGCGAACGAAAAAGCTCAAAATGTGATGTGGGGTAGATATAGATAAATCTATTGACAAGAGACTGTGAATAAAAAATAGTTTGCTTGTACTGGTGATGATAAGTTGTGAATATGCAAGGAAAGATATGCGTAACTAAGGCGATTATCAACACGGTTGATTCGCACGGCTGCATCCAGATATAAGCCTCTGCAAAGTGCACTTTCCCATTTTATGCGTGTAGGTCGTGATCCAAAGCGCCAAGTGCTCTTACCTCGTGAAAACCAAGAATTAGCACTTCCTGTGCAGTGCTATTTCTTGTTTATCCCGGGCGAGATTCTGAGTACCAGGAAAGTATGTCCAAAGCCACCGATGCTGCTTGGTTCGGCAGGCTAGTAGCAAAACGTCTATGTATTGCACCTCAAGCCAGAAGCCAGTGAGTCCAGTTTGGTGTGTATCAGGCTATTGACCGACTCAAGTTCTCGCGAGTAAGGGTACGCGTGATGTACGTTCAAGTCCCTTGAATAGATCGCGGAGCGGACTCATTGAAACAAGGAGCGAAGGAGGCGGTGTCGACCGGACTTTATGGATCGGAGAATGCAAACTCTCATTTGATCATATCTATAGCTATGCATGCACCACTATTAGTGAAGATGTCTCTCGATCGACAAAGTATTCCGTAGAGAAGGCAAAGGGAACCCACACGATAGACGTGCTCCCCGCCAGCCACCCACTCATAACAAGTCCAGATTGCTGCAACAGTCTCAGCTTGAGACGCAAAACCAACAATTGAGACGAGAGAAGAGGCTGTCCGGCAGGTGTCGTCGTCGGAGAAACATGCAGCAAGGCAGTGAGAGGCAAGAAAAGGCTGGGGTAACTTTTGTTTGGTTATTTTGACCTCCTTCGGCAGCCCCAGGCACCAACCCTAGCCACGGGCGGGCTAATCGGTGCCTGGCCAATTAAAGCTAGGGTCGGAGAGGCAGGCGGCAGTCACATTTGTGATGATCCGTGGGATAGCCCCGGCAGCTATATTTGCTACTTGTAACTTCATGTAGGTCGCTGGAGCCTAGAAGTGACTGGTAATTTACTATCTACACATATCATAGGACTCTATATACCATCTTGCATCACCAGTTTCTTTATCTATCGCGTACCGTAGGGCTTACTTCGATCAGTACTACGTTGATACTCTCCGCTCAATGCTGTCTTGAAGACTTGCTCCAACCGGGCAATGGCCTCGTCGGATACCTCTGCGCTGAATGTTATAACATGTCACTTAGAATGAGGGACAAGGGGTGAAGGAGACTTACGGTAGTGAATTACAATTCGATTACCTGATAGCTTGAGACCCTTTTCCTGGGCGATGGTCTCCAGATCGTTGCATCCTGGCCCCGACGCCTCGAGATCCAGCCAGACCATGTTTGTCTCCACTGGGTGGGAGAGCTTGCCTCCTAGACTTGTCCATAGCTGAGCAACCTTCTTTGCATTTTGATGCGATGAGAGGAGTTTTCCTTGCTTGCCATGAGGATCAGACCCGAAAGTTTCTTCAACGGCGACTCGGGCGGCCGCCGCCAGCACGCCCGCTTGACGCACTCCTCCGCCAATCGTCTTCCGGAACCACCGAGCCTTCTTGATAAAGTCTGCGGACCCTACGATGATACTGCCGATGGGAGCGCCTAGACCTTTGGAGAAGCACAGACTCACGCTGTCAAACAGGGAGGCGTATTCTGGCAGGCTACCTGCGCCAGACACCACTGCTTCCCATAGTCTCGCACCATCAAGGTGCACTTTGATACCATTTGCATGCGCCCACTCAGTGATCCTCTGAGCTTCCGCGAGTGGCATAACCCTCCCGTCCAGGGTGTTCTCGAGACTTATGACTTTCGTGGGACAATAGTGGATATTCTCACTCAGCACGGCATGCTTTTGAATGTCCTCCAGAGTAAGGTAGGTGCCATTTTTGGGAACAACTGGGAAAACAGTCGCACCAGTCAAAGAGCTGACACCTCCAGCCTCGTAGCGGAGGATATGTGCACGGTGATCGCACAGCACTGAGTAGGGTGGCTCCTTCAAATGGGTGCGGATCGCGACCTGATTGCCCATGGTGCCAGACATTACCAGCAAAGCACTTTCATGCTGTGTCCGCTCCGCCACGTATGCTTCCAGGTCATTTGTTGTGGGGTCTTCACCGAAGACGTCGTCGAGAAGCGTGGTTTGGCAGATGGCTTCCAGCATTGTGGGCGTAGGTTTTGTCATGGTATCGCCTTTAAGATTCAACTTCAGCAAGATCCACGCACCACAGCGCTGTTCATGAACTCACTTCTGAGATCGAACTCAGCGGCGCCAGCACCTTGCCACGTGCTGGGCCTGTTGCTACCGCCATGCGCGACAGTTGATGTGCTGGCCATTATCAATTGAGGAGGGTATGCGATTCGCGCAATTGAAACTAAGGGTCTCGGAGCGGAAGGAGAGCAGAGTAAGAGGCGGGTGAGATATCTCATGAGGGACTTATATATAGCTATGCAGCAAGTAGCATGGAGATAAGCAAAGGAGTGTAAGCCTGAAGTCGACCAGGGAGTGGAAGAGGGGTGATAGTGTGCTTATGCGGGGTGCCCAATCTGCTGGAGGAGTGACTCGGGATCCATCCTCCTCGGAGTGCCAGCTAAAGAGCGAAGGACTCGGGAGGCCAGCCTATGACGGCAAGCCAAACGCGTGCTATCTTATCGATAAGCCCAATTGGCACAAGCCGACCCGCCAGCGTGTCCCTGGGTGTAGCTGACTCAGCAGTCGAGATCCCTCTGGATTCTTGCGGGCAGGTTTGCGAACGTCCTTGTCTCAAACTTCCCTTAACCCCCTCTTTTCCTCGACAACTCAGGATTGTGCTACAGCGACACACAAGAATAGTAGCTTCCTGGCGTGGGTGCCACACCCCCTCCCATCCCCTTACTTCTCTCACATAATGTCCGCCACCATGGATCTCTCTCGACTTACTCGACCCGCGATCTTGTGTCAGTGCTCGCGATGCTCCAGCTCCCTCGCCGCCCTGGAGAACGAGTGGGCGAAGCTGTCAAACTCCTACTCCATAGCGGCGGGGTGGCTAAGCGTCGAGCTGCATCGCATTTCTATATCATCAGAGAAGAAGCAAATACCTCAAACGTCAGAGTTAAGTAAACTGCGGGGTCGCATTCTACAGGAGGTCTCATGCAAGCTTTGCCAGCAGAAGCTGGGAGCGCTGTGCGCGCTTGACAACGGGTAAGAAAGGGACGGTGTCAATGTTCCCGCACCCAAGCTGACAGCATATCGAAGCCCCAACATCTTCTGGAAACTTTCGAAAGTATCATTCAGAGAGATCGTTACAATGCGTACTGTCGAACCTTCTTTCAAGGATGGAGCTCTCGAACGCCTGATATTCCCCCCGCAAGAACAGCGACGAGATCAGGCCTCAAATCAGCCAGGCGCTTTGGTACCGACCGGGTCGACGGAGCTGGACACGCATGGCATTTCGGTAGAACAACAGATTCAACACCAAGGTCTCAGCCTTGATCATATCTCTAGTTCGGTCAGCAACCTTCACGATACCATGTTCGAGTTGAAACACGCATTTACTGCTCTGCGCATCGAGCTGAACGGTCCGGGTCGATTTGCACCGGATATGAACAACCCGGCGAGCAAGGATTTGATGATTGCAACCGTGTTGAAGGAACTCCGGTCGAAATCCGAGGAGATCGAAAGACTAAAATTGGAAAATGAAGCGTTGAAGTTGAAGAACCGTTACGTGGAGGAACAGCACTCTGCCAGGCAACAAACACAACTACCTCCTTCACTGCCAATATTGACCGTTGGTGAGATGCTACCGGAAGTGCGGAGTCCAGGGCTGTTACATGGGAGCAGAAAGCGACCCTGGCCAGACTCGTTTCCCAGCGGTCGGACTCAACCGATTGGGGACTCGTTTGATGATGATGACGACGACGACGACGAAAGCATTGGCGACTTTGCTCTCGAAAGCAGGACGACCATACCACCCGTCAGAATTCCGCTCAAGGATCGACCCCTCCATAACTCAGAAACCGTCCATACGACGGATTCGACGACACGCGAACCAAGTCCCTCGGGTTCTTCTCGATTGCGCATCGAAGTCAACAACTCCCGACACCAAACCCCACACTACGATCTCACCATGGACGCAAGCATGGAGGCACCCACAACTTCGCAGTCAAGGGACGGGCCCATCGTCAAACGCCTCCGGTTGGCGCAACAACCAGACAAGAGCACATCCAGTGTGAGGAAAGCAGGGCGACCCCGCAAGTCATTCAGCCAATCCGCCAAACCCGACATCTTCTCCAACCTCAAACCCGCACCCCTCACGGAACAAAACACAAACAACACCAACGGTACCAGCAATCCCAAAGAAACGGCCCCCACCACCACTACTAGCCCGAACGACCCAGCTCAGGCCCAAGAGCCTCGACGCACACGCTCACGGAGCCTCCGGCGACGGCAATCGGCGAACAATCAATTTTTTTCGGCCCCAGCACCACCACCAGCACCTCCCACCGACAAACTCAACGGCGAAACCTTCAGCCCAGCCGACCCGAACCCCCCTAGTGCCGGCAAAATAAACCCCTCTGTTCCCATGAGCGACGTCCAAAAAACGGGTAACAGTGAGAAGCGCAAGGCGCAGACCGCCGCGCGCGACACCATAGTCCGACTGGCCATGCAACGCGAAGAAGCCATGGAAACGGATACTTCCCGATAAGCGTCGGTGTAGACAGAGAGAGAGACAGTATTGTGAGGTGCCGCTTTTCTTCACCACCAAAACAAGCCTCTTTCCAGTTGTCGTATTTTGCCCGTTTGTCGTGCAACTTGCTGCTTAAGTCATCTCCGTTACAGGCGTTAGGGTGAATGGATGGTGTGGCTGGGTGGGATCGGGATAAATGGATTCGGCTGGTTAAGTGTCTAGACTGTACTGAGTATTTCTGATTCTAAAAAGAAAAATTTCTCCATATCCCAGTAATATTCCCAATTTCGTCCGAGGTCAGAATGCAAACTTGTCCTGCCTCGGAAGAAATAAGAAATTCTTGTTTCTCGATAGGCTACATCAATAGACTTCCAACGCGGCTGCTACTTTTCAGCAGAATGACAAGGGTCTCATTCATGCCTGCCCATTTCATACTAAATAACCTCCTAGATCTGACCAAATCTAACCTAATCAACACTGGTATATACCGTACATACATAAACAGATCCTCTTACACATCTCTACTCTACTTGACACACATAAACCCACAGCCCTCGCGGGCCCGCTCACAGGCTTTCTTGAGCGCCTGCTCCTCCGTATCCGTCCACTTGACACTCAGCTCATCCCACGGCTTCTTAGAGTTATACTCCTCGCGGAACTGCTTGTGCATCGCCTGCAAACGGGCGACCTCGCGGGGATCCCCGGTGCCCGAGTAAAGCATGAACAAAGTACAGGGCGGCAGGGACTCGTAGATACGCTGGATGTTGGTAACTGTCCGCGCCACAACATCTGCAAGTTGCGGGGCCGTCGTCGTCGTCGTGGATTCCTGTTGCGTCTCGGGTGCGGAAGACGATGTCGTTTGTGCTGCTGCGGCGTCCACAGGGGCATCGGAGGCGCTGGACTCCTCCGCTGCAGGAATTACCACAGCGGTGGATTCGTTCGCGTTGTTGGGGTCTGGGAGACGGTTACAGAAGCCGCGGTGGGATTCGAGTTCGCGCAGGCGCGCCCAGGTGAAGTCGACCCCGCCGCCGGGGATGGACGGGTTGGTCGCGTCGCCGTTGACGGCGGCGGAAATGCCGTTGACAACGTCATTGTCGTCGACACAGCCGATTGCGACGGTCGCTTGGGCGCCAAAGCCTCGTTCGGGGTTGCCCCAGTCGACGACGGCGCCGGTGCGGCCTTCGAAAGTGTTGGTGGTGGTGGTGGTGGCAGTGGTGGCTGAGGTGATGTGCTTGCCAGGTCGAATGGAGCGACCAAGACGCTTGAAGATGCTTTCGTTGGAGTTGTCGCCCGTGCCCCAGCGTTCTCCCTTCTCGCACTTCTGCTTGACGAGCTCGAGTACGGCGCGGGCGTCTTCAATAGAATCGTGGCCGGTTTGGCCCTTCTGAATCTCCTTGCCCATGTATTTTTGAGTGAGCCATTTCAGGCTGCACTTGAGGGGTGGGCCACGCGGGTGCGGGTAGATGAGGGTGGTGTCGACGATGAACGGGTGTGTCATCTTGAGCGCGTTCATGTCGGAGTTGAGGGAGTGGCCAACGAGGATGGCTCGCGGGGTGAGGATCGTGAGGAGTTTCTGCTGAATATCGGCGATGGTGGTGGTGACGGGATCGAGCTTTTCCTTGGTGATGCCAGAGAATCGAGTGAGGTAGTCGATGATCGGCTTTTGAGGCTTTACGAGCTCATCCAATATGACTTCCCCATCCCAGCGGACCAGACTGATTCGCGTGAGTTCAGATTGACCTCCTTCCGTGATGCACATTTCACAATCCAAAGCCAATACGTCCCGTCCTGCGGTCATACTTCCCTGCTGTATCTCGTCGTCTGGTACTTGGCCAGCCTCCAAATTCTCCACGTGGGTATCAACCCATCCATCCTCAGAGGACTGACCGGCTCGCCTGCGGTTCTCGGCTAATGTCAATCTTTCTTGCTCATTAGCCATGAGAGCTGGATGTAGGACGTAGTCGTTTTCGCGCAAATCCTCGACGGAACTGATAAATGCAGTGATTGGGGTTCTCTGGAAGACCTGGTTCTTGTCCACCTTGGGGGCTTTCGGACCCTTGGTGTTATTGTCCTTGTTCTTCGGGAGTGGAGTGAGGAGCATCGCTTGAAGCGGCGAGTGAACCTTGTTATACTTGGTATCTCCAGGCGCCTTGACGGGCCAAGCGTGAGGAAATATATCCGCCAACGACTTCAAAGGCGCTGGAAGGCTCTCCCGCGTCAAGGGACGCGGGTTGTATCGATGAGACCGATCCTCCAGAGGCAGACCTTGCTTCCACCGGGCGAAGTCCGCCGCCTTTGGATCCTCCTCTTGCTTTTCCGCAGCTTCTGTATCGTGGTCCATCTCCATCTCCTCGCTCGCCTCCTCCAGTCCCAGTGATATAGACCCATCGAGCATCCCGAGTTCCAGACCAGGCACCATGACTACCACAACCTTTCTAACATAGCCAGAGTGCTTGATGGAAATCCATTGCGGTGCGATTCCGTCCGCGAAGCAGTAGAGGAGCAGACTTTGCAGGTCTGCAATCCGAATGGATGACTGCAATCGCCCTTCGACGTAAGTGAGAACGGGGTACTTGGTCTTGACGCCATCCACGCGCTTCTTCTTGGACGGTCGCTGTGCTGCAGCTTGCGCCTGAGCGGTCCCGGCGTCGGAGGCATCATGGCTCGCGTGGGTGCCATTTGATTCGAATGCCGACTTCTGGAGAGTCGCCAGAGTTTGTGCTACTCCGAAACTAGTTCCGGGATCTAAATTGGTTTTGACGGGGCTGTCGTCGTCCGAGCAGTCGGCGTGCTTGCGCTTTCTGGATCCGGCCATTTTGGGTCGACGGCGGCGGTAAGTTGGAACCTCAGGGGGGCTTTCAGCAGCACAAGTCTCGGTCAACACGTTCCTGTGGAGATCAAATCCGAGAACAACAGCTACTGCGCCGTATATACGTCGAAAGACCTTGATCGTTTTGACTGTGGACTGACAGGTCGCGGAAGTCCTGCGGCGAAGATCCTACCAATTTCGAGATCACGTGGTGATAGCGTATCGCGAGCTTTCGGACCCGGACTCGAGACGTGCAGGAAAGTTCCATGTTTGGAGCTGCAATTCATACAATCTGCCTTATTCAGAACCTCAAAATGACTACAGAATACTGCGCACCCATCTATAGTGAGGGACAGTCATGCGCGAATTCCCTAAATTTACAAAGGCCATCCTTTCTTATACAACCCGAGTCCCGATAAGACCTCGTCCGCCGGATACACTGATTACTCATCCATGCTCATGCTCTCAGCGGACCCCGCCAATCACGGCGGCTACAGAGCGCCGAAGATCGCAGGATGGGGCGAGGAGGGGGAAATTTAGCTGTATTACAAACTGGGTTCGATCTGATAAGCCGCCAAAATTTCGCCATCGATCTTCCCTCTTATTCCTCGATTGTTCCATTCGTATAACTTATTGTCTTGCTTCTCTGAACTTAATCGTCTTTCTCTGTCCTTTCCTGGTCACCCTACCTCCCAAGTGGACTTTACATCTGTTCATTGGAAGCAAATCCCAGCAGACAGCAACGCTCTCATACACAGTTCTCAATACACACTCCTTCCACACCCCTCCTCAGGCTTCCCCCCCCGCCGACGTCGCCGCCGCCGCCCGCCCACCCCCACCCCACGCCATCGTCACAGTCACACACAAGAACTTCTACTGCACTTCCCTCCCCTCCTCCCCTCAACACGCCCACAGAACTACAGGACCTCGGCAAAAACTAAACTCAACAACCCGGCATGTCCTCCCTCATCGAAGTGGCCTCCGAGGCCGAGTTCCCGACCTACCTCTCCTCCCTCCCACCGACCTGCCTTCTGGTCCTCTACTTCCACGCCCCCTGGGCCGCGCCCTGCACGCAGATGCGAGCCGTGCTGTCGGCCCTCGCCTCGCAATATCCCGCGACTAACCCGCCGACGACCGCCTTCCTGAGCGTCAACGCCGAAGAGCTGCCCGATATTTCGGAGGATTACGATGTCACCGCCGTCCCCTTCGTCGTGCTCGTCCGCGACGGTCAGATTCTCGAGTCCATCAGCGGCAGCGAAGCCGTGCGCGTGCGCGATGCTGTCGAGCGCTACGCCGGCGCCGGCACCGGGAGCGCCCAGTTGCAACAGAACCAACAAGCACAGAAGACCGCCATCCCCCCGCCATTGACCGCCGTACCCCGGCAGGACGCCTCCGCGTCCACGACCGCTACCCAGGCGCCCAACGGAGCCGGTGGTGCGGCCACGGCGCCCCCCGCAGAGACAAAGGAGGCCCTGTTCGCTCGCCTGGCGGAACTGGTCAAGGCCGCGCCGGTCATGCTGTTCATGAAGGGCACGCCCAGCGCGCCGCAGTGCGGGTTCAGTCGACAGCTGGTCGCCATCCTGCGCGAGCGCAGCGTGAAGTACGGGTTCTTTAATATCTTGGCCGATGAGGACGTGAGACAGGGCTTGAAGGAGTTTGCTGATTGGCCAACTTTTCCCCAACTGTGGGTGAATGGCGAGTTGGTTGGTGGATTGGATATTGTATGTCTACTCCTATTCCCACAGCACACTCCTTTTGTGCTTCTCTTCCCATTCTTATTTTTTGCGAGAGTTACGATACTGACATTCTCCGATTTTTTACAGGTCAAGGAAGAGCTGGAAAATGACCCGGATTTCCTCGCCGCGTACTCGGTTAACAAGGCTGCGTGAGATTTATAGAAGTATTTTCCCTTTCCCGTCGTCGGATTCATTGTACTGTGATGCCATGTTAAGATATTTCCCGGGGTTCCTTTTTGCGTTACCTCCTCTCAAGATCTAGCGATGACGATTGAAAAGAAAGGCTCGATTGTTCATCCTCAACTTGGTCAGTTTTGACTCTGGCTTTGCGCCTCGGGCGTTGTCAGCGCTTGTAGTACTCTAAATCTTACATCTTACCAACTGGTGCAAGTCAGTTCCCTTCTTTCTGAAGAAATCTACGAATGATCTTGCATATGATCTGAATGTATGCAAACTCAAGCTAAATCCAAATTCAAAGACGCTATGTATGCTACGCCACGAGGGCCCAGAATGAGAAATCCCTTTAATGAAACGAACCTCCTACTTGACTCCTGTTCCAAATATTCATTTGCCACGCGTCAGGGTTCTTGTTGCGCTCTGCTTGGTCCGGTCCCTTGGGCAGCATGGGCCCGTAATTTCGATTCAGCCAGAGACCGCGATGAGCCTGGCTGCGCGCGGCGGTGCGGATGCGCGAGAGCACCGCATCCTCGTCGACGTAGGCACCGGCCAGCCAGCGGTCGCCCTGGTTGGTGTTGAAGGCGCGGCGGGCGTGCACGACGCGGGTGTTCTCGAAGATGACGCACTGGCCGGGGTCAAGCTTGAGCTCGAAGGCGTTCCTCGGATCCTCGAGCTTTTGGGCGAAGTACTTCAGCGCGCGCGTGGCGAGGGCCCATTCCTGCGGGTCGGCGTAGCGGTCCGTGACGCGGCCCTGGAAGGGGGGCGAATAGTGGACGCGGGTCACGCGACGCATGACGCCCTCCGGGGGCGGCGGCTGTTCCAGCTGGAAGACGGGCCAGGTGTTGGTGTAGAAGTGGTTCTCGTGGTTGTACTCGTAGGTCAGGTGCATCTTGGTGAGGGCTTTCCACAACGGGCGCTTGGATTTGTACATCGAGCGCGCCACGTGGAAGGTGTCGGCGAAGAGCGACTCGCCGCCGTCGCAGGAATTTTTCAGGCAGTGCAGGAGCTGGTATCCGGGCGGCTCGTTCATGTACATCAGGTCCATGTGGAAGTTGAGGAACTGGTTCGTATAGGCGACATTCTCGGCATTGGGCTTGTTGCGCACATCCCAGGTCGGGCCGTAGAAGGTGTTGCGAAGGGGACCGAGCCGAGTCGCCAGCTTCTCGACCTCCGAGCGAGACTCCGGGATATTCTTGACGAAGATGAGGCCTGTTTCGGCCAGGCTCTGCAGGGCGCGGGCGAACTCTTCGCCCTCCTGCATGTAGTCTCGGTAATCAATCCAGTGCACAATTTTCTCGATTTCCTTGCGATTCCACAGATGTCGCCACCTTCTCACACTGGCGGCACTCTGTAAAAGCGGGCCAAGGACACCATTTTTCATGAGGTTAATGGTGTAAGACGACTTGTGGATCCCACCTCTTTCAGCCGTTTCGTCCCAGTATATCGTCACGAGCTTACCGAGAACGCGAATACTCTGCGGCTTGATATCAAGCGGGATGTCGGTGGTCCGGAAGTTGCGTTGCTTAGTGGACGAATCCACGCAAGTTGTACACCGGCATGCGTCGCGCAGCGTGTGATAGAGAACTGTAAAGGCCTTCCGGCCGTGTTGCTTTATGATGAGACGATCTTCGTCGACCCGAATGTATTGGATATCATCACTTTTAATTTCTATGGGGATTCGCGCATCTCCGAGTAGCCGAGGATCATTAGGGTCATAGTCAATGGGCCCGCCGGCCAGGTCCAACAAGGACTGAGAATCTGCGGGCGTAGAGCCATTGGAAGTAAGGCCTTTTATATGTGTTGCCGAGTTTTCGGGAACCTCCACCACCTCGGCCTCTTTGGGGCTGCTGTCCGGGGCGAAGTGAGGATCGTCATGTTCGAACTTCTCAATTCGGTCGGCTAAGATAGAGGAATCACTAGAAATAGGGACTTGTGTAGGTCTTGCTGAGGTCTCGAGTCCCTTCCGCACCTCCTCCGTCTTGGTCTCCTGCCACAGACCGGGCGTCTTTGCGTAGCTGCGACGAAGCGCGGGGGTGAGGACTGTTGCGGCGCGCGAAGATCGCAGGAGACTTCCTCGTAATAAGGACGCCATACTGTGCGGACTGGCTTTACCCTCGTTCAATGGTTGCAAGCACTGTTACACAGCTTGAGAGGAAGCAGTAATGACACCGGAGTGAAGGAAACAGGAGATGGAGGGGCAATAAGATCGGCTAACTGGAACTAATGCATCGACACTTGAAGCCGAGGCTCGGAGGTCGACTTCTTCTCCGCATTTCTCTTTTTCTGCTTGTGGACTAACCTCATGCCGCTTTAAACCCCAGTCATCATGCCTCCTGGTTACTGTGTACAAATTGCAAGAGAAAAGCATTAACCATTTCAAAATAGCGATAGAGCATCAGTATGAACTCACTACAATGGTGAATAGATTATGTTTCCAGCAACGTTTTCAGGAATCGTAATGAGGCTCTCCTTACAGCTCCAACCAACAATAACAGACTCCACGGGCCTTCACGTCATCGCGGGCGAGACCTTTTCCTTTCTTTTTTTTTTTACCTCCCAATACAAATCCATAGCCCTTTTGTTATCGATACGCCCTCGTTGCGCACTAAAACTAGCTTGGCCCAGTGGAACCTGTCTGAGCGGACACTATTCAGAATCTCTCCTTTGACGTATCCCTGACCCAATTGAAGATTTCGTTTTTCCCTCTGAACTGCATAAGATACAATTACCGCGGACTTTCTCTCCAACACCATAAGTCAGACCCATGTCCATCCATCGAGTATAACCACCACCACATATTGAGATCGTATCAATTTGACCTGCTGCGCCTGTGCGCGAACCTCCGCCGATCTCCTTTCTTCTTTCCGCCCGCTCATTCTCCAGCAATCACATGCATGTCGGCCGGGGGCGAACACCTCAAGGATGAGGTGAGTTGCTTCAGTCGGAGCCTTGGCTAGTTGCAAAATGGCCTTGGCTACCACCCCCCATTACCCTTCAATAGATACACTCTCCACATAGAACAGGGCGCAATTGGTTGACTAACACGCGCTTGTTTAGGGGTCGCGACGACAAGTCGTTCTCGCGGGTGGAATCGCAGGTCTCTTTTCCCGGTACGTCAAAATCCCCAACCCAGCGCATGCGCATCGCAACACAACACCTCACCCACCAACTCCTAACCTACCTGCCTCCCTCCGTATCAAAGCTAACAATCATGATTTATTCCGCACAAGATTCTGCATCGCCCCCCTCGACGTCGTCAAAATCCGCCTCCAACTGCAAATCCATTCGCTCTCCGACCCGATCTCCCACCAACATGTCACCGGACCAGTTTACAAAGGCACCTTGTCCACAATGAAGTCGATCCTCCGCGAAGAAGGAATAACAGTACGACTTCCCTCCCGTCTCCCTTCCCCATCCATCCAGCCATATATCCACAACCTCAATTCTCACAAAAAAAAAAACAGGGCCTCTGGAAAGGCAACATCCCTGCCGAACTCCTCTATCTCGCCTACGGCATCATTCAATTCAGCACCTACCGCACGACGACCCAACTGCTCTCGACCGAACTGCCGGAGCGGCTGCCCGCCTCAGCCGAATCCTTCCTCGCGGGAGCCCTGGCCGGCGGGCTGGCCACGTTCTCGACCTACCCGCTGGATCTGCTGCGCACGCGGTTCGCCGCGCAGGGGACGGAGCGGGTCTATACGTCGCTGCTAGCCTCGGTGCGTGATATCGGGCGACATGAGGGGCCGCGCGGGTTCTTTCGGGGGTGTAGCGCGGCTGTCGGCCAGGTCGTGCCGTATATGGGTCTGTTCTTCGCGACGTATGAGGCGCTGCGGCCGGTGCTGGCGACCCTGCCGCAGCAGGTGCCGTATCTACCGGGGGGCAGTGGGGATGCGGCGTCCGGCGTGGTCGCGAGCGTGTTGGCCAAGACGGCGATGTTTCCCCTGGATCTCGTGCGGAAGCGGTTGCAGGTGCAGGGCCCAACGCGACAATTGTATGTGCATCGGAATATCCCCGAGTATCGCGGCGTCTTCAGTACGATGGCGTTGATTGTGCGGACGCAGGGCGTTCCGGGCTTGTACCGCGGATTGACTGTAAGCTTGTTTAAGGCTGCGCCCGCCAGTGCGGTGACCATGTGGACGTATGAGACTTCGTTGCGCTTGCTGCAGGATATGGAAATCGCGGCCGATTGAGCACGACTGTTTGAGGCAGCGCGTGATTGAAATGAATGGTTGGGGCTTGGTTACGCTAGACTTTGTTTACCCAGTTAGAGCAGCATCTTGTAAATTATTTCACAACCTAATAAACATCGTCGTAATCCTTCCTGGCCGTCATTCAATCGCAGACTCATTACAGCGTAAAAGATCCCCCCCAGTGGGCCTCTAACTTTTTTTCTCCCGAATTCACTTGGCCAAAACATTGGAACCGGACGAGGCAAAAGCAGAAACGCTCAAGACAGGGCTGAAGGAAGCAGAATCATAAGGGGTTGTCACATGGGAAAGTAAAACAGAAGCTTTCGGAAAACCAAGAAGCAAACGCAATCAAATCATAAGATGTCCTCAGTACTCTTGCTCTTGGTCATCGATATCCTGGCTATCACTGGCAACTTCCTCATAGTCCTTCTCCAGCGCAGCCAAGTCTTCGCGCGCTTCGGTGAACTCGCCTTCCTCCATCCCCTCACCCACATACCAGTGGACAAAAGCGCGCTTGGCATACATCAGATCGAACTTGTGATCCAAGCGGCTCCAGGCTTCGGCAATCGCAGTGGTGTTCGAAAGCATGCTGACAGAGCGGTCGACAGGAGCAAGCTCACTATTAGGAACGCGCACGGGTTTCTGGTAATTGATACCCAATTTGAATCCAGTAGGACACCATTCGACCAGATTGAAAGAAGCCTTCGCCTTGATAGCCGCAATAGCTTGGTTACAATCGCGAGGGATGACATCGCCGCGGTACAAAAGCGCCACCGCCATGTATTTGCCTTGACGCGCGTCGCAAACAACCATTTGGTTGTGGGGTTCAAAACCTGTCAAATGATGTTAATGTTCCAGTCAACCAATGAGTATACCTCGACCGCATCTAAAGACACATACACTGAAACGTCAGATCCTGGACTCTGAAGCTCTCGTGTGAGCTGCGACTGCTTGAAACCACTGGTGCAAACGAGATCAATGGATAGTGAATACGAGGGAAAGGAACCAAATTTGTCTGGAACTCGGCCAAGTCGACGTTCAGGGCGCCATCAAAGCGAAGACTAGATGTAATTGAGCTAACTACCTGAGCAATAAGCCGGTTCAGGTGTTCGTAGCTGGGGCGTGGAATATCCAAGTGGCGGCGACAGATGTCATAGACAGCCTCGTTGTCAACCAAGAAAGTGCAGTCGGCATTCTCAATGGTGCTGTGAGTGGATAGAACCGCATTGTATGGCTCGACAACTGCTGTAGAGACACGAGGCGAAGGGTAAATGGCAAACTCAAGCTTCGACTTCTTGCCGTACTCGGTCGAAAGGCGCTCTAGCAGTAAGGCACCGAAACCAGATCCGGTACCGCCACCAAAAGAGTGGAATATTAGGAATCCCTGAAGAGACGAGCAATTGTCTGGGCGTAGTGAGTACATGATATGGCCAAGTTGAATGGCTAGATATACTGATTAAATACTTACCTGCAACACGACGAATGCGGTCGGCAACATCTTCAACCATTTCTTTTCCAATGGTGTAGTGTCCGCGTGCATCTAGACAGAGTCAGCCCAACTGTCTTTGTGAGAACAATTCTGGGGAGTCATACAGTTGTTGGCAGCATCCTCCTTGCCATTGATCAGGTTTTCAGGGTGGAACAGTTGACGATACTGTCCAGTACGAATCTCGTCAACAGGCTATCTTAGTTAGCCTATGTGATCACTCCGAAGTGATGTGACTTTCTGAACACCTTACCGATGGATCAAGGTCGATAAAGATCGAACGAGGGACATATTTGCCGTTGCTGGACTCGGTGAAGAACGTTTCAAAAGAACCCGCAGATCTCGACTCGTCAACGGCATCAGGGTTTAGATGACCATCTGCCTTGAGACCATGTTCCAGCAGATATCTAAGACAACGCCATGAGTTGAGCTCTACGTTGTTATGATCGACCGTGCAAGTCGTGTTATGATGTAGAAACGGAGACAACATACAGTTCCCAGGCACTGTTGCCAAGCTGAATACCTGCCTGGCCAATGTGGATATGGCACACCTAATCAATGAACGATGTTAGGATCTCATATGTGGCTAGGAATTGCACAAGAACGCAGGCTGGTTGAGATGACTCGACGCTCGATAGAGGGGAAGAGGTGGGGGGAGCCGTGCGGGGAAGCAGATAGATGATCGATATACTACTTACCTCACCTCTCATCTTGCCGATCTGCCTAGCTTTGGACTGTGGTAAACCGAGTAAAGATCTGAGATCGATAAAGATGAGAAGAAACGAAGAGCTGACAGTAATGGGTGCAGTGGTGGGGAAATGATGAAAGAGGGGAAGATGGAATGGATGGATGATGGTGCCATGACCGGGTGGTAACTTTGGTGACGGACTGCCAAACCCCAACACAATAGTTACCACACACAACACAACACGCTCTTGCCGGCTTGGTAAACAACACTTCACAGCCCGATCAACAACCCCTGTACCGATGTACTCAGTACGTACTATTTACCATACAGCAGGGGTCGTTCTTTGTATTTGGTTCTCGTCTCTTGAAATAGTTGAGTATTCCCTGGTCTTACTCAACCTACTCACATTCTGAGATGTCTTCCACGTGAAACCATGCGGGGAAACCGCGGCATACTCAACGGGCCCCCATCATAGGCAAAAAGCTTCAGATCGCATGAACTGCATACTCCGTACTCACTCACCAAATTATCTTCGACCGCAACTTTCTCTCTTGTTTTGAATATTAGATAATATGTATGCTGACTTGATTCAGCAGCGCTAACTTTAATTATTGGCAAAGCCTGGAGTTTTATCGTTAAGGTATGTCACGTCTGTATGGGGGAAAATGTCTCAATCAGCTTCCAGTGGGATCTTCTACTGTAGTAGGCCTCACTTCATGACGAAGAGCCTATCAGTCCGCGACAAACACTATTCTCGCTTGACATCGTTTACTATTTTCCATACATAAAGTATTTAACCGGAATATATTAAATTTCCCGACAGGGCCATATGATCATCTTATGGTTCACGCAACCGTGCCAAAATAAAAAAGATGGGCTCGCGCCGTTATCTCTGAGATCGGCAATAGACCAGGAGGGGTAGAGTACTGGTGGACATGTCTACACCGTCAAGTCGAATTATGATGTCGGAGGCTTGACACCCAACTCAATTAGGGATCCCGAGCCGGCAGGGGGGATTTATGCGCATATAACTCCGCCCCTGCAGCTGCACTCAATTCAGGTGAGGCGAAGGATGCTGTCATTGAGAGTTTGATTACCATAAACAGGTTATCCAAGTTGAAAGCCTGACAATGCAAGGACATCGACCATGGTTAATCGTATGTCCATTAAGGGATATGTTGGCAATCTGGTGATCTCCTGCGCGAGGTCATAAAAGCCTGCATTATTTAGGTTTCTGTCCTCGATTTTTACCGAAGCCACCAAAGCCAACGATCGGCTGCACTACATAGCACTAGCAATTTAGCAGACGAGCTACCCTGACTCAGATCAAACACAGCTCGTGTCAACGATAAGAACACAACAAGAGCTGTTGCATAAGTATCGGTAACACGCACTTGCCTCTTGGGCGTCAGGCGTGCCGTGGAGATCCAGAAAACGTCCTTCCCTCCTATCTGATGATGCATGACGGACGTACTCAGTACCACGCGGTTGGGACGAAGTTACAGTAGAAGTTTAAGGACAAGTCGTCCCAAGAGACAGCCAGTGTTCAGGAAAGAAAATTCTCATGACGCCGGCCGGGAGTGCCTGAATTGTGGCGCTTCTTGGCGGTCGCCACAGTGCGTCCTGGACTTTTTCATTGACTTTTCGCTGAACCAGTCGGTGTCTCTTGGCCATCCACCTTCGGCGATTCTCTCTTGGTAGCCGTAGCCTAATGAAATCACCCTGCAGGCACCATTTTCCGAGCTAAAGGCAAGATTCAATGAACGCATTGTCGCATGGGAGCTCACAATGCGGATGATGATGTGAAATCGACGATAAAACAATCGGAAATAGCCCCTTGAAAGCACAGCAGCCGATGCAGTGCGGAGTCATTGCGCGACGCACAGTGCTCCAGTCTGTCTGGGTCTGTTGAAAAGTAGGGATCCACACTCTTCTTCCAAGTGGGGATTTCAAGGGCCCATTCATTGTTATTCCCGACGCCCACCGCAGCCACAACTGGGGCCGACTCCATTGTCGGCTTTTACTCATGGCCAACTGTGATGAAGGGTCTCCACCCTGGAGCAATCTATCGATCTCAGTTGGGAATTGACCTAAATGAACCTAAGTCGATAGTCCCGGAATTCCTGCCTCTGTTGTAGTTTGTAGATCGATTACCCATGTCCAACTAAATTAGTAGTATCTACCGAGTGTGTTGAGAAGGAATACGGAGTATATCGGCCATGATGGAATGAAATGAAGCAAAGAGAGATTGCACCCAAGTAGTGGAAACATTACCAATCATCAGCCGCATGATATCCATTCGCATCACAGTACATACTGTGACAAATTGGTCTGGACCGGACAGAGCAGCATCTTGGGTTCTTGGAGGTTTCCACTGGCTGAATTTTCCCGTGCGATCGGCGAGGTTTCCGCATCGATCAACTCCTGCTTTGCTGTTGCTGCCATCCATGGATGGAGCTCACAGAGAGAGTTGTGTCTCTTGTCTTTGGTGTTCGTCGTCTCTTTTTTTATATGAGGTCCCCACTCCGTCGCTCAAGTTTCTTCCTGTCAACTTAATAGTTTTAGGCTTCTCCTTGTCCTTTCCATTTTCTTTGCTCTTTCCTACCTCTTCTCACCGCGCTTCCCTGCATTTGTTTTAGCTGTTCGCCCTCCTGTACTTTCATACTTCGCCGTGCTCGATTGCATCAGCTACTGGCGAGCTCTTTTCCTCGCTTCATCTGATAGAACTGCCAATAGATCATATGCATACTTAGACCATTTGAGCGGTATGTATCACTTCCTAGTAATCTTATTTATGGCAATCTTCCCCACCTGTGTTTGCTTTGCAGTGCTGCACTGATGCTCGTGCGCTTTTCACTGTCTCACCTCAATTTCCCGATAATTACCCACATCGATCTCGAATTTTCTAAACTTATTCCCTCGTGGTCCCTTAATGCTCTCTCTAACTGTCCCATCCATGGTTTCTCATCGTGCCATGCCAACTTTCTTCTGACTACCCTCATAGCTTGAAATTCGACCAGATCAATCAATTCCATTGTCGATCAAGTATCAAAGCTTGAGCTCTCCAGTTCCATCGACTGGCCCGGTGCCAGCATGTCTCACCCATCAGAGAACTTGCAAAGTACAGTCCACCAGCATGAGAAGAGAGTGGAGGGTGACACACCCGTTTCCGACGAGGGAACCTATTACGACAGCTCCAACAACGGGCACGGAAATCACCTTCGGGTAGATACCTCTTACGACTATGATCGCTCGGCCTTGCGCTCACCCGCCACCGCACGAGAAGAGTCAATGCGTCTAGAAGATGATTTGGCTGTGCTCGAGGCCGAGCGCATGGCGTCCCGTTCCACCACACAGGAGGGATCAATGAGGCAGGGCGAAGACGACGGTGCCTCTATGGCCCGATCCCGTTCTCGTCCGTCGCAGCACGTTGTTGATGAGTTTGACGAAGCCACCAACCCGTTGCACGAGAAGGCTGCCGTTTACAATCCTCCCGAGAACCCCAATACCAACATCGCCCGGTTCATTAAGAAGCTTCACGAGTCGAGTTTCATTGTGCGCTATTTCACTTACATTGTACCCCTGGTCTTGATCCTCTTGATCCCTCTGCTTGTTGGCGCTCTAGCTTTCCCTGATGCCAATGTTGGAGGAGTTAAGTTACTCTGGTTCTCAGTCTGGTTGGAGATTGTCTGGCTGACCCTCTGGGCCGGAAGGGTGAGTGCGCTCACTTTTACCACGCATCTCGGAAACTAACTCCAATTGATTTTAGATTGTCTCGAAATGTATTCCTGTTCCAGCTGGCTGGATGGCGAGTATTTTCACCAACAACTCGAAAAAATGGCGTGATATGGCTAAACAGCTGGAGCTACATGGTACCTTGTTCTTCTGGTGGTTAGGTGTCGAAATATCGTTTCTGCCCACCATGAAGAACCATCATGTCGACGGAAGTCATGGCACAAAGTCTTGGGAGAATACAGTCAACAAGATTATCATCTCCATCTTTGTTTGGACGATTTTGAACCTCGTCGAGAAGGTTATCATCCAGTTCATTGCCATTAGCTTCCACACTCGTACCTATGCGGATCGTATTGAGATCAACAAGTTTCAGATTGGCAGTTTGACCAAGCTCTATGACTTCTCCAGACGCAAGATTACAGCTAAAGATACCGAGTTCGAAGATAAGGGTCAACCCGCCGCCAGTGGATTGAAGACCCCACTGCATTATGCCGGCAAAGCTGGACGCTTGGCTAAAGGTGCTCTGAACAAGGTGGGTGATGTGGCCGGAGCTGTCGCCGCTGATTTCACTGGCCGCACCGTCAACAACAGCACTCATCCATATCAGGTGGTGCTGACCCTGTTGCGAACAACAAGTGGCTGCCAGGTCCTGGCCCGTCGTCTCTATCGCACTTTGGTGCGCGATGGTTTCGAAACCGTTTTTTCTGGAGATCTCAAGGAAGCTTTCGACAATAATGAAGAGGCGGATGCTGCATTTACCATGTTCGACAAGGATATGAACGGAGATATTTCAATGGAAGAGCTAGAAGCTGTCTGCGTGGAGATTGGACGAGAGCGCAAGGCCATCACCGCATCATTGAAGGATTTGGACTCGGTAGTCGGCAGGCTCGATAATATCCTGGAATTTTTCGTGATCATCATTACCGTGATCGTCTTTCTGACCCTGATCTCGACATCCGCCGCTGGTGTGCTCACGTCTGCCGGGTCGAGTATTCTGGCTTTGTCGTGGCTTTTCTCTGCCACCGCGCAGGAATTTCTCCAATCAATCATCTTTGTTTTCGTGAAGCACCCATTTGATGTCGGTGACCGTGTGACCGTTTATGGTAATGCAGGTGATGCCGGTCTCGGTGATGACTACTTCGTCAAGCAGATCTCGCTTCTGTATACGGAGTTCAAGAAAATGCAGGGTCATGTCGTGCAGGCTCCCAACAGTTACCTTAACGGGTTGTTCATTCTGAACCAACGTCGGTCCGGTGCGTTGGCGGAAGCAGTGCCCATTGTCATCAAATATGGTACTACTCTCGAGCAGATTGACGCTCTTCGCCAGCGGTTATTGGAGTTTGTCCGCAGCGAACGCCGTGAATTCCAGACCAACATTCTCACCGAGATGCGTACCGTTACGGAGAACTTCTCAGTGACCCTCAATATTGTCTTCTTCTACAAGTCGAACTGGCAGAATGAGGGCCTGCGTCTGCAGCGCCGCAACAAATTCATCTGCATGCTGATGGTTGCCCTGCAAGAGATCGGTATCGAAGGACCACGCATGAACCTCCAGGGTGCCCGGGTCGATATCCCCTTCCATATCGCCGGGTTTCCGCAGCCAAACATGCCGGCCACGCCTGGCAGCAGGGATGGCCACCCTCCCCCAACTCCTATTGGCGACCACCAGGGCTCTTTCCCTGAGTTTGCTGGGTCCAATGGCGCCACGCGCCATCCATCTATTCTTCGCAAAGGCATGAACACCGCTGCAGCCAGGGCTCGCGGTGACTCCATGCTTTCCCGTAAGCACGTGGACTTCTCCCTCGGCATGCGCGATGTCTCCTCCGGCGACGTCATGGGCGACGTCTTCGAAGATCGCCGAACCCGGGTCGAAGATATTGTCCGAAGCGCCAACCGGGAAAATACCGAGCGTCGCATCCAAGAAGAAGAGGAAGAAGAAAGCGAGCGCCAGAGCCGGGTCTCTTCCTCCCGCCGGCGCAGCAACTCCAACTTGAGCGTCCCGTCCACTTCGCGCGCAGGTCGCCGATCGGTCGACTCCCAAGGTGGTCACAGTGTGACCTCGATCACCCACAATCGCTTCTTCCGGCATCATCGCAGCAGCATCAGCCGCGAACCCGATGATCTGATGGAGCAGGGCCGCTCAGCGCAGGGTGCTAGCACGTCTGCCACGGGCTCCGATCTCCACCCCAGCGTTTCTCCTAGCGAGAAACAGTAATCGCATTTGAAGATCCTTGTGCCAAAAACTTACATCATAGATAATAAACATATAGATACATATCTCCTTCTGATTGATATTCGCAAGATTGCTCAACATGAAATCATATATACTACCTACTACTAGAATAGCAATATGTTCTGTTCATACCCTGGTTTTGTGAATGACCCGAAAAGAGGAATACTTGGCTCCTGAAATAACTTACTATAAAAGGTAGTGCATACGTAGCAAAGCCTTGAACTCCCCGTCTACTGCTACGGACGTGACGAAGATGAGATTCTTGCGAGTAAGCGAGTAGAAGAGCTCGTGTGTCTGCTTAGTCAGCATGTACACCAGGCGGAGATATGCAGCAACACAGAGTTATCGCGATGTTCCACAGAAGCTCCAGACTTCTAAAATATATCAGAGCAGGTGCATTCTTACAAGCTTCGCATGACATGCTCGGAATTTAACTCATCGGGATTCCTTCGTCACTCTCAACGGTGAAGGCTGCTCGTACCTGATTTTCTCTCGCAAGCATGCATTTAATTCGCCGACACGTCGTGCTGGCCTGCGCATCATGAATCACGGAATTGCAGCGAGAATCGGCTCGGACACTCGAGACAGACTAGAAACCACCTAGCTCGCAGAGCTCAGAGCACGAGAATAATTAACTCGAGTAGATAACTAACCCAGCTGCCTCAGCATGACTCAACCTTTTGCCACGAGCCACCAACCGCGTAGGGTCTCCAGCGTCGCGGCGGGGCCCACGGGGGCCGAACGCTTCCCATATCATGAACAGCCAGCATCCGGTTAAAGCCATGGTTTTTCTTGCTTCTTGCATAAGAACAAGTCTCACAATGGTCAGCTTTTATCATTCCTTTAGCGGTTGAAGATATAGCAGACGTCAAGAACGTGCCACATGTTCAGCGTCTCCTTCGCCTTGAAAACAAGTATGCCAAAGTGGTGTGGCCTGTGGCCAGGCTATGGGACTAATTCCCCGCCACGGTTCCTCAAATTCAGATCCTCCGATGGCTTCATTATGTTTGTTGTGGCCTTTGCCGTGTTCACAGTAAGTGCATGGGCAAGAAGCCGCCAGTTTCCCAGCTCCATGCGACTACAGGTTGATGACTGACATTCGAATAGGATATTCTGTTGTATGGGCTAGTATGTGGATCCCCTTCATAAGCCCCTCCCAACCATCCCGGGGGGGGGCGGGGAGCTAGACTCTTCTGGCAACCTCGCCTAAATTGCAGTCTGTTTTAACCTTGTGTAGATTGTCCCCGTTGCTCCAACGGCGCTGCATGAAAGAGTGGGCTTATCTGTCGATGATGGTGCGTTTGCAATCTTGTTGGTGCGCAATTGACGTCGGCATTCGTATCAGTCAGCTAAACTTCTCCCGGGTATTTGTACAGAACAAAGATGGACATCCATTCTTCTAGCTCTATACGGTGCAGCTCTGTTAGCCACCTCGCGTGAGTGGTCCACCCTTGCGCAATCTCTAAACAACATTCGTTGATGGAATCCTCGCAGCTATTGCGGGCTACATTGCTGACCGCTTCGACTCGCGCTACTGGCCGTTGATTGCTGGCTTGGTCGCGCTGGGGGCGTCGACGGCCCTGCTCTGCGTGGGAACCAGCCTCGCGCTGTGGATTGTTGGGCGGTTGTTCCAGGGCGCGTCGGCGGCCATCGTCTGGACCGTGGGCCTGGCATTGATGGTAGACACTGTCGGCCGGGACGGCCTGGGCCAGGCGATGGGCTACATCGGCATGGGCATGACGCTGGGAATCATGGGCGGCCCGCTTCTCGGGGGTGTCATCTACGGCCGCGGGGGCTACTATGCGGTGTTCGGGCTGGCGTTCGGGCTCGTCGGCGTGGACATTGTGTTGCGGCTCGTGATGATCGAGAAGAAGCATGCCCTGAAATGGGAGCAGCAGCAACAGCAACTCAAAGGAAACCCAACCGACCACCCGCAACAAATCGACCACTATACATCCTCATTCACCTCATCCGCAACACAACCCACCTCCCTCCCCCCGGACCTCGAGCACCAACCCCCCAAAACCACCCTTACCACTCCAGCAACCCCAACACCCCCAGCGGCCCGCAAACCCACCAAATCCCAACCCACCGCCACAAAGAACGCAATAACCACCCTCCTCTCCTCCCCGCGCATGCTCGTCACCCTCTGGACATACTTCATCATCTCCGTCCTTCTCAGCTCCTTCGACAGCGTGCTCCCCTTATTCGTGGAATCCACCTTTGCCTGGTCCCAACTCGGCCAAGGCCTAATCTTCATCCCCATCTCACTCCCCCACCTCCTCGATCCGGTAGTGGGCCACCTCAACGATCGCTTCCCGCGCCTCCGCCGGTACCTCGCCGCGGGGGCGCTCTTCGCCACCGTGCCGCCCGTCGTGGCGCTGCGCTGCGTGACAGCCAACACCCTGAACCAGAAAGTCCTGCTCTGTGCGCTGCTGGCGCTCGTAGGGGCTTGCATCGCCACGCTCATGCCGCCCGTGCTCGTCGAGGCCTCGTACATCGTGCAGGAGAAGGAGGAGGCGAACCCGCATGTCTTTGGAAAGGGCGGGGCGATGGCGCTGGCGTATGGGATTTTGAATGTTGCGTTTGCCGCGGGGACGATTGCGGGCCCGTTCTTTGCGGGGTTCATCCGGGAGAGTGCTGGCTGGGGCACGATGACTTGGGCGTTGGCGCTGTTGGCGGGGGTTTCGGGGTTTCCGGTGTTGTTGCTACTTGGGGGGTTTTTGTTTGAGAAGAGAGGGAAGGGGGAGGAGGTGGAGGTGCCGAGATCATGATGACAACAAGATTCTCATCTCTTTTGCTTTGGGTTGGTTGCGTTCTGAGCACATAGATATCGCTTTTGGGAAAAGCTCAGCCAATTAGGCCACAGGATATAGTGTACTGTACATATTCTTCTCCTCTCGTCTACATTTGCATGTACATATATAGTATATACAAGTTGCGTCCTCCGGAAATGGTTGGACACTTGGGCGTTCCAGATGAGGGCACCATCAGCTCCGGAGATCCTGATACCTTAGTTATGGGCTTCCAACTGGCTTGTACATAGGCTTGCGGGGCGGCCTACGGGATATCAGATCTTGATTCGCTGTATCAGAGCAGCCACCTGATTAAGCAAAGAAGCAGAAAATCCAGAAGATAACTCAGCTGTATAGATAAGGAATGATGCCGGAATTATACAGGGCTGTCTCTATATCTAAAGGCCCAAATAGAAAGATTAGAAGATTCAACAGGCTGCAAGAAGAACTAGTAGATCCTAATAATCGTAGAAAATTGCCTCACCAGTGCAAGTATAGGGGAGGAATATCGTCTCTGTAATCTGATCAACTTGCAGTATTAAGAAATCAATTCCTATGTCTATACTTAGGCGGACAGTTCCGGTCGACATACGTGTATATATTGTCTGGCAGCGTGACGATAACCCGGCCACGTCATTCCAAGCGTAATTATCCCAGTATACTCATATCATTTAGTTGATTCTCTATGATAAAATCCATCTAAGGAATTGATAACGTGTTCATGAACCACCCCTGAGCCATGTAAAGGCGTCATATATTGACATATATACAATATCCCTAATCAGGGCTGGGTATATACCCACAGCCAACTGGATTCATACTTATTCATAATTTCAACATTCATGTATAGTAATAGTATATAAGAACCCCGCCAAAGTCCACGCAGTGACTGCCGTCAAGCTGCCTGAGCGGCTAGATACGCAACTCATCATCATGATTATCATCAATCTATACTTAGTTGTATGTAGTCCAGAGGTCCACAAGATATGTTTGAAATTTGGGATACTCGACTCCGTGAATGCTATATATACAGGAACCTGGATAGAGATAGAATAACAGAAAAAGGAACAAGTAGGCAAGAGAATGGGAGCCAGCATAGCAACGGGCACGAATCCGCAAGCAAAACCGCTCGGCTTGTATTTACATGCTGCATGGATGTTTGAGCTGGAAAGCGACCCCCAACCTCATGTCATAGGCTATTCTTTTTCTCCACTCTCTCACTTTTGGTGGTAGGACAACAACTCATACATACATATAGCCAAAGCAAGCAACGATTTTGGTTGTCACGGAGCAAGAGTGGAACATACAAAGGAGAAAAGAATAATGATCTGACAGGCGAAAGAAGGTACAAATAAAGGAGAGGAGCAATGCATACGAGTGAGGCCCGAATAGATATAAAAGTAAAGGTGCGACCGATGCAAAATGATGGCGCGAAATTTAGACAACAGGTTGATCGAGGTGGTTCAACGCAGAATAACTCCAGAACACCCGCTCAACCTTCACATGCATAGAGAAAATCAAATGTCTGGTAGACGTGGAGCAAATTCTGACAGGGCGTGTTGATGACGGTCGATAGAAAATCTGTAAGAAACAAAAGAAACGGAGCAGGCCAGCCCTGACGACAATCGTACAGCACGCGACGTCTATTTTTCTTGGACAAAACCACAAGATGGTTATTCTAGCGCTCAGATTGACCAGGAGTGTTCTCCGAGTAGTAGCTGGGCAGAGGAGTATGCAGAGGTCGAGGTGTTGCTTCGGCATCTAGGGTCTGATCGATATCGACATCGGGGGACAAGTCTGCACTTGCATAGCTTTCGCTTATTTTAGACCGGGGTGTGTCAAAATCGTCTTCTGCAGGAACAAGGTCAAGTTTATTCTTCGGAAAGACAATCGGAGGTGTGATATGCCCTTTCTTGACGGGCTCGGCGCCGGCCTCGTGGAAAATCCCACGCGCAGACCTGGTGTCAGGAGGAGACGACTCGTCCAAGAAAATGGCCGGCGGGTCCATCCTGAACCCTAGCTCTCGAGTCGGAGAGTGTTTGGGGCTATATGCTTCTTCGTCCGGTTCGTCCTCTTCTTCGACAGTACTAATGATAGCCTCCTCTGGAACATGAAGTCCCTCATACATCCTCTCAAGAGCAGTTGAATGATAGCCAATGTGCTCTTCGTTGTCACTCATTCCAGAAGAACCGCCGCTCCTGCGTCTTTCCAGAGACTCTCTTTCCTTCTTGAGCAACTCCTCGCTGCCGCTAACGACACTTCCCCGGCTGTTCGTTCTCATCATCTCGATGCCCAACTTAGAACCGGGTCGATGGGTCCTGTTGCGGGGACTGCAGGTTCGCGACGGAGTATTACCAAGCTCCTCATCTTCATCATCCCCTGACTCGCCGCACTCATACCGCTTTCTCTCCAGCGACTCTCTCTTAGCACGAATGGCCTCGCTAGATCGCTGTTTGCGAGGAGTCATAGTTGCTCCTGTGGAGGGAATGGTCGCTGGCGCCGACTCCGAGTGAAGAAGGCTAGGAAAAGGCACTGCCTCAGGGCCACTCCTATAGCCAGCATCTGTGGCTCCTCTGGTTTTGTTCGACTCCTCGGTTATGCCAAGCCCTCCCTTGCTCGGTGTCCACTCGTCGTGGTTTCGGCTCACAATCACAGGAACATCATCAGTCTTGACAGACTCCATGTCACCGAAATAACTACTACCGACAGAGTCCTCGCGACTTGACCCTCTATATGAGCTGGAGGGAACATGTACGAAACCAGAAGATGTCGTCGAGCTCGGGCTATGCTCAACCTGATTGGCAGGCTGGCGGAGCATAGCGGGTGCAGGCATTGAAAGGGGATTATAATCTTTGGGAGGTGGCTTCCACTGGCAGAACTTACACAATGCCTCGGTCAGTTTTGTCGTGGTAGGGGGCTTTTGAATGAGGGAGTCAAAGTGGTGTGTTTCCGGCAGGTCCTTCAGGTAGCCCGTAACTGCAATGATTGGAGTGTGTCGGTTTGCACTGCGCGTCTCGCGTACCATGCGCGCAATATCTGCACCGTTGACTTGCGGTAGTTTGAACTCAGTCATGATGATATCGAATTGAATGTCACTCAAAGCATAACGCATAGCCTCTGCACCATTGACAGCCGTAATTGTGCGGCATCGAAGCTTCTCAAACAGGCGTTCCATGACTAGTCGAGAGACGGGATGGTCCTCACAAATGAGCACGTCTAGGGGCCGGAAGAAGGGGCCCTCGGGGAAGTTGATCTGAGAGAGTCGCCTGGAACTCTGACGACGCCGTTGGACCTTGAGTAAGGCTTTCGTGCGAGGATCTTCGTTATCTGATGAGGAAGGAGATACATCGAACAATTGACTTCGGCGTTTGTGGTGGGTTCCAACATAAGTCTCCTTTGCCAACGACGATGAAAGCTCGCCGTCTTGGGAGCCAATAGTCTGTGATCTTGTTCGCGAAGCCGGGGCACTTCCGTGACGTTGCCCTGAAGGAGTCTTGTCAGGAGAGTTCCCTGTAGCCCGACTAGTCTTGACTGGTGACGATGCAGTTGATCCAAGTTTGAGACTTGACATTCGATTTGGATCTGCTGTCGCTGTATATAGCGAGCCGGTGGACTGTGAAGAAGACGATCCTGATGTTTTTCTGCGCTCGTGGTTGTGCCCTGTGCTGAACTGGACTAGTAATGGGGAGGAAGGCTGAGATGGACGACTGGGAGACGAATTGGCCTGACTCAAGGCCGAGGGAGACGCTGGTCTGTTGTTTCCCTTACTTTGAGACAAAGTCCGCTGCAAAGATATTGGCAAGGGACTTCCTTCGAGGGAGGGTGGGGGTGCGGGTGTAGCTGGTTCTGGTCCCTGAGCTGGGGTTGGCTGGACACCAGCGGAGGACGGATGGCGTTGCTGGGCTTGCATCGCCTCTTGGCGCAATTTCTGGATAACGTCCTTGTTGGCCTTTTCGAGCATGGGGAGATTCTTGAAAGAGAAATTGCCGAAGTCATCGGCAGGGGCAGGTTCGCTCAGCCTCCTGCTTCGAGATTCGCGTACATGAGGCGGAATGTGAAGGGGCATCAGGGGCCGTTTCATTGCGTTAACTTGAGAGCGCACTTTGAACAATGCATCATGAGGCCGATCTTGCGGGTATGGTCCGGCGGTCATTGGCTGTGGCGGAGATGTTCCATCTTCAAGTTCCTCAGTGAAAGCTTGGAGAGTAGCACCGCGAGCATCAAAATACTCGGTGTCTTCTGGATTCTCGATGTTGGGCACGAACTGCGCTTTATCCTCTAGCAAGGTATCCCAGTTGATATCAGAAAACCATCTGTGACTACGAATCTCGGCCCCACCATTGGGGTATTTCTCCTCGACATTAGCACCAATACGCTCGCGTGGATTGATGGTCATCAGCTTGTTCATCAAGTCAATTGCTTCAGGCGAAGCCAATTCTTCAGCTTCTTCGGGCCAATTGATCCTGCGGTGCAAGATATTATCGAAGACCTCATCAGGAGTTTCCGCATTGAAGGGCGGGTATCCAAACAGAAACTCGAACATGATACATCCCAGAGACCACCAATCACTCATTTCATCTTGGCCAACGCCATTGATAGTCTCCGGAGCCAAGTAATCAGGGGTGCCAACAAAGCGCCGATTGTGATCTTCCGGATCGTAAAGCGCCATGAGAGGCGGCATCATTGACTGCTGCGGTGGAGTGCTATACGAGAAGGAGTTGCTTAAAGTTGGCTGGAGAGGAAACAAATGAGGGGACTCCCCCGCCTCGCTCTGACTCTCCTCTCCATGCATATGATTGGCTGTGGGGACAGGGACAGGCATCGAGCCCTGTTGTTCCCCATCCTCATTGAGAGACAGTGTTTTGAAGATGGCATTGAGACTCTCGCTGGCTCCGCTGTCACTTCGATACCCTGACGCTCGGCGTGAAGTCTGCCGACTGGGTCCAGTCTGATTGAGATTGAAATAGGACGGCTGAGGCATACTACCCGCACCCTCAGGCGTAATCAAAGGGGTGGAACATGGCGATGCACCTCCCTGAAAATCAAAAGATGCCGAGCGAGATGATGCAATAGACGTTGTTCGAGGTAGCGATCCTTGCTTGAGCAGATCGGGCGCCGGCTCGTGGTTCATGCTCTTGAGAACACGCTTTTGACGCCCAACGAGACCCATGCGGGACAACCCAAAGTCGGTCAGCTTGAGATGACCTGTCTGATCGATCAGGAGGTTGTCAGGCTTGAGATCACGATGCACAATGCCCCTGCTGTGGAGATGTTCCACGCCGAGGACTACTTCAGCAATGTATTTTTTCGCCCAATCCTCAGGCAACCCGCCCAACACTTTAACAAGCGAAGCACAGTCGCCTCCGTTGAGATACTCCATTACCAGATAGAGATAATCTTTACTGGAGAAGGTCCAGTAGAGCTTAGCCACAAAATCACTCTCGCCCTGCCACATCATAATCGCACGCTCCGCCTTGACATTGGTTACTTGATTTTTGGCAACCATATCCGCCTTTTTCAACACCTTGATTGCAAAATATTCTCCGGTTGCCTTCTTTTTCGACAAGTATACACTGCCAAAAGCACCCTTGCTGATGGGCTTGATGATCTCGAAGTCCTTGATTGATAGCGGAGCGGGCCGTGGCTGAGGCTGGCTGACCGAGGACAGGTGCGGCGACACGGGCGGTTTGGCAACATCAGACGACGTGGCCGACGACTGACGACGATGATGGCGGTAATGGAGCTGGGCCAACTCATTCGCATTGGCTGAAGGGGACACTACAGGCGAAGGTAGGCTATCAGCACCGCTAGACAGACGGGCTCTGGGCATACGGAGCGGTGAATGTGGACCTGAGATCCTCGCGGGTGAATGTTGCCGACGGGGAGAGCTAGACAGCCCCGGGAGCACTAAGCTTCGACGCTTCCTGTCCAAGCTCCGTTCCGAAGACGGCGACTCGGTCCGTAGAGCACCGGGAAAGATCGAAGAAGGGATACTGCTGTCGCTGTTTTCCCCTGCGTCTAATTCAAGCAGCGACATTCCCCTTCGTGAGGGTTGTGACGTTCCTAACACGCCGGCTATGCTTTTATGTGAACGTGGCGTGGGACATTCCATGGGACTGTTGGATCCTGTAGAAACGGCGACCGACGCGGTTGACGATTTGCCTTCCGACTGCGACGACTGAAATCGATCTGGCGAATTGCGCATAGACATAGTGAGAGCAGACATCGGGCCTGGTACCGTGGCTTCCCGCTTTGCGTACAATATCGGACTAGCTGCAGTGACCGCAGGATTGATTTCGGGCGGCGAATCATCGTCAGAAGAACTAGAATCACTGAGCTGACCAGCAGCGATACGCTCAGCCTTGCTAAGTGCTGCAGTGATACACTCTTCTACCAGAATTGTGTACTCAATGCGAATACGCTCGGCGTATTCCACTATCCTCCGATGGCGAATAACCGCATCTACTTTCGCCTTGGCAACCTGCTCTGTATCCATGCAAAGGGCAGCCAGACCCTGTTCCTGCTCAAGAGTATTAGAACTGGGCGACTGCCATTGTATCACCTGAGAAATGCGCGATTCAGATTGCGGAGACAGGGTTCGGAAGTCGTCACTACTATCCGTCCGAGACGACTCCTTTATCATGGGCATGTTGATCTCCAAGGCCGTATCACACAGGTCAAGTATCAACTCGACGATCCGAGCCAACGGTCGCCGTACTGCGAACGAGCGTGCTCTAGCGTGTCCGATTCCAGACGCTGAATGGTCTCTCGACCTAGGCGGCGTCCCAGGTGCAGAGTTTGCACTAGATGCAGAGCCAGATGAGAGGGCTGATGCACTTGGAGACGGTCCTATGGGTAGTCCTTTATACTCAGGTTGGACCAGTGGCGGTGGTGTTGCGCTTTCTCCAAGTACCGGCGGCCTGCCTTGCCTTGCCTCCAGCGCGTCGAGCACTCGGACAATTGCGTGACGATGCTCATTGAGATTCTCCTGGGCGATCTGAACATCCATTTCAGCGCGATGTTCCTGAAGACAGAGGTCGGAATGTTTCTCAAACCACCATGGTGTGATCTGGCGCTCACAGATACGACATAAGACGGGACTCGGGGCCGGGTGTTTGGAGGGATCGGGTTCACTGGCGGCAGCCTCCGCTAGGGTCGTCAAGTAGTTTGCTAACACTTCCGCGCCAACACCGAGTGACTCTACTAACAACGGAGGGAGGTCGATGGTAACTTCTCTGGGTTCCGTGAAGGGTCGCAACATCCACATCGTCTGCGTTCAGGCTCGTTAGCATCATATTCAGCTGCTGTTTATCGATTGGAATAAACCTACATGACCCGCTCCATCCGCCGAACGGTCAAATACCATGATTCCTTGTCCTTCCATGTGTAGAACATCCTGGCGGTCCTCTTTCTGCTCAGGAGCCTCTCCCCGATCCTCGCCCGTTTCTTCTGCGATCGATTCTGCGACAGGTGGCTCTGGCGAATACTTTAAGACCGAGTCAGGACCTATCTGGACGGCAAACCGAATGAAGCGGCTGTAAGAATCATCCTCTTTCATGCTCTCTATCGTATCGTGGAAGACATTCTTGTTGCCGACCAGCAGATCGGCGATCATCCGTCCCTCTATCGATTCCGGGGCAGTTCCCACGACTTGTCTCCAGGATGGGCTAACCCATTTGACACGGCCATCGAGGCCAAGATCGACGATAACGTTGAGGGTCTGCTCCGCCGCTTCCTTCAACTCCTCCCGTTCTTCCCGCATATCATCCAAACTTGGGGAGCGAGACGGGGAGAATCTTGAGTCAATCGCTCGAGCCTCCTGCCGCAGGGCTGCCACGGCGGGGGGCGCGAGGTACTGAACATCTTCGGAGCCATTGCCCGCCATGCTGGACAGGCAATGTTGGGTCGGACGATCGGGAGGTTCGCTAGGTAGGTGAAATGGCGACTAGACGAGGAAACAGTATGCGAGTAGTAGTCGAATATCAAGTTTAATAGTGAGCAGCTCCGAGCCGGACCGTCTGCCGGGCAGAGCGGGTGCCCTTGGATTGAGAGTTATGGATTCATCCGCAGCATTAACTGGCCATGGCTCGATAGCGGGGGACGCGGACAACAAGTGCGACCGAGGCGAACAGGCCGGTGACGATTCCCGACTTCACGAGCGATATGTTGTATGCGTAACAAATGCAACTTCAGCAGAAAAAAAAAAAAAAACAAGAGACGGCTTGGGAAAAAAATCCGGAGATCGCGTGAAGACAAGGAAGCGAGAAAAAGACAGAAGACCAAGAGAGAATAGCGGCCTATGCGGGGGAATGGCGCGACGGAGCGTCAACGCGAAGCCAGGGCGATTGACAGAGGTCAACCCCCCGAACGAGGTCGACAAGATAAATTATTTGATTCAAAAGTGGAGAAGGGATCTCAAGAAATTTGAGAGCCAAGCTAAATGCCACATAAGCCGACGGAAAACACAAGTTCACCAGGAGAAGGAAACTGAGGATGAGGAGGGGGGGGGGGTGGTTTTGTTGGTTGTAGTTGATTGGAATCACCACAGGATTTAAGAAAAGGAAACGAAGGGCAGCGAGCAGCAAGAACCGAAACACAGAGAGACAAGAGACAGAGACAGTTGAGATGGCTGGTAACAAAAAAAGCATTACCAAGCTAGTACGGGAAGGACCCGGCAGTGGAGTGGGCAGCTGTCCTGCAATAGGTGAGAAAGTTGGTATGATTCCGTCACAACCAGTCTCTGGCGGGAAAATCAAGAGCGGAAATCTTACCAGAATATTCCCAATACCCAATCGATACCCACCATCCAGTGCACCCACCCAGCTTATCGGAGCCTGAATAGGTATGGAATCATTTCGTTTCAATTGACTTTCTCAACTCAGGTTATCGTCCGCCAGAACACAGTCTAGCCTCTACAAATTGAAAGCCATATCCCTTTTTTACTGCTTAACAATCTCCTCTAGCCTGTCTTTCTGTCTGTCAAATACTGAAACTGACTCGGGGCGCTGGGGGGGGGAGGCGTCCGTCAAACTGGGGCGGCGGTGATAGCATGGTTGACTTACTGTGTAGACTCTCTCACTTCCCCATACACTTTGACTAAGTAAATCAACTGACTACTGACTGATCCACTTCCTATTGCTCATCATGAAAAGGCTCCGGTCGATCGTCCACACCACGCCTCTCGACTTGGACCAGAATAGCTAGCGTTGGATCACCACTTTTCCTGCTCCATTGCTGGCCAACATTGAGTGGTTCCAGCTTGTTATGCTGTGTTGCGTTAGTTATAGGAACATGCGATGGACAGACAACTGCCCCCCCCCCTCCACTTCCTCCTGGCAGCTCCTGACTACTCAATACTATGAGTCGCTAGCTATGTTGGACCTTGAAGTCCACCAGCTAAGTCAAAACAGCTAAATTACCCGCTCACTCAGCAGCAACAAGTTCAAGTACTACGAAGACATGTATGAAATCATGTACCGTTAGCGATCGCAATGCACGGGCTCAGATAGCGCTTGTTGGTTCATCGTTTCATTATCTTGGCTCTTATCGTCGACTGACTTCCGACAGTCAGCCATTCATGGGACCCTCGCAGCCCTTAGTTACTCTTCGAGAAGCAATCCTAATCAATTAATCCTGGTCCAGCACACGCTCTTTAATTCGAATTTGACACACCACCGCCCCCCTCCCCCAATGGCACACGGCTCGTTTCCTACGATGCCATTATTTACCAGCCTTGAGCAAATAAAAAAAAAAGAATCACTCGCCATCAACATCATCACCGTCATCATCGGCCAGGAACCAGCAGTATCCCCCCTCTTTCCTCGTTTTCTCTCATCACCCCCCCCTCCCTGTTGCTGCATGGCCGCACAGAATGCAGAGCTTACCCTCGTACTCACGTCGCTCAGACAGTGGTTCCCTGGTCTCGCAGCCCGCCGAAGGATGTCAGTCCGAACCATAGACGGCCGCCGCAGCCACGAAGCGCCACTTCAGACTCCGTCTCAACGATCGGGCTATTTCCAGTTCATCAACTACTAATGCAATAAGTTTCGGTTTTCTGGAAGTTCTGTACAACCTAAACCTTTGTGCTTTTGGCGCAGCCCCGGCGACGGAATGAAACGTTGATGGCGACAGAGAAGAGGGAACCACGGTGGCCCAATGATGAGAAGCGAGACTATCTCCACAACCTCCTGGCTAACGTTACTACATTCTATCTTGCCTTCAACGGGGTACGTGTTTCCCATCTCTAGAGCCAATCATAAGACTCTCCCCATAGTCAGGACGTCACCGCCCGACCGAAACGATCGTTATCGGCCCCGGTCCATGGAAACAAACGAAAAGAAGGTGAGTCTCATTTACATATTCCGTTCCAGGGATCTATCTTGCCGGACCCAGCGGGCGATCTGCTCACTTGACTTCACCTTTGCCCCATTCGACACATCATTGAAACCGGAACAGGAGATCTACTTTCTGGGGAATCAATCTCAAAAGTTGGCCTGTGGTGTGTCTAATACTCAATGAGGAGGAAAATCCGTTGGTAAGCGAGGTTTAGGTCGGCTGCAGTGCAGCAGCAGCGGCATGCAAGTGGCGCGCAGTCCGGCCGAAGGATGGCCATTGGCCGGCGACAGATCAGATTTGTAGAACCAAGAGAGGGGGAAGTTGGTACACGGCAGGTAGGTTGGCACCTACACGCTCTAGAGAGTAGAGGCTTAGTTTTGGGCGCTTGACGGATATTATCTGATGTCGAAATCGAGGATCAGTCTGGCATGAAGGGATTTTGATGATGATCAGGTCGGTCCAACTAACTATATACCACCACGGACGCACGTTCATATCTCTCGGATATGGTTGAAACCCACCTTATCATATCGTCAGATGTGAAGCTTGCCAGATCATGAAACTATCAGCTTCATTTTCTGTACCAAGAGAAAGGCCATGCAATATTGCCTTGCTGTCTTATCAAGGGACGGCTGAGATTTTGATGGAATCTGCGGGGTAAGAAAAAGTGGGGAGGCCCCAGAACGGATTGGATTGATTGATCGAACGGACAAAAAGCGAGAATCTTCAAACAGAGCCGGCAATGTACACTTCATGAATATGGCCGCAAACGATCTCCATTTCTTTGCTTTTTTGTTAGAGCACCCTTATGTTTTCTTCCCTTCTTGCTGGTCACCGCTCCGATCGCGCATACTACCTATCAGAACAAGCCATGAACAATCCAGGGCTCCCCTAGGATTCTTCCAATCCTGGCCATGTAATTCGATGGTCAGACAAACCTCGATCATCATGATGACAATAGACGTTGAGGATCTCTCTGGAGTATTTAGGGCGTGGACCAGGCTGTCTCACATCATTCTCCTAGGCTTTGGAAGCAGGTCAACTGCCCCCATGAGAGCAACCCCTGCCTCGAATCGAGGATTGCTTCTCACTCGTAGGATGCGAGCATTATGATCTCATCCTCTGATGAGCAGGCGGATCCGCATGAGCTCTGAAAATGGTACTCTCATTCCCGCTGCAGGTTGAGTCAAATCATACCTATCGGCTTGTAAAGTGATTCGACTCCGCTTAGAAGTCAATCGTTACCCAAGCCGGAAGCACGGAGGAGAAACCGCACGATAGAAGTACACAGTATGGACAAGAGGAAGAACGAAGATCGGCCTTTTTGGTTTGTGGGGGATAATAGATCATCCAACCTTAGATACTGCCTACTTTGTACTGTAACCATAGTACAAAGTATGCGCAAGTAACCACAGGTAGGGAGTTATGACCTACTCTCCGTACATTCTCACCTTTTCTTCTTTCCAACACACAAGACTAGACCTAGAAGAATTAAAACTGCCCGTACCCAGCAACTACTTTTAGACACAGCCAAGCCCCGACAAGCCGTACGAGCACGAGATCATCTGACACTCCAAAGCCAAAAACCAAAACCAAAACACACAACCCGCAAACCTTTCCCCGAACTCCCGAACATTAAATATAACTTTCATGTCCCAGTGATGATGATATACTAGAGTTTCCCAAAACCCCCAGGGCTTCTACAATACTGTAACAAATTTAGTCACTACTCCAAACTCTTCGTACTTTTTTTTCCCTATACACTCGCCCAATTCATGCAACATCTGAGGTAATTTAGTGTAGATTATTCAAGTATTTCCTCCGCACAGGGATCGGGATGAATGTATTAGTACTGTACATACGGACTACAGCCCAGCACAGCACACAGCCTCCATACCTGCCTTCCCTCCCTACCGTAGCGACAGCGTTGCTCAGCAACTCACTCATTACACTACCTATCTACCTAGCTTAGCTTATAGGGAATGCTAAGTAAATACCGATTTCTAAGCACAAGAAGAGGTGAAGCAGAACCGTGAAAGAGAACCCTGAAGAAGTTAACCCATGGAAATTCTCCTCTCCCCAAAACCATGAGGGAGGGGGGAACAAAGACAGACCACCACCACCACCGCCACCATCCAGACTCCCCCCAAGAATCCTTTCCGTCTGCACACACACACACACACACACACACATACTTCACCTTTTCTCGGGATGAAATGCGTGAAATACACCTTAGACAGTGCATGGAGATGCAGTCCCCAGTGCTGCTATTGGCTTAAGTATTTACGGAAAAGCATTGTTTTGATGCCGTTGGCTTCCCCGCTGGTGCGTCTAGCTACATACTTACCACCTACTTAGAAATTGAGGACCAAGGGCAACTGAGAGTCCTACCTCCATAACTCCTTCAGGCTTTTTTTTTATCAGGATCTGGATAGCTCATTCAAGTTCAGTGGGTAGGATAGAGCAACGGCAGCCTTGCTGCCCGCCTGCCATTAATTATTGACAAAATGTATGGGTTGTAGGGTGACACGAGACCAGCCTAGTACGGTATACCCTACAGCAAGTACAGGTTAGGCACTTATACTATACCTATACAGTATAATCAATAAATAATGCCCTGGGAAATGGATGATGAAGACTGTTGTAGTTCTATGCAAACAACACCGTCAACCCTTCAACTTCACTCTCAGACCTATCCAACATCCATCCCATAGATCTCATCTACTGACCACACCAGAGGGAGGAGGAGGAGGAGGAGGAGGAGGAGGAGGTCCAAAAGACCGTGAATTCAGACACGGCCATCCAAAACTTCAACACCATTCAGAATCACCCCAAGCCCAGATCCCAATCCTCGACTCTACTGCACAAACCCACCAATATCAAATCTTGCCATATCAGACCACCCCGGAGATCAAAAAAAAATAAATAAATAAATAAATAAACAAGCAAACGGTAACACAAACAGATTCCACCATCAACCATCACCACCACGCCACCACAACGTACCGTAGTACGAAGGTGTTTGTTTTTGTACTGTTAGATCTTGTACAGAGTATACTCCGTACATGCAAGAATGCAAGACCATGACATGACATTCCTCTCTCTCTTTCTACACCATATCCAAGAGAAGTACCTCGGCCTAGACTCTTGATAGAACCACACTGCGCCGTGCACGTCCAGATTGGGGGGTTTTTTTTTTTCATCCTTCCCCCTCTCCTCTCCATACCCAACTCCATGCCCTGTCATACAGTACTCCAAAGTACAAGGCCTAGAACCCATTAATTCCCGAGCTTGGTACTGTACACAGTACATTGAAAGGACTCAGCAATCGGAAAAAGAATATGGAGATGAATAAAAGAATCAGATGGTCGAGCGTCCATAGGAGGTCTCTCTCGTCTCTATTCCTCCTGTTTCTACACCAGCTAGTCGGGTCCTACATTCTGCTATTTCCAGGGAATTTAAGAGAAAGTATAAGGTACAATACATGCTACCTGTTCCTGCGGTGGCTAGAATCAATGGTATGTAAAAGTCATTCAGCAAGTAAGTTCAGGAAGGATTGACTTTGGCCTTGGCCCACATCCTGCGAGAAATCACATGTGAGTGTGACCTGTTCTTGCAATATTGAGGTTACTGTACGCTAAGCTCTACTATTGTCTATGACAGGAATGATAACGGATAATGGGTGGCCATCAACCATGATGATAATGCATTGAGCCCGGCTGCTGAAGCCGTACTTCTGTTCGAGCTAAAGCCTATCTCCGCTTTCTCTTCCCTGTGGTTAGCCGGCTATACTATTTATTTTAAACCGTACAAGTTTTTTAACCGTACAAGCAGGACAATAGACACTAGAAGCATGCCGAGTGGCATACTGGTCCCTCGACCCTGTTGGACGAGCACCCATTAGTCAACAAATCGAGCTCACTCCGTAGATCCGCCTATGATATCAGCCGCTATCTTCTCTGCCAGCATGTCTAGCGCAAGCCCAAGTCAGTATGACGGCATACCCCTAAAGAATTGACTGAGAAGCCACATACAAACAACTGATTGGGGGTGTCCTGGGGGTAGGAGCGGAAACGCACTCGCGTCCACCACTCTCAACCCACTAACCCCAAACACTCTCGCTCGATTGTCCACGACTGCCATGGGATCGGAGCTGGTCCCCATCTTGCATGTGCAGGCAGCATGATAGATGGTCATGACGGTGTTTCGAATGACATCAAGGAGCTGATCGTCAGTCTGGAATTGATTGCCAGGGAAGTATTCGTCTCCAACCACAATAGGAGCAATGGCTCGAAATGCCTCACGAAGTCGTCGATATATGGCCACACAGACTTGTGCATCTGACTCTGTTGCAAGCCAGTTTGGGTTGATGATGGGGAGATCGTCTGTATCGCTAGAAGATATTGTGACGTTTCCGCGAGATGTGGATACGAGTAATATGCCTAGAATGGTAGCATATTGTGCGCCGTCTGTGGGCTGCCTGAAGAAAGGGTCCGCATAGTCACCTATGTAAAGGGCCGCGGAGAGATACTATGCTCACCAGCATCAGTAAGGGCAAACAATAGAATTCATGGAAGTGAAGAAATACCTCCGCTTCCGGCCAGGTGGGAGCGAACCACGATAGGTTCTGGTTTGTCTCGTCGGAAAAGCCTCCCCGCAAGTGCTCTGGAATCTTTTCAAACCCCATGTAATCGCCGCCTGGGTTCGTCAACAGTCCTCTTCGCTCAGTGGTGTATTGGCGAATTAGTTGTGCCAGATATCCAGGCCTCGTTGGGACACTAGCTAGAGTCTGCATTGCGACTCGATATGTAGGTCCGAACGTGATGTGGTCCCACATATTCTGTCCGACACCAGGGAGATTGACGATTTGCTGTATATCATGCTCGCCCAGAAGTTCCGCGGGCCCAATGCCCGATACCATCAGAAGTTGTGGACTATGAAATGTACCTGCCGAAACTATGATCTCGCGTGTGGCTTGTAGTGTATACATTGATGTCAAATGATCGGTCCGAACCACCACCCCTGTCGCTCTCTTAGTGGCGTCGAAGATAATTCTCTTAGCCATCGTTCTCGTATATAGCTTAACCTTGGATAGATCGTCATCACTCTGTCCAAAAGAGGCCTCTGAGCTGCTCCTGGTTCTATCAGACGAGCAGATGGTTAGGCTAGAATACTGAGCTCCGGATAACGTGCCCCTGTTAAAGTCGGGGGTCTCGACAACACCGATGGCATGCATCGCGCGCTGCATCCAACTCGAGAACGCAACGCTATCCAGGGGGTAAGACACCTGTAATGGCCCACCCTCGATGAAAGCAGCTGGGTCGTAGCCCGCCGAGGCATTGGGCGGACGTTCCGCATTATCTGGAGGTACGAAGGCGGGAGTACGCTGGAAGAAGGGAAGGACTCGGTCAAAGGTATAACTATTATCCTGAACGAGCTCAGCCCAGCGCTTCATCGTGCCAGTATCAGGCCTTGGATGGACCAATCATCAGTACGAAGACAATCAGTAGAGTCAATGAACTGACCGATTGTATATCATGAGGTTTTGTGCCGATCTGAGGCACAAAGTCAGACTGCTGCAAACAATTCGAGAGGGTTGAAGACATACGATCCCCCCACGCATTTGCCTCTGGCATAGTGTATATCACGATAGTTGGCACCGGGCACAGCTTTCGCAACAAGTTTCCAGTCAATGGGTGTCGCTGTCCGCACATCCGCCCCAGTACCGACGATGGCCATGCCAGGGATTTTTGCTAGCGGATAAGTTGTTTCGTAGAAGTCTCCAGCTTCGACAAGTGCGACTTTGTGTCCATTTTCAGCCAAGCGAGAGGCTATAGTCACCCCTGCAGTGCCGCCGCCAACGACAACATAGTCGAAGACAGCATTGATTCCGAAAGAGCCTTCGTCGACACGCCGCAGTTTTTCAGCATGGCTGTGAGCACCTGTGGCTGCGATATAAAGGTAAAGAAAGAGAGGTCCCAGAGGTAAGAGCATGCTGCGAGATTCCGAGGTTGTATGCCGTTTGCAATGGTATCAAACGATCGCAAGTTTTTCAGCCACAATGTAAGCAGTTGAATGAACATCTCAGGAATAGATAGAATTGAGAAGGCATACTTTCAAGCAAGAGCAGCCCAGTGAGCCGGCAATCTGCTCGAAACGGAAGGCCCACAGAGTATCCATAAAGCTCGGGAAATTATGGCAAGCGGTGACACAGTCCACTGTTCGTTCTGCTGTCATTCTTATGCCGAATGGCTGAGCAATCATCAGCCATTCTTAGAAGTCAGCTTGGCGAATAGGAGAACCCTGCACACCGGATGTTGAGAGACAGGGATGGATTTTCCTGTTTGTAACAATGGATGTCAAACGACCCCCATATGCTTCACATGACTTGGACATATTATCCACCAGCACAGCTACCACTACTGCCATCAACAGCTCTCCTCATCACCAACCACGACCACAATCAAGCCACGAGCACCGTCAAGCTCGACCTGACTTCTACTCTCCATTCCTATTCTAAACCATGCCAACCTCCACATTCTGGCAGGACTTCCCTGACTTTGAGCTCAAACCGGACGCTGCAATGATTGATGAGTTCAAGCGCCTGGCTGCCCAGCGGGGCTGGAAGGAAGGCTCAAAGACCTGGCGCAAGCGATGGAGTGCCTTCATCAACCTTGAGTACGACTGCGTCATTGGAGAGAGTCTCACAGACCTAGACAGCTGGCGCGAGCTGTGTGCGCTGCTGGATTTACAAGGGCCGTTCCCTTCCATCACGAAGTGTAGGCAGGTCAGACTGATTCCCCAATCTGTTGCAGGGCGGAGGCCTATGACAGGAAGTCGGTTCTTGTGGGCTGCATATATGGCAAAACCGGCTGAAACTGGTCACTGACCTCTGTAGGCGTTATCCACGGTCCATGTCAACATTGTTGATGTGATTAACTGTCGACGCCAGGGAACTAAACCAAAGAAGTTCAGCAGCGTGTCACAGCTCGCGAAGTATACCCATAAAACCGGACAGTTCTTCAAGAGAAACCTGGCCAAGCAGGACCAGTTGCTCAAGGTATTGTTGAGGAGACTAGTTTAGAGGCGCATCGAGGCTTTGTGACGCAGATAATCCTTCGCACAAGCATGCCAATCTGCTTGTTGGAGCAACAATGAATGAAGTAGAGTAAGTCTCTTATAGTCTCTCTGACAGTCTCTCAGTTAGTCTCTCAGTTAGTCTCTCGGATAGTCTCGTGGGAACCTGTGTGCTGATATACCCATAGGATGCCGAGAATGGCAGCGTTGGAATGGGCTCGATGTGCTTGGAATGGGCTCAATGTGGAGAGATGATGTGTAAGGAAACTTCCAACGGTATTCGTTTTTCTCTTTCGAGAACATGTCAAGACCTGCAGCGTGAAATAACCTAGAAAAATGCTAGTAAAGCTTGATCAGCACAAAGCATCAGTTCTCTGCATAGTGTCCAATAGTGATAACAATCATGGTCTTGTAGAGAGACCGGCCTGTATTCATGCATTAATAATTATAGACAGGGTACAATCCAAATCAAGCGATTTGCTGAGAATTCAACTTATATTACATAGACTCCGTGATATCTTTGTGAACCGACTCTTTCGGGCATTTACAACGCCTTCTTCTCTCCCTCCAGTCGCTCCCGCTCCACCACATATCCGACCGCGCGAGCAAGACCCTCGTCAACTGGGACGATTGGCCTGTACCCCAGACGATACTTCGCCTTGTCGCACGAGTAGTAGCGTGTCATGCACGAGTACCTCACCATACGTCTGGTCAACCGAGGAGTCTTGCCAAAGAGTCCAAGCACCGTCTCGGCAAGTGCGCCAATGGTTCCAAGAGCACCCTCCGGAAGTTCCCACACCTGATGAGGCTCCACCACCTTTCCGGTGAGAGCCCAGGCGGCGTGGGTCATGTCCCAAAAGTAGACGGGTGAATCATTGGTGATGTTGAAGGCTTCTCCGTCGACCCGTTCATGATCCAGCGGACCTCCCTGTCCGGCCTCGTAGCGTGCATGAGTCGCAAGCAAGCGGTATGCGGCGAGCGTGTGCGAGTAGGCAACGTTTCCCACGTAGGTGAAGTCGAACAGGTTGTTGTTGTCTCCCAGCTGCATCCGGAGGACGGTCGGGGAAGCCTTGGCGGCGTGTTCCAGGATCTTGAACGTGAAAGTTGTGTCCTTTTCGCCGTAGATACCAGCCGGGCGAACGGCACAGGTGACCATTCCAGAAGGCGAGGCACGGTTGTACTTCAAGGCAAGCTCTTCGGCGTCCGCCTATATACATCGATGATTTCATTAGCGAGGAGTGCAGGTGGCGCGGGGCATTCCAAGGGCGCAATAATACCTTAGTTTCCGAATAATACTCCTGTTGCAAGGGTCCCCTGATGAGAGGCCACTCTTCAGTCACATTGATCAGGTCACTCTGTGTATCGTGGACCACGGAACTGGAACTGGTGTAAACAAATGCTTTACACTTTCCACCCCAATCACCACGCTCGCCGCCCGCAACTTCCAGCAATGTCTTGGTTCCATCAACATTAACCTTGCGCAGCAACGGCTTGTTCCCTTCCAACACGTTAGGGGTAGCGGTGTGGATAACGACGTCCGGCTTAACGGCGCGGAAAACGGACAACATCGATTCGGCGGAGGTAATATCGCCATCGTAGTACTCGGCGCCTGGTAGACGATTGTGTGTTGTCCGGAGGTCAACCACGGAGACCTTTGCTATGCATCGAGGGTACCGATCACCGAGCTTGGGGTAGTCGAATCTGGCGTCTCCTTGCGGCTTGGGAAGTGCGACACTAGGATCGGATTCCGAGGGGAAATTGAGCAATTGATCAACAATGTGCCAACCCAGAAATCCACATCCTCCAACCACCAGGACATTGCCTAGTTCGAGGGTAGACCGTTTGGTACTCGACATGATGCAGTAGTGTCTAGCAGCAGCCGTAGAATGGATGATATGTGTGGGGTTGGGGGTGGGGGTGCGAGAAGGAAAGGAGAGCGAGGGAGACGAGGGAACAATTGACTTGGGGACGGCAGGACGGGCGTGGATCGGATTCCGCCTCCAGAATCTCCGGATCCAAAAAGCTCGGGCCTTCCCGCCGCAAAAGCCAGTGTGGCCTGGTCGAGTTATCGTATACAAATGAGTCTGTAGGAAGATTCGTGGTTTTCTCAGGTACAATTCTTAAAACTTCATCGCTTCATGTATCCAGTCTCGCTTTTAGGAAAAAAGATCCTCATGCAGGTGACCCTTCGTAAGCCCATAAGATAATCAGCTAAGTGAAGCGCATACTTCCCAGCATCTTTTTCCAAACCTACGCCACAAACACCTTTTCGTCTGGCAATGCACGAACGTCGAAACTCGTTTCTCTGCCACTCCACTTCACTTCAACAAGCGCGCAGGTCCTGATAGCACAGCATAAATAGAGACGCCACAAACTTGGAGGTCAAGATAGTAGATCCCTCGATCGAAGAGTAGGATCTGCCCGAGATGTCGAGTGCGTCGCGTCCGTTCACCGTCACGCAAGCCAGGAATGAGGAAGTATTGTCGCTGGCTTACCTACTCCAAGGTTTTCTCAACTGAGCGCCTCAACTGCCGGCTGTATCTCTTCCGATTCTCCGGCGTGCCCCAGAACAATCGGAAAGCTTCGGGGTTCACTGTGGTACGCGGGTCATAAGGCGGGTTTTCTTCCTCCAGGGCTGCCACAATCCCTTCGATGTGGTACCGCATCTCCTCCGACCGATGTGGAATATAACACAAGACGCCATCTTGACTTACACGGACATGGAAAAAAGAAGTCTTCAAGGACACTCGCGGCTGTACCTCTGGGAATTTCGGGCTCAAAAATATGTCGATTTCGAAGATGCCGCCATCTAGATGCGTCATGGGCTTGCCAAAGTAGGTAAGCTTCCACAAGAAGGGGTTCTCGTTAACCAAGTTCAAATCGATGGCGAAATTCTTCTGGTTTTTGATACTCTCCAAAATCTGTTCATACTGGCGCTGTAAGCTCACTGCAATACCCAACTCCTGCTCTTTAGCTACTAGCCCTTCGGCAGCCCAGCTGGAGGTCTCCTCGATGATTCTCGCTTTGATTGCCGTTAATCGCTGTTTCAACTCTGCGTAATCGAAGTGGCCATTCATCGCATTGTTACTCTGTTCGAAGGGCATCCTTGTAAACTTTTGTTTTCCCGGGGTTTCCAGCATCGCAGCATCGATTGACTGCATGTACGAATCAAAGTACCACATAAAACGTCTCTTGCGCAAATCGACAAATGGTACGGGAGAAGGCTTGTCGTCCTCTAACAGTTCCCGTTCCTCGTTATCACTCAGTGAAGCATTCGCCTCGCTTGCAGGGGTGATGCCCAAGGAGGCTTCCAGCGGCTCAATTACCGCAAGTCGAAGGGTCTCGTGGCGGATCTTCAATTCCATTAGAGCTCTACCGGCGCTAGAATGGTCTGAGGCAGTAAGAGATTCACCTTTGCAGTATACTGTTCTGAATTTCGTTTATCGTGTTCCGACGTTGCGTCCGCATAACCGGGTTCGTTTTCGTAGGGGTTGGAGGACATCAAGCTCTGTATTGAGATTAAAATGGACTCGAGCCCCTGTGCAGACGACCACTGTTCTCCACGTGTTCCACGCCATGTACTGCGAGGACATAATTAGCCAAGCCTTGCGTCACTGGCAAGTCGAGTGTGTCACCCTAGGATCGATCTAAAGCCACCTGTCAGTACTCACGAACGTCGTGCAGCCGCCAGAGTAGACATACAAGCAAACTTTGCCAGTGGCATAAATATTGGGGTTGAATCGACAACGGCCGCCGTTTGTTGTCATTGCAAGGACTTGAGGAGGATTGGTTGGGTAGTCTGCGACATGTCAAAAGTTACTATAGTCTAAGGGAGGCAATCTTCCTGACCTTTTCCGAATTTGATGGAGAACTAGACGGTCAGGACATGATTAGCCAGAAAAGCAAGGCACAAGACAGGTGCTGAAGGCTGACCTCAAAGAAACCAAATTGGTAAGGGGTATCTGGAGGCCCGAGAATGAGAGCATTTACATTGCGGATATCGGAATCTTCGTAATGTACAGCTAGAGCTATATGGAAACCAGAAACAGCTCTTATTAGCAAATTCTCATTTTCGTGAGTACCTTTATCCATCCTAACGCCCCTGTGGCCGTGGGGTGACGGGGTACCCACAAAGGTCTGTGCCTTGTTGAAACTGTCTGATTTCCTTTGATGACCAGAAAATCCCATCAGTCAAGCGACTTAGCCAACATGCAAGGAATTACTATACCCTGGTAAGACGTAGGATTGCCTGGTTCGCCATTCTGACAGGGAGATGAAGCACGTTTGGAGCGATCAGTGATCTTGTTGGTGGAGCAAGAGGAACGTTGAAGCAAGCGGACGTGCGCTCCGATGATCGATGTTTTAGCGAGCGCGTGGGGGAGATTAGTTGTAGGGATTGGGCTGAGGGGTCACGAAACAGCCTGAAGGGAATGAGAAGCAGGGGTGAGATCATAATATAGTCCTAGCGTTGAGACAAGCCTCTCCAGCACAAGTGAAGAGTTGACGGGAAAGGTCCCAGGGGAGACGCGCATAGTTAGTGAATGACACCGAGTTATAGTTGATGGATAGATGAGAGTGCAGCTTGCTCTGCCGGGCGGGATAGAGATGACTGGTAGGCACCATAAAAGAGCTCGACGGGTGCCTGCCCCGAAGAACAAAGACTGAAGACCTCAACGTAGTAGGACCTGAGCTCTGGCATGCTCTCATGATTCAGTAAGTCCCAAGAGTACAGGGTTCTGCATCCTCTTTTTGAAGGCAGAGCTATGGCACTTCAGCTTATCATCATCACCGAGGTATATTCCTTTCACCGCCCAACAAGCGACTACGTACATCCTTGACTCTTCGACTCTTTTCAGCTTCATTTTCGTGACAGATGTTCACAAGAGATGCAGTCCCCAAGAAGGAAGTGCAATGAAATAAGAACGAATCAAAGGGACTTTGATCGCCCTTATTCTCATTATGATTGAGGGGTCACCACTACTAATGATCTTATGCTGTGAATCGTGCGGTATAGCTGAATATTGTGATGCTGTAGGGTTGTAACTATATATCTGCGGCTTTGATTGCCACTAGTGAGAACACACAGCATTTAGTAATTGATTCGGTAGTAAAGACAGCAAGTTCTGCAACGAAAATAGTAATCTTCGGAGCTCATCTTGATCTATAAAGGTAGGATGTTCTATGTGACTTATTGTATATGGCCTCAACGAGATGTTTGTTATGGCGTCTTCACTTTAGGAAATGCTGTAATCTACCTACTCCATTCAATCTACTACTTGTTCTCTATTCGATTGAAAACAGAAAGCCGTCATTAGAATACTAACTGAGTGACATGCAGATTACCATATTTAAATTGAGGGGTACCGTCTTGAAAGATGCGTGGTGCCTGTGGGCGGAAATGAGGTACGGAAAGTAGAGAGGAGGTTAGAGAAGGAGCGCATTGCGCAAGTGGAATGACACGATAAGAAGATATTTGTGAGCGGCCGGGAAGCTAGACATGAATCAAACCAAATTCTAAATCGAGGGGTTCCACAAGGCAACTTGAAGCTCTGGAGCATAGTCTGCAATTTACCAGTCACTGAGTAGACAGGTTTTGTTCAACCCTGCAAGCAGCAGAATATAGGGGTAATTTGCCAAGGATTATTATTGTGCACTTTCGAATGAAGGCTAAAGATAGGATCCAGGACTATAGGTAGATATTCAGTCTCCACTTTGGCCAGAGATTACAGGGTCTGTTTCTGCCTGAACAATCTTTGCAATGGGCTATTTTTGGCGTGCCAGGGCTTTTTTTAGCCAACAGAACTAATGAACATCTAATGCGTTTGTGTCGTTTGTCTGTCCACGACGAAGCTTAAATGATTCTTTAAATGCTAACCATCCATGGATTTGTGTTGATGTTGGATCCTCTCCAATCAACCGGCTGGTGAACTGCTGCATTTCTGCCACAGCCACTTTCCAACCCCACAAACTGTTGTTGTGTTCTGGAACCATTGCCGGGTAGAGTAATGGATACACAACGCGGGATAGGGGATTTTCCCATCACGGGCGGTGAATAAGGCGGTGGATTGATTCACGTGACCGTGTCCTAGTGGGCAAAGCCGCCCAGCAATAATATGAGAGGGAGTGGCATAGGGGGGAGGGAGGGGAGAGGGAAAGAAGAGAGGGGAGGAGGGCAGAGCGACAAAGTGCCCAGCAGCAAGCAAGCAAGCAACAACACCCACCCTCCTCCAAACACGCGATTCCCTCTCCTCCCTCCTATTCTCTCGGTTCAGGGTCCCAGAGACCGGAACTCGACTCGATTTCGCTTCTTTTTCCTGATCCCTCAAATTTCTCTCGTTTTTCTCTGGGCTCTGGCGGTCCCTTCCCAAACCACACCTTGTCGAAAGGGATTAGGAATGGTTGTGATTCCCGACAGCGTACTCCGCCGCTTGTTGGTCTCACTCTGAGCTTCAACCCTTTCTCCATTCCGCTTCTCTCGACGAACAGTCGCTTGCGCAACTTAGATCCTCTTTACCTCAATAGTTCTGCCCATTCGCCTGTTTCTCCGGTCGCAAATTCCTCTTCTATTTGCTGGAGTCTGCGCCCTGTCTTTAGTTGTTTTACCAGTTTCCCCGCAAGTCCCATCTACATGGCGTGAGGTGTGTTGCTACGGAAAAGGTCGCCAACTCCCTTACCAACCCCGCGCACCAGACTTCGGAAGATTCCTCCAGAAGCTGACACCGCAGACAGTGAAGATCAACAGTATCTACTTCAGAGCGATCTTGACGATTAGTGCCTTTGCAGCAAATAGATAATACGCCCATCACCCTGTGGTTTCCCACCCCCTCCCGTGACTTAACTGCTTCTACTCCACCATAGCGGCCGTGCCGTCTACCTCGAGATAGTCCACAACGCTCGACTGCGGATTCTCATTTGTTCAATCAATTCAAATCAACAGGCATAGTTCTCGACGAACATGCCTCCCGGCGACGTTCCTTTGCCGGACAGCCTCGTGCCGGGCAACGGGGCTGTCCGCCCTAAGCTCAATACCAGTGGATATGGCGGTGGTAGTTTTCAGTCGCAAACTCCGACATCTCCTGCAGACAGTAACATTGCCTTTGACTCGCCTCGCACAAGGACAGGAGGATGGAACGGGTCCAACAACAGCCCGGTCGATGGAGCACAGAACCCAGACGGTCGAATGAGCCGGCGTTTGGAGTCCGGTCACCCTGGCTCTCGAGATCCGTCCACTCCACGAGATCGTAATGGCTATTACGATAGACCAACACCACGAGAGAGATCCCGCCCCAATGGTCGACCACCCACAAAGTCCCCTGGCAGCTCGTCGCGTATTTGCAAAAAGTGCGGGGAACCGCTCACGGGCCAATTCGTACGCGCTCTGCTTGCAACATACCATCTTGAGTGTTTCAAATGTGAGGTAAGTGTATCATAATCAAGAAATGGCGGCTGTCCACGTATTGACGCCTCTGGGTTTAGGACTGTGGTCAAATAGTGGCATCTAAGTTCTTTCCTGTGGATGCTGAAGATGGCAACGGGCAATACCCCCTATGCGAGACGGACTACTTTCGGCGTCTCGACCTTCTCTGTCACGAATGCGGTGGTGCTCTTCGTGGTTCATATATTACGGCATTGGAACGCAAGTATCACATCGAGCACTTCACATGTTCTGTCTGCCCCACTGTGTTTGGCGCGCAAGACTCCTACTATGAACACGAGGGTAAAGTGTACTGCCATTTCCACTATTCGACACAATTCGCTCAGCGCTGTCACGGATGTCACACGGCAATCCTCAAGCAATTCGTCGAAATCTTTCGAAATGGTCAGAATCAGCATTGGCACCCTGAATGTTATATGATCCACAAATTCTGGAACGTGCGACTATCCCCGACCGGGCAAGTCCTGGAGTCGCCTGAAGCGGATCTAGACGCCACTGACGAGGAACGTAACAGAGTACGAGAAGAGGAAGATGTCATGGAGGAGAAGGTCTACAGGATATGGAGCATACTGTCCAGTTTTGAGGAATCATCTGCTGCATGCATTTCGGATATGCTTCTTCATGTCAGCAATGGCACCTATGTTGATGGCGTATTTGTTGCCAAGAAGTTCATCGGGCACGTTGATGTCCTCTTTTCTGCCATTGACCAGCTTGCCACCAACATCAAGACTCAAGGCATGAAAGGTAAGCAAGTGATATGCTCTCACCTCAACCTTGCCAAAGAAGCTTGATAACTGATACCACATTAGACTTGGCTTATGGGCGTGAGGCAAAACTTCTGTGTAAGAAGATCGTTGCTTTCTTTGCATTACTCTCGAAGACTCAGGAGGCTGGCGTGCGTAAACTGGGCGTCACGCAGGAACTTCTCTCATTGGTCACTGGACTTGCTCATTACCTCAAGCTTCTTATTCGTATCGGACTACAGGGGGCCCTTAAACTTGAGAGAGAAAAGCAAACACCTGAAGGTCTTCACCATTTTCTCGACCACTTGGGAGATCTAGAAGCACTCAGGCCTCTCGACGAAGAGGAAACCACTGCAGACTTGATGGTTGGTGTAGACGTCCTCGCTGATCAGCTATCTGACTGTTGTGCATCTTGCAAAGAACCGATTGACGATGAATGTGTCATGCTGGGCGATCACAGGTGGCATATGAAGCCGCCACACTTCTCGTGTACATCTTGTCAGAAGGATCTAACGAGCACCATTCAAGACTCGTTGTACAATTCGAAGGAAAAGCGGGCTTATTGCAACGACTGCGTCACCAAGAATGGACTGAACCAGGAGACCCAAGGAGGCTTTGTTCATGTGACTAAACTCCAGCAGTTTATCTTCCTTTTGAGAGTTGCTCTTGCGCGACTCTTGGCCGTCCTACGAGCTGGAGGAACATTCTCTGGTAGGTCACGACGACAGATCAATTCGACACCTTCATAGAGATATAGAAATACTTACCGTTCAATAGACGATCTAGGTCCACAAAGCGGCGGCGATAATGGTCGAATTCCACCCGGGGGTGAAATGCGCAGGTCAGGCACAAGAGCGAAATCCTATGCAAATGCTCTCAAAGATAACCCCGAAGGTTCATCGCTCGAACAGACAGTTGGCGAAATGCGACGTCTGCGATCAATCCGAAACGAGCGTACTCTGTCGACAACCTACAGGAAGGCTCGAGCGTCTAGAATAATCGATGGGCCCGAAGGTCGAAGCGTGCGGCCAGGGTCATCCGGTGGCGAAGCCTCGGATCCACGGGGCCATGGATTTCAGATTGTAGAGGAAAAAGATGCCAACGGAGAGACGGTCACTGAGCTGACGTTTGGCAATCAGGACGCATTGACTTTGGATGATATTCCCAGAATCGTTGCGGCTGAGCAAGCCAAGGAACAGCGGCCTAATGCTTACAAGCATGCCGGCACCAAGCTTGTTGGCACCACCGAGCCTCTTCCGAAGTATAATTATGGCCATCAGCGTGGCGTTTCGGGTGCAGGCTTAGAGCAGCATCTGATGGAGCAGGCAGGGCGGACCAAGAAGTACTTCTCCGAACTTTCTGCCCTGGAGTACTTCATTGTTCGACACGTTGCGGTCCTGTCCATGGAGCCATTGCTTGACGGGAGCTTCACTCTGGAAGAGCTTCTTTCGCTGATCGAGTCACGCAAACCCACTATCTGGAATATCTTTGGCCGCGCTTTCAATAAAGAGGCCAAGAAAGGTGGGAAGAAGAAGGGTGTCTTCGGCGTCAGTCTTGACTTCCTTGTCGAGAAAGAAGGTACCGAGTCTAGTCACGGTGTTGGCCCTGGAGCGCTTCGCATTCCTGCTCTCGTTGATGATGCCGTCTCCGCGATGCGTCAAATGGACATGTCTGTAGAGGGTGTCTTCCGAAAGAATGGCAACATCAGGCGCCTGAAGGAACTTACCGAAATGATTGATAACAGGTATGAGCAGGTAGATCTCACAAAGGAGAACCCGGTCCAGATTGCGGCCCTTCTCAAGAAGTTCCTTCGTGAGATGCCAGATCCACTCATGACTTTCAAGCTGCATCGCTTATTTGTGGTATCTCAGAGTAAGTTCAATGACACTTGAACTCAATGTTCGGTTTATTAACATCGTCCCAGAGATCTCCGACCCTGAGAAACAAAAGCGGCTCTTACATCTCACCTGTTGCTTGCTGCCCAAGGCTCATCGTGATACCATGGAAGTTCTGTTCGCGTTTCTCAACTGGACTTCTTCTTTTTCGCATGTCGATGAGGAATCTGGGAGCAAGATGGACATTCATAACTTGGCAACCGTGATCACTCCGAATATCCTTTATCCTAACACCAAAGCAAGCACCGTAGACGAAAGTTTCCTGGCAATCGAGGCTGTCAACTGTCTGATAACCTACAATGATACTATGTGCGAGGTATGTCATTTCACTTCTAGTATCGGATGATTAGATTTTAACATTTTCTCAGATTCCGGAAGATCTGCAATCGGTGCTCAGCGACCCAACCTTCTTCAAGGAGAACAGCGAAGTGACCACCAAGGACATTCTGAGGCGGTACGGTGATATCGCACGGGGTAGTTTCTCTCAGAAGCCTATCAATGGCGGTGAAACTGTGACAATTACGAATTCTACCCGCGGAGCAAACATTCCTACCTCTGCACGCATTGAGACGGACGTCTCCCAAGATGCAGCTTGGCAGGCACAGAGCTCAGTTCGCCATGTTCAAAGCCCTGGAGGACTTGGCCACTCCACAAACACCACTTCGACGACTGGGCTGGACCTCGGGCCTGGATCGGCAACTGATTACCGTGAGCGAAGCACGAGTAATAGCAGCCAGCAAAACCCTATTCAACCTGATGGACAAGGCCAGCAGTTGCCTTACCGGCCTCGTCCAGGCGCAGGGCCTATGGGCGTTGCTGGCTAGACGACAGCTGGCCTTTATCTTCGGCGGTGACAAAACATCGTCGCTTTTCTGCATAGTCTCAAAGATATTTCTCTGATACATTAATCGCCGATATCTCGTTTGAGCTCCAAAGAATGCTCTTGGCGTATGACTGGGCCGTTCAGCGTTCCTTCGAAATAACATGGTTGGATGGAGTTTCTTTCACCTTTTGAATTGAGATGGTTATCGAAGTTTGCTAAACACTCGGTTCGAAGACTCTCTTGGCGGATGGTTGTTCTTTTCTTCTTATCTTGCCTTTTTGTGCTCTGGCAACTTGAAGCGCATTTGCATTGGCCGTGGGTCCCAGTATGACTCACTGAGCTCTTAATTTGCTATCTAATTCGATGGGCTGGCTACGGAGCTCGCGTCAGTCTCGTGACTTTGTTAGGTTCAAATTCTGGGAGACTTGGGTGTCACTCTGGTCCCATCATTTCCATCTTATTCCTTTTTTCTCTTTGCTCGCCCCGTTGTTATTGCAAAACTTTGCTTTGCAGCCATTTGCGTTATTACAGCCCGAGGCCCAGAGTGAACGATGCCAGGGGCATTTTCTTTTCTCTCTTTTTCTCCGATTGCTTTTCCTCTCTGCGTTGTTCTACACCATGGGGTTTCGACATCCAGCGACTTATCAACTTCCATTCACAGCGTGTGAGCATACTCTGCGTGAGATGGAAAGAGGTGGCAAAAATGTTTCTCTTTCGCATCCGAAACTTTCTACTTTACTTCTTTCCCCTAGGCAGTTCCCGAACAACTGCCGAAGATACCTGTGCCGAGTCATATGATATTCTCTTTTCTTTTTCTTGACTTCTCTCTACCCTTTTTCAAGCCCCCATTCTTCCCCCACTCCTCCCAGTTCCAAACCATACCACCTACCTCTCCCAGCTGATATCCCGACTTGTTTGAGTCTTGGTCTTTTCTTCATCAGCATCCCTGTGATGCATATTTTATCTTCTTCTCTTCCCCTTTCTTCCCTCTTTTTTTTCCCTTTTCTCATTCAGCCCCCGCCTGCCCTCACAAAAGAAAAAGAGGTGTAATTTATCAGCGACTATGAATGAAAGACATTATCATAGTGATTGTCTCTTTGATGAGCTTGACAAACTTGCGGCGTAGAACCTGTATTTGGAGCGTGATCTGAAAAATCCAAGAGATTTGGTTGAAGTGTAAAGAGTGCCGCCCCCCGCCCCCCCTCATCCCTTCGCCTTGTGGGCATTCAACAAGGCTACCCATAGCAGGAAGATGGGACTACTAGGTACAGGACAGTGTCTGGTGTTATATGTAGGGTGAAGGGCCATTCATTCCTGTAATGCGGTGACCGACTCTTCGTACCGTACCTGCCTACTTTTGTATAGATGAATATGAGACCTCTGGATGGTCCCGAGGCCCCTGGTTTTACCCGCGATGGTAAGTGATATTGAATCTTTCTCCGTAGTCGGATGGCCTCTCGCTCCCAAAACATACGGTAAGTACGCAACCAGATGTTAGTTGAGGGCACTCTCGAAGACACTCCTCAACGACTTCACTTCTTTAATGCTCGAATCGAAGAATGCAGAGAAGCTAATGTTGAGTGCGCAAACGATCAATTCAAAATAAAAGAATAACACTTGAAAAGATTTCAGGTTCAGATACCGAAGAACGCCTTTCCCCATTCAATTCCCACAAAGCACCCCCTAACCCCATGGCATGAATTTCAGATGGATGACGGAAAAACACCGCGCGGAACTCCAAAAGCATACAGAAAGCAAACTAGAGCCTAAGGTATAAACAAGCTAAATAATACTGACGTGGTTACCAGACAAGGTGACTAAAAAAAGGGTCGTGGTCATATCATGCTCTCTTGCGAAGGACCCTCCGGCCGGCTGTTGGTGCGGCTTCTCCGCCGGCCGCGGTGGTGGCGCGCTTGGCTGTTGCTGTTGCTGATGCGGCGTTGCGCTTGGCTGCGACTGTAGCGGAGGCTTGGCTGCGGGGGCCGGTAGTCTTCCTGGCAGCAGTGGAGGAGGTAGAGGTGGCACTCTTCTTGGAGCCCGTTGTGGTGGTAGTGGTAGTGAGGATTGGCTTACTGACGGCAACGGTTGTGCCCGATGAAGCGGACGAGGAGACACTACCGCGGCGGTCGGCGTGGCGGGTTGCGGGTCTGGGTAAGGGCGAGCGCAGGGTCTTGCTTGTCGTTGTCGTGGCGGCGCGACTAGCCGGACGTCTGGTGGCCGCCTGCGACGAGGGCCGGACGACGGATGTCGAGGGCGCGGGGCCGCGGACGGACCGCAAGCCGGGCATGCTGGCGGAGGTGCCCTTCAGCGGACTGGAGGGTTTCAGGGGCGACATGGGTCGGGAGAGGTAGGAGGTCACATTGGTGGATTTCTCGGGCGAGGCGCGCAGCGGCGACTGGGGGTATGTGCGCGAGTTGGAGGTCTTGGGCGACAGAATCCGGTAGTCATTGGCGCCTCGCATTTCCTGGGAGACCACCCGCGAGGTGCCGGCCGCGGCACCGGGTTTGGCCCGTCTTTTGGGGTTCTTGAGCACGTCGAGGGACTCGCCGTCGGCAGGCGCGTTCTCCTTATCCGAGTAGATGCCTTCGTGACTAGTGTGAAACAGGGTCAGCGAGCAGAACGGCCTACATGAATTCCTAAGAGTTCAAGATGAATACTGTGGTGTTCTCGTCCGTACCTCTGCTTGCGAACCCTGCGGGCGCTGGAGCTTGCCTTGTGCAGTTTGGGGCTGATGGAGATGGCGGCAAAATTCCGGGATGCTTTGGCTGGGCTGAGCAGCTTGCGCGGGGATGTGTTTTCTTGGTGTGCTCGCATGTGCTTTTCTAGCAGTTCGCCCATGTTGGCCTTGCGTAGCGCAATGGGGATTCGATTGATACGTCGCTCGATCCGAGCGCGGAGGTCATGGGCTTGCAGAGCATATTGAGCACGGAGTTTGCGGGCGCGTTCGGTGACTGCGACGGCGGTTAGCACACGCACATTTGAGGATGACGACCACACAATATTGGGTCAGGAGGAGCCGTACTTTCGAGCTGAAGGTTATCTATCAGAGCCTGTTTCTGGTTGCGGGTGATGCGAAGCTTCTTCTTAGGTGGACTGTTGGTGGGAGTGATGGCTTCCTCAATGCGGGACGCGTCCTCGGGGGACTTGCGTTTGGAGGCAAGGGACGCCATTGAGGCTGGAATCAGATTGCTGGTGGTCGCCCGGGCTGGAGATGTGCACAATTTTGTTGAATGGGTGTCACAATGGCTGAATCAAAGGCATTAACGTAGTGATGTTGCGAATCTGGTGATTAGTCGGAGGGCTGTTTGATTTGAAGGGAGGGAAGCGGAAGAGTTGGCGGGCGGAGAGAGCGAGAGAGAGGAGGATAAACAAGACAAGCTGATGCTGACTTAATTCGTGGGTCGGTGACATCTTGCAGTTCCTCCTCCTCCCCGTCCCGGACCTCAGCTCCACCACCTCCATTACCGCAGCTTCTCTCACTTCTTCATTCTCCATCCTACTCTGTTTCATCTACCCACTTCACGTCCTATCCAGTTTTTCCTACGCTCACTTTCGGCATTTCCAGCGCCTTGCCTGATACCTCCCCGTCACATATACCAATCACATCCGTCGTTTCCCATAACGCCCAACCCCCGCCAAGATGGAGGCTACCATGATCATGTCCGTCCTTTTTACTCCAAACAAGCTTCAAACATCCTAGCTAACAAACCCCAAAGTGTGGACAACAGCGAAAGCAGCCGTAATGGTGATTATACGTAAGCATATTCCGCCTTTCTGACCGACACCCCATCAGACCGCTAAACCAGCTACCCTACCCAGCTCGACTCGATGGCAAGCACAGATCGACGCCGTCAGCGTCATCCACACGACCAAGATGCGCGTACACCCGCAATCCGCCGTTGGTCTGATGAGCATGGGAGGAAAGGGACCGGAGGTTCTGTCGACGTTCACCACGGACTTTGGTGGGATTCTGGCTGGTCTGCACCGCACGAAGATCGGTGGTACTGCCCACCTTAGCTCCAGTATACAAGTGGCCAGTGTACGTTTGTTTCCCTGACGAAACGAAGACAAAAAAAAAGTAGAATGAGCTGACCACGAGGCCTCCGCACAACTATAGCTCGCCCTCAAGCACCGCTCCGAAAAGTCGCAGCGCCAGCGGATCATCGTGTTCTCCTGCTCGCCGATCGAAGAAGACGAAAAGACACTGGTGAAGCTCGCCAAGAAGATGAAGAAGAACAACGTCTCCATCGACGTGATCGCCTTCGGGGACCTCGAGTCCGATCAGACCAAAAAGCTCGAGGCCTTTGTCGAGAACGTCAAGGGTGGCGACGGCTCCCACCTGGCCATCATCCCGCCCGGTGATAACCTGCTGAGCGAGGAGCTCCAGGCCACGCCGATTCTGGGCGGTGATGGCAGCGGCGCCGGCGGCGCCGGGCCCGACGGTGGCGACGGGGGCTTCAACTTCGAGGATGCAGCGGAGAACGACCCCGAGCTGGCCTTCGCGCTGCGGCTGTCCCTGGAGGAGGAGAAGAACCGGCAGGAGAAGGAGAAGCGGGAGCGCGAGGAGCAGGAGCGCAAGGCCAACTTGGAGGGGATCCCCGAGGAGAGTGGGGAAGGGAGCGGAAGCAAAGACAAGAAGGAGGACGGCGACAAGATGGACACTGCTTAAGTGGGTTCTGGAACTAAATTTCCCAGTGGATGACTTTTTTTCTTGTCTGATGTGTGATGCATACCCGGCGTTTCCTTCTGATGTACCTTGCGCTTCCAATTTTGTGTCCTGTGTCTGGGTGTAATTGTAGACCGTGCTGGTGGTAGTGTTTCTAGACCCCCCGACTTCCCAGGCCGACTCTTCCCTGGCCAACGAAAACAGGCTGCGGTATCTATATGATATGAGAAGGTCTATTGCATGCTCATCGTAGTTCCATCCCAAAGGAGAAAAGAAGAAGTGAAAGTGTGTATATAGGAAAGGCCACAGCTGGACGCCCACTCCGGCAGAATAGTAAAAGCGTAACAAAAAAGAAGAAAAACATAATACACCCCTATTATCGCCAATCAAGACTCTTTGAAACCCGGTTATCGCCGATACATGTGCAATTGAACCAACCGCAATCCCACTTTCTCTCCTAACCCCCATCAACCCCCATAAACAAGGTTGAAAAGGATCAAGTCCTCCCCCGCAACCACCCATTCAAATTCCGATCAAACGCCTCACACCGTACAGGCATCTCCAGCTGATAGAACGGATTCTTCATCACAAAGTCCGCATAGAACTCGTAGATCTTGTTCATGACCACCTCGACATTTCCCATCTGCAGGTCCGTAAATAGCAGGAATTTCGTCCCCGTGAGCGTTTGGAAGCACGTCAGCCGGAACTTATCCGTCTCGAGGGTTTCAAGCCCAGTCGCGGGGACGCCGGGAAGGGGGTATGTGTATGTCGTTGTGGATGTGGATGTGGCGTTTATGGTGGTGGTGGTGGTGGAAGGGGAGGTGAGGTTGTTGGTGGGCGTGCTGGTTGGGGTGGAGAGGGAGGAGGAGGTCGTGGTTGGGTTTGTTGTTGATGCTGTTGCTGTTGGTAGAGTTGTGAGGAGGGGGAGTTTGGGGGTTATCGTGCGGGTTATGGCGTGGACACTTTTTTTCCCCACATATTAGTCTGGGGGAGTTGATTGAAGAAGGGGAGGAGGGGTTTGGGTTTGGGATTGAGGTTGGGAATCTGGGTTGAAGGTGGGATTGAGGTTGAGCTTCATACCCGTGAAATGTGCCGGCGAGAACGAGATAGTCGTTTGTCGAGAGTTTGCGGAGGCCTGGTTGGAATTCCCGCTGGTAGATTAGACCTCCGGCTTTGTTGATGATAATCAGGGAGAAGACAGTCCTGTTGTCTTGGTGTCAGAGTGTGATTGTCTCTTGCGACATGCGCAGCGGTCGAAGTGGTTGCGACTTACATGGTGATGAGGAGAAGGAGGAGGAGGGGGAGAGAGCTAGGTTAATGCAGGTAGTGTCGGAGATGCTGTCCTTTCCAGGTGCTTCCACGAGCAAGTTCATGCGGTATCGCAGGGGCTCTAACTGCGTGGTTCGGAGATTGATTCAAGGAGGAGAGAAGCCTGGCCCTGTCGTGGAATCATATCAGTGTGGTTTGTTGTGTCCTGGTCATTGTACCCGGGGATGATTGCGGAGGTCTCGTTGGCCGCAGTGTACACTCTTGCGCTGCGGCTCACCGCTTTCGCTCGAGGGTCTAGTCTGTAGCTGAGGCGCCGCGGGTTTTCTCCGCACTTGTGTATAGGTTTTCACACTTGCTTTGCTGTATACTGTAAATCGGGTCTATGAGTCTACATGTCACATGTACATGATAATTACATGCTTAGAGTGATCAGATTGCCCAGATACAACGCAGCACATAACGACGTTAAACATTAACCCAAGTTCACTCAAACTACTTTGTAGTAATCTAGACAGCCACAACATCCGTAACCTCAACAATATTCTACCGCAATCAAACAGTCAGCAATCCACCAATCTCTACCCAAAGAAGTCACTGCAAGAGAGAACTTACCGGCCGTCCCTCAACAACATGCTCCGTCTCACACGACTTAGTCTCATACCTCACCTTCCCACTTCCCCCGGCCCTCACATACTCCAGATAATCCGGCGCCCCCGGAATATCCGTATTATCGGCAATCACCTTCGACCCAACCCTAAAAACCTCCAACTCCTCGCACAGCTGCAGATCCGACAGGTAGAACTTCTCCCAGTGATCGAAGAACGCCATATCGACGCCGCCCGGCACAACCGCACCCTCATCCACCAACCGCCGCAGCGACTCCGCCGCCGGCCCCACCAGCACATGCACGACCTCCTGCAGACCGACCAGCTGCACGAACTCACGCGCCACCTGGGCGACGGGCTCGCTCACCTCAAACGTGTAAACGTGGATGTCGGTGGCGTCAGGCCCGTGCAGGTCGCGCAGGATGGCCGCCCACGCGATGGCCGAGCAGCCGATGTAGGTGCCAAACTCGATGATGGTCTTTGGGGGCGGCTGCATGGATTCCAGGTGCTGCTTGGCAACGCGGAGCTTGCTTTCTTTAAAGTTCATGAGGTGCGCCGTGTGGCTGTATTCGTCGAGGGCGCGGTAGAGCGCCCAGGGGTTGTTGTGGTAGGGGGCCGTGGTAGGTTGGTTGAAGATGTGGGCGTGGGCCGCTTGAGCGGCAGCTTCAGGGGACTTGTGCTGGGAGGTTAGCTTGATGTTCAAGCTATTGTAGGTGGTTATGCTGGACTTACGTGTGGCATGGTGGGTGGTATGGTGTGGAATAAGTTGGGTCTTGATAGGTAGGTTGGTGTTGATGGTTGATTTGATGGCCGTGATTTAAGCTATCGTGGTAGAAGGAAGGGTATTTCAGCTGGAGCGATTGTCGACTCTCGACATGAAGCTTATATACGGTTGCAGGGCGATCTGCGAAGGCAGATGCAGCGGTGACTTCACCTGCTACCTCGGGCTAAGGCAAGTGATCCACTCCATGACGTTTATTACTTATCTCCGGGGGCTGTGTTCCCAGAGGCTCGCAACTGGCGCTGTGCGTATAGGGCTGGACGAGGAACACTGGGCTATTCGTCACAGCATCGCTGAACCTGGATATCCTTGTATGAGGTTTAGCACTAATTGGGTATCTTTCTCCGAGTGTCGGATCTCGGTACTATTAAAGGTGTGCTTGACCGAGATGTTATCGCCGAGGCGTAACCGATAGATCCACTTCGCTTCGATGATGATATGATCGACTCTCCGTCGGCAGAAACACGAGTTTGTGGCAGTGCAAGTCAAATTGATTGCCAATATTCGTGGATTGTATCGTAGCAGCGCTGCCATGGAGAACTCACATGCGCAGCCTTCCTCCTCGAATGAACAAGTCCTTCCTCATCGAACTCATACCGCCTCTCCGTTTGCCCATCCCAAGGAAGCATCAGCTTACGAGCCATAAACAGCAATCCGTGAATTCTCCTAGGGCAAAGAAGACACAACACCCCTCCATAAATAAAGAAAAAGAACGAAAACTCACCCATTTACCCCCAGCGGCGACGAGATACTCGACCGTCCGTTTAACGCTCACCGGGCTGCCGCAGCCCGTATTGCCAGCAATCAGAACCCGAAGGTCCGGGACGATCATCCGCACATGCTCTTGGATCTTTTAGCACATGTCATCCATGGCGATGTAGCCGGTGTCTGGGAGGCCGTGGGCGCTGGAGACGGCGGAGCCAAGCCGGACAGGAAGTCGGGGGGAAGCCGGCTTTGGCCACGAGGCGCGGAAAGAGGCTGTCGTAGGTGACGAGAAGGCAAGAATTGGTGTGTAGGGGTTCACGGTGGGACGTCTGTGAGAGGGAGCGGAGGTGAGAGGGTGGCTTGGGGGCTGGGGGTGCGGCCGCGGATGTTCTGGAGTTGGTAGGTGATGGTTTGGTTGATGGATTTTGGAAAGGTTGTTGTGCTGGGGATTGCAGAGGCGCTGATTTCGGGAAAATGGCTGAAACAGTAGGGTATGGACTAATTTTGGGCTGCCGGGGATGGATTATGATCGTAGAGAGTGGTTGTTGATGTCACAGCGGGACACATGACTGCCGCTCCGTTGAGCATTCAGTACGAAGCACAGTACATGAGACTTCGAGACATATACTAGCAGTCTGGAAGAGACTCAATCAGAATTCAGCTGTGCATATGGGATGGTCATTCACTCTCACACGTTGGGATTGGCCGACTGACATAGTGTTGCAGAGCACGAGTTTCAGTCTGCATTTCCAAGGCAAAGCATCAGAATACCACAGCTGGATGACATCTGCTTCTCAGAAAACCACTCTTACGCCATCATACTAATTCCAGCCACAAACCAACACGAACGACCCGACAATCACCTCATCAACGCCTCCCGCACAAGCAAGCAAATGCCGATCCTCACTTCCAAACCATGGATCCCAGATCACAGCTTACAGCTTAGGTGATAATCTTCTAATTCTGGGATATCCCAGAAGCCAGGCAAAACATTCTAGAAGTCCACAAAACCAGACCATCAGCACGCTAACCAAATTACCAACAACACCCGGCCGCTCCGCAAGGCCCAATGATCAACCCGCCTCTGCCACCCCTGTCAGCCGCACGGACAGCCAGTGTTTCATCAGCAGAGCCCAAGGACCAAGCGGATGGGTTCGAATTCGGGGGCCAAACTCAGGGGGCCCGCTGCGGGATGGGATGGTCTGGAGACCGAACGCCACGTGGAAAGGGTCGTTGGCCGCCTGGCTGATCAGACCGTGTTGATGTTAGTCTGGCAGAGGGTGGGGGCTGCTCGATTGGGTGCTGAGACGAGGTCAGGTTAGTTAGCGTGGTGGGTTGAATGTAGTGGCGATTAGTTCCAGAGTAGCGCACTCCCTTGACTATGCTACGAGTTGGTATGTGTATGAGACGCAATTCAACTAAAAATGGTGTATCATTCATATGCTGATGTATGTAGTTGCTCCTTGCTCCAGAACGGGGATGGGTATAGGTAGACAATGTAATAACACAGAAACCCAAAAGACAGCACTCCTCTAGAACAGTGATATGAAATACAGGATATCGAGTCATCAATCATTAATGAATAGGGCCATGAGTTAAAGAAAAAGTAGGTTGAGGGGTCGGAGGTAAGCGGAGGATAGAAGAATATGAAGGAAGGGGTATCAAACGGAACAACGAACAAGCAGTTACTTGTCGCAGAAGACAGCCAGCTTCCACTCGCCCTCTACTTCCCGAATGATCCCCTCCTCAATCGCCCATTGCCGCAGCAAGAGATCTTCGCTCTCGTGCAGCAGCTCGTCCTTCTCATAGTGGCGGCCCACGTGCTCCATGCGGTCGTTCCAACTGCGTGCCCCAACAAAGTGCTGGCCGCAGAAACCACATTGGCTGTGGAGAGGGGCCTTGCGTTGCTCATGCCAGCACCGATTTCGCACAGCCTCCAGGCTCTGCTCGAATGCCTCCCGCTCTTCCTCGGTTTCGGGCGTTTTCCGGTTCCGGCACAACCAGGGGGCATGCATCCGACGCTGGTGTTGTGTGAAAAGGTCTTTGCGGTTGAAGTCGTTGACGAGATGGGATTCATTGTAGGCAAGGGACTCGAATGGGGAGTTGAGGTTCCTCTCCTTGCTCAGGCTGTCCAAGCTGCAGCGTCCGACATCACACCGAAAGAAGCCGAGCTGAATGTGTTGGGAGATCACATGTCGCTTCCACTCGTTCTTCGAGACAAATGTGCTGGGGCAGCCGTAGTGGGAAAAACTGCAGGTGTAGAGGCGGCTGGGGGCGGGGACACCTCTCTTCGCGGTCATTTTCGAGCTCGCACGAGCATTCGCGGTGTCGCTTGTCTTGTTGGAAGGTTTGCGAGGTCGCTTGCCGATGCGTCCAGTGCTAGTCTTGGGTGCTTTCCGGGTCTTGACTTGGGACTTGGGCGAGTCACAAGCGACATGCTCCTCCTGCTTGACCGACTGGCCACAGGCCGACGTTCCGTTCATGAACTCGGTACCCCCATGTGCGAAACCTGCTGGAAATGCAAAGACATGCGTGGCTAGCTCAGGTTCCACCTTCACCATGGGCTCCGGTTCGGGGTATACTTGAGAAGGCGTAACTAGATAATCGACCATAGCGGGGGAAGCACTGGGATCGTACACAGATGGTGACATCAAGACATCGTCACAGGAGTAAGGCGGCGACATATAACATCCAATGTTTGTCCAATTGGTGTGGGCCATCTTGGGACTTTCCAGCGCGGGCGAGGAGGTGAATTCGCTACTCCAGGGGGATGCGAAGCCTGGTGTAAGTGCATTGATCTCCTCTGCCGTGCTCGTCCAGGGCATGGTAGGTGGATAAAGGCCTTTCATAGGCAGAGTGTCGGAGGGAAGATGAGACTGGAGGCTGGAGGGATGTTGACTCATCGTGGGGTCGGTAGAAGACTCATACTCGCCAGGGTATAATTCATAATCCTGGGGTACACTAACCCCGGATGACAGTTGGGGAATCTCGGAGAAGGCAGTAAACCGATCCATGATATGCATGAAGAAGCAAAGACTCGCTTCGAATTATGGATCTGGTCTGCACGAAGTACACGAAATGCAAAGCAAAGTCGGAGAGGAAAAAATAATGGATGGCGTCTACAAGAGTCGCGGCAGCCAGGGGCATTTATTCTCAGCTGAGAGGACGGTAGCCAACTAGTTACCACATGGCTATGAACTCATCTTTCTCTGGGAACGGGCGTCACGGGAAATGGGGCGCTGTAGCCCCAAAAGAGCCCAGAGTCAAGGGCATTGCTTTGAGCCGCATAGCGTCCATGAGATGGACGATTATTCGTCGAGATTTTATTGCAAGTGGGATGCAGGATTGCTCCTTGGAGAGAGCCAAAGCAGGAAACCCCTGCAGCGGGCCCTCTAGCCAGGGCTTCTCGACGTCTGGGCCATCCATTTTCATTTCTTTCCCCTCCTTCCCCTATTTGTTTTGGCGGTCTGGCGGATCTGAATGTAATTACTTTTTGAATATACTTTTGTTGTAGTCCCCAAGGTTCAATTTAGTTGCGGGATGAAAGGGGACCCCCCTGTCAGACGGTGTGGTCCACGGTGGTAGTGGATGAACCCCAGACGGGCAAACTGTCAGTGTTCGGAAAGGTAAGGCCTTTGTAGGTAGCGGAGAGAGAAAAGAATTAACTGAATATAAAAAAAGAAAAGAAAAAACTGCGGTTACTGTAAAAACATCCCTCGTGGCTCGCACAGCCCATATTTCAAGCGTACACATTCCGAGTGCCCACGAATTGATTGGACCTGGGGAGTTGAATCTCTTGTGCCCGACGGGCAGTCCTTCCCAACTCCCCCAGAGAGAGAATGAAGTACTCCGTACGGGAAGTGTACTACTTACCATTCAGCCTCAATTAAATGGCAGTGTTGCGCTCAAACCGGCATTAGCATGTCAACACCCACCCAAGACAGGATTAGACCAACGTTGCAACCACTTATCGCTTATCCACAACTCCACACCTCGGGGGCCAAAAGCTACTTCGTCTCCACGAGTCAGTTGAGTGGTCTATCGTCCAAGCAGGGGGTCTGAAATAGGTAAAAATCCACACCCAATTCAGCTGGATGTGGTAATAACTGATTGCTCTTTTTAGGCGCAGGCAGTTGTTGGTTTCTTCCCCGGTCGCGATTTGACCACAGGAACATCCGCGCCACGCTGTCTCTTTGATACTGACTGACAGCTAAACGTCTGACAGACTCACCATCCCACACACGATGGTTGAGTCTTTCGTTAGCACCTTGCTCATCCTGTTGAGATATCCAATACCCCCTTTCTTCTCCCCAAGTAGAATGACACTATAATCAGTCAGCACTGTGTAAAGAAGCGGTACTCCACTCCCTGGGGGCCAAATGCAATCTGATGGACCATGCGATGCTGCAAATCCGCTAAATCGATTATCTCTGGGTCTGAAACCGACCGCTCGACGATCGGCCTCACTCCTCGACTATTCATTCCGTAACAGGAATGGTCAGATAGGAAGAGTGACTACCAGATACAATAATGTCATCATCATCATCATCATCATCATCAGACGTTTGATTGCGCAGTTGGAAATTCCGACATGATAAAAAAATTCCCGGAGAGGGCGTCTTTCCCCTCGGTGGCTGAGAGGCTACTCCGTATGTGTGGGCTGGGCTGTGTTGATTGCTCTAGTACCACACACACCTCCAAGGTGACCAGGTTCCCTGTCTGTCCTGTCCTGTCCGGCAAACGCAAAGCAAGGCAAAAAAGGCGAGGCGTCTTTTCTGCGCCCACCGCTTCTTTGTTTTGTCACGGAAGCGTCACTGTAATAGTGAACTACTGTACATCATAGGGCTCTCCTCGATCGACGGAAGTCATCCGAGCTTGTTGCTGGGCGGTACCGGGGCGTTCGGGAGGTGGAAGAGAAGCGGTGCAGGGAGCAGCCTACAGCTGTTGTCCCCTTTTCAAGCAAGTTCTAGTTGGTTATTAACTTACCCCACTCAACTTGACTCACTCACTCACTCATTCCGACCGACATGTCGGTTGCTGCAGAGTTCAGCTCATCTAGCTCACTATCATCTAGTAGTAACCACGCAGTTATCATGGATGTGTCGGAGATTTTTGACTTTCCGTTTGCTGGGGATTTTCTTGCAGCACTATTGGCTCGTCCGTAAGATTGTTCTGACACCATTTAGTTAAAAATGAAAATTGCTCCAGCTCTCCACAGGCTACGTTCAGTACACATCCATCACTGGTCCATATCTTATCGGATGCGATCGGTGATCTCCAGCGGAATGGCCACTTTCCGAGAGGGAAATGGTCGGCCGCGACAAACGCGCGTCTCGTCCGAGTCATCGTCGCATCCTCGATCATTTCAGCCCCCTCCTGAGAATCCTGGCTGAATGAAAGCAGCCGGTAGAAAAAGTCTTGCTCGGCTCCGACTCCACGATAGTCTACAGAGTACTTGGTCCACTAGGTGAAATCCTCCGAACATAGCCCAGATAAGATCATATAGTTCACCCACTGGGGGACTTGCTTGCCCCACCAGAACTCTCGTAAATTTCTCAACCATGGACGACAGACGGTTGGAAGATCCACAATTGCACTGACACTTTAAGTCTACGAAGTACTTCTTTCCCAGGATCAGCAAAATACACGAGTCGAGAGGTTCTTATTCCCTGAATACCAAGGACCAAGTACTCCGTCCACCATGAACCCTTCTAGCAAAGCTATCTCATCCACATGACAATAGACATACACACACACATCAGCAGTCCTCGTCTACAGCAAAAGCTATTCGCGAATCCTCAAACCAGGCCAATTGGTCAAATCTCCAGGAACACCTCCCAAAAATCAGCTCACTCCTGCTTGACCTTCTTCCCCCATCGCTTCGGCACCCGCACCAACCAGTACAGAAACATCGCGGCCACTGCATTGAACGCCACGTATACGAACAGAATCCCGATGTTGCGCCACCGATCACCAAACGATATGCTGAGCGAGGCCAAAAACTGGTCGGTCGTCGAATACATGCACACCTGGCAGTCGCTCTTGTCCCTGGGGTTGAGAAGATTGGCCTGCGCCGCTTCAACGAAGCTGGACAAGTAATCGCTGCAGCTCTCGTTGGCGGGCGGCGGGATACGGAGGAGTTCGATATCTGAGCATTCTACCTTGGCGCCGGCCAGGCCCACACTCAGAATTCCCGAAACGAGGTATGTAAACGGGGAGACGCGATACATGAAGATCCAGAACCGAGGAAGAGCCGTGGGAGAGGCGAGCACACTGGAAGGATTAAGCATGCTATCTTAGTCACGGTCGGTTGGCAAGTTGGACTCACCCGTTAAAGATCAAACAGAAGGAAAACAGCAGCTGGGCGACATTACTACCGGTCTCGGGCTGCTCAATCCCCGCGATAACCATGGAACTGAAGGTCGAGGTGAACATCAGAAACACCAGGACCAGCAAGAACATGGTTCCGCCGCGGTCGGTCACCGTGCCGGCTGGAAGGTGGCGGTAGAATCCAATCGGATAGTACCACGAGAAGTAGGCCGGCACCGCCATGAGGATATTCCAGGGAAGCTCAACAAGGATGCTGGCCATCATGAAAGCTTTCCACGAATAGGCCTTGGACGGGCGCTCGCGGACCTCGTACAAAGACCGCTGGCTCACGAAGTAGGGCATCATCTGCTGCACGAGATTGGGGAAGATAACCAGTAGCATGAAGATGGCAAACATTTCGTTCTGCATGCCCTGGAAACTAGTCGGTTCACGCCAGAAAGTGAAACCAATGAAAAGAGGCTGGGTAGCTGGCGGTCAGTGGAGATCTAATAAATGTAAGCATAGGGAGGAGACGTACAGGAATAATGCACATTGCGGCCTTGGAGTAGATGTACGAAGGGCTGCGCCAGTACTGTTGGAACATGCGCTTCAGGCACAGGACGAACTGCGTCCAGATCGGCATCGCGAACTCCCCATACCCAGTTACTTGCGGAGGGGGTGGTCGTTGCAGAAGCTCCTGCTTCATCTGTGCGAGTTCGTGACGCACCTGCGTGCGCTCCTGGCTGTGGTTCCAGAGATCGGCCCAGTCCTTGTCGGCATGGGACCCCGGAGCGGCCCCGATCACCTCGAGCATCCACTCCGCTGGGTTGGCATCAAGAGGACATTTCGGGGAGCCTTTGTCTTCAAAATACTTGATGAGGGTCTCCATGTTTGGGCCCAACTCGCCAAAATAGACAGTCCGTCCCCCTTTGGCCAGGAAGAGGAGCCGGTCGAATTCTTGCATGAGAATGGCCGACGGCTGGTGGATGGTGCACAAAATCGCTTGACCATGGTCCGCTAGCTTGCGCATCAAAGAACAAATAGACCATGCCGTCTGACTATCTAGGCCAGAAGTAGGCTCGTCGAAGAAGAGAAGTAGATCAGGTTTAGCAGCGATTTCCACCCCAATTGTAAGTCGTTTGCGCTGCTCAACGTTCAGGCCTTCGCCTAAGACTCCAACGACGGCCTCAGCGTATGTTTCCATGTTCAGCATTTTGATCACCTCTTCCACATAGGCGATCTTCTCCGCGCGGGGAGTACTGGCTGGCTGGCGCAGCATGGCGCTGAATATCAGGGCTTCACGCACCGTACTCGTCTCCAGATGCAAGTCCTGCTGTTGGACGTAGCCTGTTTTGCGAGAAAAGGAGTTATTGCGCATGCGTCCATCGACCAGCATTTCGCCCGTGACGATACCCATAGTCACGCGGTTAGCTAGTACGTCCAACAAAGAGGTCTTACCGGCGCCTGTCACGCCCATGAGGGCCGTCAGTGTTCCGGGCCGGACCCATCCGTCAACGTGGTCGAGAATGGTGCGATTCTGACCCTTGATCTTGATGTTATAACAGACATCTTGCCACTGGAAGATAGAGGTTTGCTTGACAATAGCTGCCGTATGTTGGTCGGGGTCGTTGTGTTCTCCGGCCACCCGGTTCTCCTCAGCCATTGGGGTGCGGCTCTCCAGGTCATCGATGGTGCGCGGTTGTTTCGTCTTGAGGAATGCAGGCATTTTGCCTCTTGGAAAGACAAGAATCTCACCCTTAGAAGGCTTAGCGCGTACCAACTCGCTGCTGACCACATAGCAGGCTAGAGAGAACAGAAGGAAGCCCCAAAGGATGCCGTAGTTGCGCCACAGGTGCGAGCGATAGTACTGGTACGTGACATTGATGTACCTGTCCCCGTCTACAGAGTCTTGACCCGCGACTGCACCATTGACACTGCAGACCTTGGAGCTCAGCGGTGCGTTGCTATAACTAGGAATGTAAACAGCACAAGGAAACTGGCGGTCACTGAATTCGTTGATCATGAGGCTTTCGAAAGCGTACTGCTTCATTATCAGTGGAAAGCCATCAGGGGATCTGGCTCAGAAATCACGTACACCAATTGGATTTAGGTAGTTTAACCACCGGAACCAAGGATGCATGTCTCGCACTGGAATTGTGAAACCTGTATAGATGACAAGAATCATCATGAAGATAGACGACGGAACCATTGCCTGAGCCATAGACCGCGAGACCGCACCCGTGAAGCGGAAGATGTTGGACATGGTGAGCGTTATAGTTATTGAAAAGAGGTAAAATATGAAGAAATGACCCGCCGTACGGCGCAGGTTGGACATGAAATAGAGGATAATGTTGAAAACCACCGACACGATGAGTTTTGCTGGCAAGTCCACAATCATGGAGCTGATAGCTTCCGCAGACGGATGGTAGAGCGCATATTTGTCATGCTTCTCAACAATCGGTCGCTGTTGCCAAAGAGTCAATATTTCCAGGGCACTTGCAAAAGCGTTGAGAAGGATAGCAAAGAAGAGAAGGGCGCCCCGCTGGAAAAAGCTATTAGTAGTAGTGTCTAGGTTGTAGAATACACTGGCAACTACTAAGGCCATGATGCTGTTTCCAATGACCGAGGTCAGAGTCATGGTCATATCGCCCCTGAGGCGGTGCATGCCTCGCCTTAGACAGAGGCGGATCTGCATGGGGTAAGATAAGGTGTAAGGCGATTTGGCTCTCGTTCCCTTGGCCTTTTCAGCCGCGCGTGACCGTGAGAACTCTTCATATTTGTCTCCTCCGAGAGGAAACTCATCTTGAAACGCTTCTATGTCCGCAAGAAGTTGCTTTCTCTCCGCACTCGCTTTCCATCGGGAGGCAAACTCGTCAGGTGTTCGGGGAACCAGATGCTCAAAACCCTCGCGAGCTTTCCGCTCAGTGGGGCTAGTTAACGAGGTCAGAAAGTCTGCCGTGGTTTGTCTATCAGGACAGTCAAATCCCATGTCCACGAAGAACCGTTTGGCGTCATCTGCATGACCGAAGTATATTTGGCGGCCTTCGTAGAGTACAGTCACTTTGTCAAACACATCATAAATCGCTTGACTAGCTTGATAAATGGCCACGATGGCTGTAGATCCGGTATACTCGGTAGAGACCCGCAAGCGTCGGACAAATTCAAGAGCTGTAGAAGAGTCCAAGCCTCGCGTGCTATTATCCCAGCATTGTAAGGGGCTGCCACACAGCATGGTCTCCGCTATGCTGACTCGTTTTCTTTCCCCTCCCGAAACGCCACGAATATATTCGTTGCCAACCTGCGTGTTCACCGTGTGGCTCAGCCCCAGCATTGCCATGACTACGTCTCGCATATGGGTAGCATATTGCTCGCGGGTGACGCCCGGGAAGCGATTGGATGGAGCACGAGCATGAGCAGCAAAATGCAAAGTGTCGCCCACCGTGAGCTGTGGGAAATGGATTTCAGTCTCGGCCTGGTAAATCACCTCTCCTCGGAACCGACCGTGCATTTCGTCCCAGGAGATGCCTTGATACTGGATGTCTGCTCCTCCATCGAGCCATAACCCATGTGTTTCACCAGCGATGGTTTTGAGGAACGTCGAGCAACCACTAGAGCGATGTGAGTGAGCATTAGACAGACTGGATCAAATACCGCAGGTTGAAAGGCTGGTAACAGAGGCGCAACAAGCGAGGAGAAATCTGCAAAGAAGACATCATATGGGTTACTCGAAAAAAACTCACCTTCCGGGGCGGCCAAGTACGACGAGCATCTCACCACTGCGCACAAGGCCCTCAAGGCCGCGGAGAATATCGATCCTGACCCTTTTCCCTTGACCTAGCACGCCTTTCATCCAATCGAAGGCTTTGAGCCAAACATTAGCCACATTTGCCTGGTAGTCTGCTGCAGTACCGTAGCCGAAGACGTTTAGGTCGCGAAAGGAGACGCCTGCTGTCCGGCGAGGGTATCTGTCTGGGTCTCGAGAGGCGATGCGAATAAAGTTCTTAGTCCACTTGCGTGCGTTGAACTGATCTGAACTGGGGTTCAGTTGAGGATCGCTGGGCTCGTGGGAGAAAGTATCTATGCCCTCGCCAATGGTGCTTTTTTCGGACAGATGCGACAGGCTTCTTGCCAGGGAAGCGATTCTCTCTGCATCTTTGTGCCCGATCCCCTCCTCTGACTCCTTACTGATGGATTTTTCACTCTCTTCTTTCTCGTTAATCGATTCCGGAACGCGAAATGAGTCTTCTTCAATCCCCGAGCTCAAAGTAGCGGACACGGCAGCAGCTCCAAAAGGAGCAGGAGGAACCGGTTGCATGGTTACTGCGAGGCTAAGTCTTTACAGAGCTTTTGAATGGTCGAGTGGATTCATGACAGAGTCTCGGGGCGTCTGAAAAGATGAGAGGGAGCTAAGTGCGTACCTGAGAATGTTGAGTTAGGAAATAAGTACCAGCCAGGTAGTGGGAGACCCAGGCCAAGGCAACAAACACCGGCGGAAGACGGGACAGCCAACATCCGGGAGGAGGGAAGTGAGCCTCGAGCCATGGGTTGAATCAGTCACCGACCTGAGCGCGATTACCGCTTCGGTCATAGCCTCCCGCGTGGCTCTGAGTGAATATTTAGCATCATCGCATGTCAAAGGAATCTGACTTCGTGTTGAGTGCCCAGCCAAGAACAGTCTAAACGGTCAGCTTGAATCGATCGCATGGCGGTTGAGGTGGGGCATTTCATATCGTATATCAGAGAAAATCTGCAGGAGAGATATGTAGATGCGTATATATGTAGAACCGCGCTATATAGTTTACTATGACAATTCCAGGAGAAATTACAGATGCTGTGGGACCCTGAACTGCTGTCAGTGTGTTAATTACTGTACTAGTAGCTAAAAGTGCAGCTCCACTCTTCCCGTCTCCTCCCGTCAGCTGGAGTTACCCCGGATCTGATCCTATCCGCGCGGGATGGGCATGTTCCGAATCATCTGAGTAAGCACCCCCTCTTCCTGCTCCTGGGTGCTGGCCTGAGGCTAAATATATACATAGAATCGAAGAATCGCAGTCACCTGATTACTACTGCTTCTAGAAGTACCATGCCTACTTACCTATGCATGTCTCTGGCAACCTACTACCATCCTCCTCCTCGCAAATCGTCACCAATCACAGTAACTACACACGGCAATCGCCGCTTACCAACATCAACTGAGACTTATGGCTTCTCTACCCCAAAAAAAAAATAAAAAAAAAAAA